TCTCGGGTTAAATATCTGCTTCACGAAATGTGAAACCAGGCTTTCTGCCTCAACTTGCATCGTTTCAGTTGTTACAGAAGTTGTCATACGTACCAACTCGTAGTCAAGTGTGTGTGATTTGTTAACCTAAGTCAGACAACCCAACAACTTTTTTTTTTTTTTTAAACAAATCATTACTGTAAGTTTTTAATTTTACAGGTACCTCTTTCTGTACATTTGACTTTGCAGTAATATACGTTTTTGTGGATTTCTTGGATCATGTAGTCAACTCCATTTGTGAGATAAATACATTTAATGAGATTCAGTGTTATTCTGTTTTGTTTTATATATGCATATTCATAGAACGCTGCTATCACCTTGTCCAAACTCAGTCCTGGTGGGCCGGTTTCCAGGAGAACTTGCTTCAACAGACCTGCAAGGAGGTTTCTAGAAAGTCTAGTAAAGCTAGTCACACTGGACTTTTCTCCACATAGATTTCCATTCAAATGCACGGAATGCGTCAGACCAAAAACGCAAGCTTGTGCAACAAGTTTCGCAGTTCAATGCATTGCAAACTTCAAGCTTGGTGAAGTCGGACATGCAAAATCGCATCACTTGACTGCTTGAGACCAATCGAGAATCAAAACTTGACCTCTCTGGACAGAAATGTAAAATATGGACTATTAAACGTCAAATCATGTAGATCACAGGTGTCAAACTCAGTTCCAAAAGGGCCGCAGCTCTGCACAGTTTAGTTCCAACCCTAATTAAGCACACCTGATCAAACTAATTGAGTCCTTCAGGCTTGTTTGAAACCTACAGGTAAGTGTGTTGGAGCAGGGTTGAAACTAAACTGTGCAGGGCTTCAGCCCTCCAGGAATTGAGTTTGACACCCCTGATCTAGATTAATCCCATCCCTTTTAGCAAAACCGTATGACAGAATTTCGCATGCTCAAACTCTGGTGTGACCGCAGAATAAGAGCTTGATTAGCTAGCCAAGGTGTGTCTGATTGGGGTTGGAACTAAACCTTGCAGAACACCGGCCCTCCAGGTGAAAATTTGGCCACCCCTGTTCCAAACCGATTGAACTCTTTAGCTGCATCCCGATTCAAAAGGTTTGAAGAACAAGTCTAAGTTCTCAAGACGAATGGGATGGTCTACTGGTCGAAATACGTTTACCTTAGTCCATTTCAAGAGTTCACACTTAGATATTGATTGATGCTATTAGCAGGATTGGCATGCTTTCCCAGGAGAGAACCCTGAGCTAGGACATATTTGAGCCCAGGGCTCTGGTCTGGTCAATAAGCAAATAAGGGGGTCTGAGATCAGGTAGGTCTCGATCGCTCCCCCTGATAAAAGGAAGAAAAGGAAGAAGATGGGGTGGAAGGGGGGATTCTTCAAAAACAAAGAAAAGGTAGTAGGGTGAAATCAGTCTACTTAATGTAGGCTTGGATCAATCTGATTGGATTATAGCTGATTACAGATGAGAGACCAGCTGCGACCAATTATATCTTTAAATTAGTTTGTAAAACTTCACTTATGTGCACAATAAACACTATGAAACACATATAAAATCATACATAAAACAGCTTCTTGTTTCGAACTGTCTACAAGTGTTGGTATTTTTAAAATTCATATAGTAGGTTAAAAACGGATATGCAATACTCTTGAATTTTCTTTAAAAACATCCCATCGTACAATGAGTTTTGCGATGGTCTAGGCCAGTGGTCCCCAACCCCCGAGCCACAAATCAATACTGGTCCACGGATCAATTGGTACAGAGCTGCACAAGAAATCATTAATTACTTCTGTTTTATTTATTATTTATTATCCGAGGCTGAACGATCTTTTATTTTGAAAAAACTTTTTCACTCGGTTACATCTCGGTCACTTGCAAGCCAAAATTTGACCCAGAAGTTGCTGCCAAGGAATGGATCTGCAACCAATTTGTCAACAAATAGGTGAATCCATCATCTCTGTACAACTAAAAGATCAACTGCTGTAGACTGCCTTGACATATCGCATCTTTTCCACGCACAAGTTCATTACTTCAGATGAAGGCACACAGCTTGCGTGCACATAGAGGCGACACACGTGTTCTCCTGGCACATCCAGTTAAAAACATCCAAGCTTTTCAGAATACAGCGAGCGCACCAAAGATCACGTGACAAGAACGGACCAATCAGCTTCACACTTTGCATACATTTTGGTAGACTAATTATCTCAGACAAACACAGAACACTGCAGTGATATTTAATTTTCTCCTTTAATAAAACCTGTATCAGAGCTGCAGCAATGTTTTGTCAGCTTATAATCCCTTGAGAAAACTGTTGATGGTCACCTAGCAATCCCCTCCACCCCCTCGGGCCGTGGTAAAATTGTTAAGCATTGAGTGGTCTTCAGTGATAAAAAGGTTGAGGACCACTGGTCTAGGCTGCAAATAATCCATTTACTGTATCCTTCACTGTCACTGAAACAAAGAATGAATCTCAAGTTTAGGATTGGGACGTCCTCATCTTGATGAAGTGATACAATTGGCTTTTGAAGGATGCAAATTCTGAACTGGGACAAAGCTTTTGTTTCTGATTGGCTGGTTTTTATGGTATATAAAATACCTCAAAGGTTATAAGACTTACATATGAGATGTGATAGAAGCCCAAGGTAATAAGTGGCTGCAGAGCAGGTCACAGGTAAGAGATGTTTGGACAGCAGAAGCCCAGCGGGACCCAGCTTTACCTGATTGGATGAAGAGAAGGAAATGGATTTCCCTAAATGGGGCTTTGGTTTTGTCCTGCTCAGAACGGATGAACACACGTCCTTAAAACTGTAGCCTAAGCATTCACACTGCAAATAAAGAAGAAAATCATCAATGAAAATATTTTCTAGCGGCAGCTTATTGATATTGCCACTTACGAATAAACATGGTTCATTTGATGCGCTCAGCTTTTTTTGTTACACTTATAGGGACAGAATATTATGGGATGCATATTTTCAGCTTTTCAGACACACAAAGAGCATTTTTAAATATATCTACATGTTAGTCCATTTTATTGGGTACTATAAAACAGGTTTTCTGTGGTGATTTACATTGTGTGCTCCTGAGAGTGTCCTAAAAATGGAGGAACACAACTAAACATGAAGTTGATTCTCTTTCTATATACTATGTTAGATAAAATGTAGATTATTAAACGTAAAAACAAGTAGCAAGCATTAAACAGGTCGTCTGTCATCTGTCATTTCCTTCATAAACAGTGACTGGCTGGATATAGGAGCTGGTAATCAGCTTACCTTCTCAGGTGAAGTTCGACCAGCTGCACAGCAGCAGCAGATAACAAGCACCGCACGACTGAGAATCTTCATACATCGTAACCTCAATCTCTACCGCTTTACAGTCTGTATTTTAACAATCTTAACTATTGACAAAATCACAAATTTGCCGCGTATATCTTACACCGGAAGTGATCCACTGACGTGTGGGACAAATTCAACCAGTCGACGTTGATGTTAATAATGTTCATTATAAGCTATGTGTTTTTTTTTGTCATTGAAGGGCAACAATAATCATTTAATTTACATCCGTCAACAACTACATGTTAAGGTTATACATTAGATTTGAGTAATTCAAAATGTATCTTAACAAATTTAATCATCTTGATCCAAGATGGCGTCGCAACCGGAAATGGCGGTCACTTCGGGTCCTAAAACGGTGCTTTTGTTTTTTAATGTCGTTTGTTGTTGTCGTCTTCATTTTGTGACTAATATTTTTAATGTGGACCAGTAAGACGTAGCTTTCGCTCCACTGAATGTCCACACATGTAGTGAATAGCAAGCTGAAAGTTTACCTTGACTTGACCAGCTGCAGCTTGCCTTTCCTTTCCGAAAAGCTATCCGATGCACCTAATCCTAAACTCCAATAAAAATTACTTCTTTAAATAAATGCACAGAAATAAAACAAAATGTAAGTCAACAAATTGTGGAAGTGGGGTTTAAATATAGAATATTTAGTAAATAAAACATTAAAATACAACACCCCTGCTGAAAAAACAGCTAAAACCAGCCTAAGCTGGTTGGCTGGTTTTAGGCCATTTCCAGCCTGCCTTAACTGGTTTGGCTGGAAAATGACCAGCTAAAACCAACTTGACCAGCCTGTTCTAAGCTGGACATAGCTGGTTTTGGCTGGGCTCTTAGGCTGTCATCTCCCAGACTGACCAGCTAAGACCAGGCTGAAAATAGCTGGAAACCAGTCTGAAACCCCTCTAAAACCAGGTTGGTCAACCAGCTAAAACCAGCCGACCAGCCTATGCTGGTTTAAGCGGTTTTTTTGAGCAGGCATAGCCTACATTACTATAGCTTTTGCATTAAATCTGTGACAAATATGACTAATACAATAAGAAGTCAACTAATACATTATCAGTTTATACATATACAAGTATAACTATAAAATATATAGACAAACCATGTTAATGGAATAATGTTCCAAGCAGTTTATCTGAATATAAACACAAGATTATTCTGATATTAAAACTAGGAACAATAATTTGTGTTTTTCCCCCAATATGAGTAAAATAGCATGTGAACTAACCATACACTTTGCTTAATGTATATTTAACACCCATATTTTGAAGCAGTTTGCATTTTATAAACATTTCTAAGTAGATAAGACATTGCAACTTGTAAAAAGCCTTCAGATCCTTATTAACGTTTACCTGCAACCTGTAAACAACCCTCCTACTGTAAAGAGCATGAACATTTAAAGTGACAGTCCATCAGAAGACACAGCTGCAGTGGCTGCTTATAACACGATGTGGACACTAATAACCTACATGGTTATCGTTACTGGGCGAACAAGCCTGCAAACGTCTGCAACAGCATGCGGTCAGCGAGAGTGGCTCTGGATCTAATCCTCTTTACTGCAGCCTTCCTGGATAAACAAGAGATTTGCACAGAACTGGAGCAGAGTTGAGAAGATCTGCAAGCAGCAAAAGCGGGTCATGCATTCGCCGGTGCACTTCAACACAAGAGTCTTTTTGTCTTTTTTATTTCATTAATGTTTTACAATATAGTACACTGTACCCATTTATACAAGAATTCACATATTAACAAGTCAGTTCGTGAAGTAATACGCTGCAGCAGCCACTGGAATTGTCTCAGGGAGTATGCTCACCGCTTTAGAAACAACGGGCCTTCCTCTGAATTGCGCGAGGCATGAAAACTTGTATCTGAAAGCAGCATGTGTGTATGTTTACGCTTTCGTTTGGACTAAATACTCAGGCCAAGGCCACTATAAAGAAAAAAAGGAGACCAAAACTTAAGGATATGCAAATCTGCATTCGTTACTGCTCAGAAAAAAAGGTGCAGCAGTCTCAAGAAAAAAAAATAACCACACGGCACACGTCAAAATCATGTGTAAGAATGGAAGTCATGTTCAACTTTGTGAAAAGCATGACTCCATAGATTTGAGTTAAACACAACAAACATCTGCCAGAAACACATAAATAAGCTTCACAACAACACAACAACAACAGTCATAAAAAAACGAACCACCTTAGAAAAACCATCGTATAACAAACATACCAACTACACACCGGCACGTAAAAACTCACTCATACAGGACCCAGACAAACAGAAACCGAGCGTTCGAAGGACATATTCATGTGCGTTGGCAGAGCACATTAATTAGGTGGCCTTAACTCATAATGTATTGCAGCCTTTGAGATGAAGGGGGCAAAGAGAATGCGGCGTGTATCCTACAGGTGGCGCTATCCCTGCTTGGGCTTTGAGGGATATTTGTGCTTACTTGAAGGACAGCACTCCCAAAGCGATAAGAGTAGTGTCTTGCGAAGAAACCTATATGTGGAAGCGAAATAATTCCCTCCAAAATAATTTAACATTAGTTGGAGAAGAAATTAAATATCATTCCTATGAAGAATATCTGTTGCAAATAAGGAACCCTCATTGGTTGCGGTTCAACACCTTGGCTATATGTCTTTTTAAATATGTATTTATTTCATATTCAAACGAAAAAAATGGAGACGTCTCCATCAAAAGACGAAAAGAAAAGAGAAGTCATGCATTCGTCCACTGTCAGAAAGATGGAGAAAGGGGTGGAGGAAGAGCGAGAGACACGGCGTGGAGCCTCTGGCCCTGCTGTGCGGGTCCCCTTTGTGTGTAAATGTGAGAAATGCAAGTTCACAGATGCTGCCAGTCGATGCCCACCAAAGTCTGATTGGCCTCCTGAGCGTGGCCGATCTCCTCCGTGATGCTGTGCTGACGCCACAGCTTCTGGATCTTTCTGTAGCGCTCATGGCACAAGTGTAATGGGTTCCCCCGTCTGATGAAGACAAACACAACACTCAGAACATTTCTATAGACACCAATACTTTAATTTTAATATGATTAACCCATGTTTATTGTTCAAACTGACTACCCTTTCAGTATGCTGGTGGCCATATTTTGATTTTTAACCCTTTAGATAGGGGTTTATCGACTTTTATATGGAGTGCGGTGGAGTAAATCACAGATTATAGTGTGCGTGCATAAATACACTTACTATATTAACTATGTTCTGACAGCTGAGGGGCTAATTTTTTATTTCTCAAACTTATCATGGTAAGTAACGTATCATTTTCTCGCTTAATGGATGTAATCTCTAAAACTACTGGAAAAGTCGTCCTTGTCTGCCCTAAAATCTGATTCTTGGTCTTTTCCCACCTGCCTTATTTCTGAAAACATATAAAGGGTGCTTTAACACCAGTGAATCGATTCAGTTGTTCCAAAACAGGGATTAAACTGTTACAATGTTGCTTTTTGTTCTTGGTGCGGTTCACTCACACTGCAAAGTTTCTAAACGGACCAAAAAAGCTAAAACAAGTCACGTGTGAGTAAACCCTCCTTACATTGGTCAGAGTTTCACAGTTTATTTTACAGAGTCCTGCTCAGCTGTAATGCGTCCTTATAATATATTTGATATCTAAACTTTATTATAATATATTTCACACTTTCATTAGGATGTATACGTGTTGAACTGTCATTGTCTTAATGTATTTTACAAAATTAACCTTTTTATTTATTTATTTTTATTCTTATTTTACCCTTTTTATACATTTTCAATCTTCTTATTTAATTAATTTTTATTAAAATAAAATATTAATTAATAAAAAATAAAACAACAAAATTTGACTTCTTCCCAACAGGGAAAACCAGCAACAATCAAGAATGCATGCTTAGATCAAAATATGGCATTATAATGAAAGTCAATGGGACAAAAACAGCCCCAAACATAACAAAAGAGTAGTGAATTTGCCCAGAGTGTATGTTTTTGTGAATTTCCAAAATATTCAAAGCATTTTCCAAAAATGTGTGTCACAATAAGATGTCATGAATGAAATGAAAGTGAAACAGCTGAACTACAATTGAAGTCCGTTTCCTCTGGAGAAAACACTGGATAGCATGGAGACGTAATTATGTTAACAATCTACACTACTTGACAAAAGTCTTGTCGTTGATCCCAGTTGTAAGAGCAACAAATAATAACTTGACTTCCAGTTGATCATTGGAAAAGTGGCAGAAGGGGGATTTTTTAGATGTATCATCTGTTAGGCTGCATCCCAATCATCACAAATACTGCAGAAGACCTACTGGAACCTGCATGGAGCCAAGATTCTTACAAAAATATGTTAAGTTTGGTGAAGGAAAAATCATGGTTTGGGGTTACATTCAGTATGGGGGTGTTCGAGAGATCTGCAGAGTGGATGATCAACATCAACAGCCTGAGGTATCAAGACATTTGTGCTGCCCATTACATCACAAACCACAGGAGAGGGCAAATTCTCCAGCAGGATAGCGCTCCTTCTCATACTTCAGCCTCTACATCAAAGCTCCTGAAAGCAAAGAAGGTCAAGCTGATCCAGGATTGGCCAGCCCAGTCACCAGACATGAACATTATTAAGCATGTCTGGGATAAGATGAAGGAGGCACTGAAGATGAATCCAAAGGATCTTGATGAACTCTGGGAGTCCTACAAGAACGCTTTCTTTGCCATTCCAGATGACTAATAATCAGTGATTTGAGTCATTGCTGAGACGTATGGATGCAGTCCTCCAAGCTCATGATGGAGTCAGACACAATATTCATTCTGTCTCCACTGCAGCAGGACTTTATATGCTATACTGGACATTATTTCTGTTAAGAAACAAGACTTTAGTCTAAGCAAAGTCAGACCTTACTGTCCTAATTAAATAATTAAAAATCAAGGCATGATAATATTTTATTCTGGTAAAATAAGTGTAATCTAGAGGCCTTTGCCTTTCATATAAGCCACTTCTGATACCAAATAATCAACTAGAAGGCAAGGTATTATTTGTTGCTTCTAAAACTAAAAAAAGGAACACAAGAGAAACGTTCTAAAAGCAACTCATACACATCTCATATTATGACCTTATTCAGATGAAAGTAAATGATTTGTTTACTGATGTCCATTTAAAAGTAGTCACACAAGTGCAAGTCAGACATAATGAGTGTGAAATATGAGCGACACACACGCACCTTAGCCCTTGGTCTGTTTCTCCATAGTCATCCAGGTATGGGGGAGCATAAAAACAGCCCTTAGTTTTGCCAGCCAGGAACAGGACCTGACTTTCCCTCACCCTGAGACACAAACATATATAAATAAGTCCTTGCAGACAAATGCAATGCAAAAGGTTTAGCATAGTCAGGGTTCAACGCTAAGAATTTTTTCTACTGGTCCGATCGGGCAAGTGGTTTAGATTTATACTTGCCCTGCCAAAATTTTCACTGGCCCCACCAAAAAAAAAAAAAAGGGAAGTTAATAGCTATTTTTTAGCCACATATTTTAAATAATGTGTCAAAAATAAAGTCTGTAAATCTAGAATTTCAATACCTAAAAAACAATTGTAAATATAAGTGTTATGCAAACAAAAACAGCCGTATGGAAAATGTGGAGGTATTTTATTGCGGTTTGAAATTATTTAACAAAAGCTGGCTGACTTGTCAAACTGACGGCAAACTATGCATAACATCACTAAATTTTTATTTTATCGTGTTGTTTCCATGTAAATGTCTACTTCCAAGACGCTAGAAACAGACATTTTCGTTTAGCCTTATAATTTGATGTTGCTGACATGTTGCTGTTTCTACGCTGTACTGGTTGTTACCAGGTAACAAAAAAAAAATAGCATGGTTAAATCAATCATATAAGACGAATCAGAAAGCAATATGTTGTTTACAAAATTACAGAGAAGGTAGCATTTAAGACTTAAAAGCACAAGCTTTAAATGCACGCAATTGACAAATAGTCACATACAAATTAAAAGTTAGTGACTGACAAGGCAGCACTGTCCCAATCGGGCCAGTAATGATCCGGTCTACTGTCCCAAGTGTCTCTCACACTGGCCCTGGGCCACCAGGCAGTCCTTATTGTTGAGCCCTGATAGTGTTTCTCAACCATGTTCCTGGAGGACTCCTTTGTCTGTTACAACTAGGGTTGTAACGGTATGAATTTTTTACGGTATGATAATCGTCTAAAACAATACCACGGTTTGACTTTTTCGCGGTATACGGTATGTTACAAATGTTACAAAATAATAGAACAGTGAAGCAAATTTGACTTTTTCCAAATAATATATTTTCAGTTACTATAAACAACACCACTTACAATGAACAAATAAAAAAATAAGAAAATAATAAATAATGTGTCAAAGTCCAAATAAAGTCCAAATAACATGGTGCAAATCCTCAGTAAAAAATAGAGATAAATATTTACTATACTATAAATAGTTAAATAACTAAACTAGATTCAATATGGAACATCCTTAGGTTTTATGTGCCAGCATGGATATGGTTGTCTGTGGATATGGATTTGGATATGGTTGTCTGCAATGCAGACAAACAGCTGCACCTTCATTTGCGTCTTTTGAAAACAGCAAGAGCAGCAGTTCGTCTTTGCTGTGTCACTGTTTTGTCATGTTTCTGTGCTGCTGTGCATGCAAAAGTACTTAGTATGAGAATTATTTCATGCAAAACTTTTTTTTTTTTGCGTTTTATTTAGCCGCGCATAAATGTATGCCTATCTCTCATTCCGTGTTGTTCAAAAAGCTCAGTGTTGGTCCACAAACAAAAGCGAAACCTATGCTTATTGGTTGTGATATAGCAAGTTTGAACCAATCTGGGCATGGAGGAGGGACAATGCATCAATGTATCATGTCTGGTTTGTCCGGAGACACAGTGACGAGCGTTTCTTTGTCAAATCAGCGTTGTCAAATTTTGATGACGTAACCGCACTGATTCCGGAGCCTCTGAAAGTCTGTGAATGTTATGTGATACAGCACTGGAAAGCTGAGATTCTCTTCTTTATTCCAATCTTTGAATTGTATGAATCGGATCAGCGGATCAAAAGTTATTAAACATTTAAGAGCAATACTTATTTTTAGCCGCGGGCGGCTGTCTCGGTCTTTAAGGGTTAAAACCGTTGATATGCAATTGTTCATGGTATGATAATCGTGCTCGTTCAAATCGTGGTAGACCGTCATACCGGTATATTGTTACAACCCTAGTTACAACCATTACAGGTCTTTTAGGTCGCATTTACACTGCATGACTCAATTCAGATTTTTTTTTCTCCCATGTGGCGCAGATTTGATATGGCCCGTGTACGTGTAAAACTATTATAATTTCAAGGGACATTTGAATGAGGAAGCAGCATATCCCAAAGCTTCCATACTCTTGTTACACAAAAAGGACCTACTTTTAGGACGTTGTACACAAATGCAAATTGGATTGCAGCATAAGTTAATCGCACAGCTCTTGCTTTATTCCTAGCACAGACCTGAGGAAGATGCCGACTCCGGCTCCGCAGGTGAAAGTGTGTGCGGTACAGGCCCCCACGTCTTCTCCTTCCAGCTCCGTCTGACAGCAGTAGCTCTGAGAGCAGAGCATGGCACCGCACACCAGACACAGAGTAGGAACGCGAGACTTATCTCCTCCAGATTTAGGACACCTAGGAGCCAGGATCAACAGATGATCAATTGATTGGTTGATGAAACCTTTTCACATTTCTGGGTTTCTCAGTAGCAGAAGTCGTCATCCTTGGGTAAACTTAAGAGTGCAGTGAATGGGAGAGTACGACAAGTCATTTTTGTATAATCTAATTTGCAGAAATAATGAAAGAAAAACTCAACGATGGTGTTATCGTTCAGAAAGAAGAATAAAATAGTGAGAAAAATGTAAAATTTACTGTCCTGCCTACATAGACTCCAAGTTAGAAACACCTCAGACATTTGTTTTTTAAGATAATACATATATAAATACATTTAAATGTTCACACTTTTTAAAATCTAAATATTAAAAACGTCCAAGGATTTAAGATGCTGATGCTAAACATGTCCGAACAGTCTTGTGAACAGGATTCATTGAATGGTCGATTCATGTTGTGTATGACTCTGCAGTTATTAATCGCCTTTGAAGACTCACGTGAAGCTGGAGGCCTGGTTGATCAACGCGCTGTAGTCGCCCGGCAGATCGATGAGATGATTGGACTCTCTGGGAAACCTAGATTAAGGAATGAACGAATGGTAGTGTTGAGCAATTGAGCATCAGCAACAGTGAAATGTTGAGGAGCAGGACTGACCTGATGAGAGTCACGCTGCTCTGAAGAGCCTGAAGAGCTGGATGAGAACACCACCTGCACAGCACAAACAACAGCTATTCAACCACTTCTCCACCTGCATTTTCAATGATTCCATGCCAATCGTCAGAAGGGACACATTACCACTCCCACCTATTGATAAAATCCCTTTAAAGGGCACCTATGATGCAAAATCAACTGTAAGATGCAGTTTGTACAGATCTGTGTGTAGTATAGTGCGTCCACAGTCATATCAAAGTGATATAAACACAACTAGTCTCTTAGAATTTTTTATTTCCTGACATCAAAATAGTGGACCTCCTGATGCACTGTGGGCCTTTAAAGCACTTGTCACAAACAAATTGAGTTTCTTTATTCTGTTGAACACAAAAGAAGATATTTTGAAAAATGTCGGAAACATATAACCACTGATGATCATGGTATTAGTTTTTCCTACAATGGTTACAGGTTTCTTACATTTTTCTGTAGAGCTGCATCCCAAATGGCACACTATACACTATGCACTATGTACTTATGCACTTACACACTCAACAGGATAGTATAGTGGCGTCCCAAATGGCACACTGTTTTTTTACTAAGCGGAAATTCAAACCGTTTCCCTGATGATGTTTGACGGTCGCCAAATCAGTGAAATAAACGACTGAATTATCAATTAATACCTGCCGTGAGTATCGGGAGGAGCTATAATCACTCTCGTGGGAGAATTTTGCTCTCACCATCCAAAATAAATAAAGTTATCCAACATGTGCGCCCGATAGCTCCGCCCCTTCCGCTACGTAAGCAAACCTGCAGTCGTTGAGTGCGTGAAGTGTCCATCATTACACACTTCATTTTAGCGGCTGAATGAGTGCATCATCCGGGTAATTAAAGTGCACTTATTATTATTAGAGTTTTCAGAGTGAACACACTACTTACACTATTTATACTACACAATGGCGTAGAATAGTGCATAAGTATGCGATTTGGGACGCAGCTTAGGTTTCTTACATTTTTCAAGCTGTATTGCTTCCATGCTTTCAAAGCATGAAAGTGTGTTGTGGTAATCAAATTTTGTGTACAAGATAAACTTGCAAGTTTGGATGGAAACATTGCTAATGTATATATCACAATACTTACTTATATATATATATATATATATATATATATATATATATATATAAATAATAGCGGAAGATAGATAGATAAGTAGATAGATAGATAGATAGACAGACAGACCAGACAGACAGACAGACAGACAGACAGACAGACAGACAGACAGACAGATAGAAAGAAAAAAAAAGAATTGAAAATGTCACCATTTTTCTCAGAAAACATATTTCTAAAGGTGCCGTAACAACCAAAAGAATCCATACATGCAAAGAAATCTAGTTAGTTTACAAATGAAGCTATGTGTAATAAAATGAAATGACAAAGGGAAGAAGTATTGAACACATGAAGAAAGGAAGGAGTAGAAAGGCAGTGAAAGCCCAGACAGCAGCTGAAATCTCTAGTTCTTCAGCAACTCTCTGCCCTTCCTCAGTGTAAATGATTATTAGCTGCTTCAGTCCAACATCTACATCAGCAGGAGGATGAAAAGGAAACCAGGGCGAACATTTCTGCAAAACAATGATCCAAAACACAGCCAAAGAGACTCTCAGATGCTTTCAGAGAAAGAAAATCAAGCTGTAGAATGGCCCAGTAAATCACCTGACCCGAATTCAATATAAAATACAAAATAAAGCTCAGATTTGATAGACGAGACCCACAGACCCATCAAGATTTTGACACTCTGTTGAAGTCTGTAAAAAAATAAAATAAAATAAACTCACACCTGGGCGTTGCATGTGACTTCATTCTTCATATAAGAGGTGCCTTTAATCTTCCATAATTAAAATGGTCTTTTATAAAGTATTAAATACGTTTCAGTAGTCATTACATTGTTATTACTCATTTTTCAGATTTTTAGTTTTTGTTTTAATGTTTGTATTGTTTGGGTTTTTACCCAAATCTGCTTCAATTTTATATCAACAGCTCCTTTAGAAATATTATTCCCAGGAAAAAACGTGTTCAAAACTTTTTTTCCCACCCTCTCTCTATATATATTATTATATAATTATTTTTAGGGGTTTCACATTGTAATGGGAGAGTGGAGATTATAAACAGTAAAGTGTGGGAAGCAAAGAAAGAGGGGAAGGATTGGGAAAGCACCTAGAGATGTGAATTTAACTCTGGTCACAGTGAACATCGTATTGCCAATGTGCACCAAAGTGTTGACGCACAGTTGGCATCAACAATACTTGATTTTCTTTTTTTACTGAAATATGTGACTTTACCCATGCAACAGAGGCTCCATGATGTCTAGATTGTTGAAGTAGAGCTGTAGCAGGTTGGAAGGCAGACACAGGTATCCACACAGAGCCTCCCATTCACCCGCACCTAGAGCTGAACACACAGTCACCATCACAAATGATCCAGGTACAGCAAAAGTACAAAATAACAATGAGTATGTGATTTCAGTACCGTGTAACTCCGGTGGTGCTGGAGCTCCGTTGAGATAGTGGAAGAAGAGAGCGGCGGCTCTCAGATAAGGCAGGATTCCAGCTTTCACACAGCGCCACAGATGCCAGCCTGAGCTCACCTCGCGCAAGCCACTGAAACACACATACAGCTTTCACATTAAGGCTGATTCATACTTCTGCGTTGAGTGATCGGCTTGGCCCACGGCACCTGCCTTGCATGCAGTTGTACATTTATACTTCTGCGTGTCGTTTGTGTCGCTCTGCAATAACACTTCTGAAACAATAGCTGGCACAAAGTTTTTCTGTGTCGAGTTTCTTTGCGGGTGTTTCGTTTTTTCTGAACGTTACCTTAATGTACAAATAGCAAAAACTCTTTTATTTAGACAGCTTTAATCATAAGGTATCCATCAAGTCTCCATCTGGAGATCCTTCACGGGACTTCAAATTTGCAAACAATTGCTCTATAGGGCTTGCAGCTCTCAGCTCCGCCCACACTCGTTACCGTTACCAAGCCAACCAATCATAGAGCTTGTGCTACGCGTCGTGATATGTAGTTACATTTTTTGAGAGTTGTGCGTTGGCATCAGCCACGGGGAGGGCTATGCGATAATGTGAAGGTTGCACCAGAGCATATGAGAAGTATAGTATGCAGAAGTATAAATCAGTGTTTAGAGTCATGCAGGACCAGCAGGGCGAAACAGACACCTTTTATTTTTCAATCTGCAATCAGTCATCTGTGACAGTGGCACAAATAAAGTCGAATTTGATTATTATTATAGTTTAAAACATAATTTAAAAGAGTTTAGTTTAAATGTGTGTAAACAGGATTGATTTCTACAAGTGTTTATTTATTCATTCATTCATTTTCTTGTCAGCTTAGTCCCTTTATTAATCTGGGGTTGCCACAGCGGAATGAACCGCCAACTTATCCAGCAAGTTTTTACGCAGCGGAAGCCCTTCCAGCCGCAACCCATCTTTGGGAAATATCCACAAACACATTCACACACACACTCAAACACTACGGACAATTTAGCCTACCCAATTCACCTGTACCACATGTCTTTGTGGACTGTGGGAGAAACCCACGCGAACGCAGGGAGAACATGCAAACTTCACACAGAAACGCCAACTGAGCCAAGGCTCAAACCAGCGACCCAGCAACCATCTTGCTGTGAGTAAACGGCACTCCCTAATGCGCCACTGCTTCGCCCATTATTTATTTATATAATTTTTAATATATATTTTAAGGTGAAATTGTAATGACAAACAATATATTTATATTTATGCACCTAACAAAGTAAAATTTGCATTTTATCAGTTTTTCATGGAGCCAAAATAATACATAAAAAATAAAATTCTTACATAATTAAAATTGAAGCCGTAAATGCAAAACGCAAATTCATAAATACACAAATCTAATTTGTAAATTTAAGACAATTCGTAAACTCAATACACAATTCCTAAATGCACGCATCCAATTCATTTGGGGAAATATTTAGGGTTTTTAAATTGTGAATTCAAAAATTGTGTTTTGAATTTACGAATTTGATTTCGTGAATGTGAATTGTGCCATGCATATGAGTTTTATTTTTAGAAATTATTATTTTTGAGACTAATCTGGCTCCATAGGATTTTTTTACTTTCTTTGGTATTCAAACCTACGAGGTTGGTGTTGCTAGCAGCATGATATGCTATTTGAGGAAGCTATATGTTATAAATCATTATAAATCACAGTGGCTTAGTGATTGGCACTGTCAACTCACAGCAAGGACGACACTGGTTGTTGGCATTTCAATGTGGAGTTTGCATGTTCTTCCCATGTTGGCATGGGTTTCCCCCACAGTCCAAAGACATGCGCTATAGGTGAATTGGATTAACTAAATTGGCCGTAGTGTATGAGTGTGTGTGTGTGTGTGTGTGAATGAGTGTGTATGGATGTTTTCCAGTACTGGGTTGCAGCTGGAAGAGCATCCGCTGTGTAAAACATAGTGGAATAGTTGGCTGTGACAACTCCTTATGACTAAAGGGACCAAGCTGAGGAGAATGAATGAATGATATAAAGCATTAATTGTGATTAAGTGTATGACTTTACCGGCCCAGCAGACTCCTGAGAGTATTGTAGAGCAAACACACACTCTCCTCCTCTTCTCTCTCGGCTCCTCCAGTCTCCTGCTCCATCCGCACCTCCTCTGATGACAACACACACATACAACAAACATGAACAAATGGAAATGCCAAGAATTCTGCCTCTGAAAACTGAGAAGGAGCATTTCCAGCGCTTTGGATGTGACGTTTGCAGTAAAAACTTAAAACATAGCTTCACACAGGGAGTATGCTTACTTTTTTCATGGCAAGGTGTACATTTGTATGAAATTCATTAAAATGTAAAAAGACATCATGGTCATGTTTATGTTAAATATGTAGAAAACAGCGGTTCTCACCAGGTAAAGAGGTCAGGAGGATCTGGACAACGTGAGCGACTGTGATCAGGTGCAAGAAGTGCAGTTGTGCAGCATCTGCGCTGAGCCCTGAGGAATCCAGACAGAGAACTGCTGGATGGGACAGCACCAAACTCACCTGCCACACACGCACATACGCTGAGGTCAGAGGTCATTCCAAAACAACAGACTGAGCTGGGACTTTACTAGGAACTATGCAAAAAAGGTCGCTTTGTTTAGACATGAGGACTGGATATGTGGACAAAATACTGCCAATTTGTCAGCTTGAGCGATTGCATTGAGACATCCTGACACTGTGAGCACCGATGCTATATGTTTAAGTTAGCATGGGACAGTCTTTGGTTCCCTATTATGATGTAAAGCTGAGAGTTTTATAAACTAATTTCGAGAGGAGCACGTGCTATGATTGGTTGCAGCTGGTCTCTCATCTGCAATCATCGATAAACCAATCAGATTAATCCGAGCCTACAATAAATAGCCCATTTCACCTTAATTCCCTTATCGTAATTTTTGAAAAATCCCCTCATCCACCACATTTTCCTCCTTTGCCAGAGGGAGCTCCTGAAACCTACAAAACAGATACAGGGATACTGGAGGGTTTGTCTATAATTTTACATACGAGCGATCCGCTGATAAATCGCTCCACTGTCCCTTTATCTGTGGTTACACTCAGTAAACATTGGTGAATTCAGTAAACTAATGACCTTCATGGCCAATCACAGTCATTTCTGTTGAGCACATGAACACAATGGCAAACCAGCTGTTTAAGGGTGCTTTCACACCTGTGAATCGATTCAGTTGTTCCGAAACAGAGATTACAATTGTTACATTGTTTCTCTTTGCTCTTGGAGCGGTTCGCTTTCACACTGCAAAGTTTCTAATCGGACCAAAAGAGCTAAAACAAGTCACGTGTGAGTAAACTCTCCTCACATTGGTCAGAGTGTCAGGGTTTATATTGCAGCGTCCCGCTAAGCTGTCAGGAGAGGTGGTGGTTTGGTGGTGATTGACAGGGTGCGCGCGACGTGTCTAAGGAGAGACGCGGTGGGGAGGGGTGAGAAGGGTGCGCGACGATGCCTGTTTGAGGACCGGGAGGGAGACGCGAGATTACCGGGAGATCATTACTCGTTTGCGGGCATCCGGAGACTCGCGAAACTTCCCGCGCTACTCATAATTCTCTCTTCATATAGCCGTATGACTATTACATATCCATAAAACACTGTGATATAACCGTGCTCGGATCGGATCGCTTTCTCACTGCAATCGAACCGCTCCAGGGTTCGTTTCAATCAAGCCGAGACCACCTCACTCAGGCGATCTCGGAGCGATTACTTTGGCGCGGAACAGAGCACGATTGCCCTGTTCACATATGCCAATCGAACCGCGCTAACTGGGCAAACGAGATACGTTCCGAAACAAAAGTGTAGGTGTGAAAGCACCCTAAGAACGCACATGTTAGTGGGAAATGGACGTTTTTAAAATTTCAGTATCGATTGGTATCGAATTCCAGTATCGTGCAAACCTACTAGCAAGCAGTAAGAACACTGCGACTCGAAAGTGCCTACAACTTAAACCCTCTACAAAATCTGAACAGTTTGATATGGTATTTAATGTTCAAAAGCTGGAGATGCCGACCCCTTCTTTAAAACTAGAAACAGGGTTTGTACACATTTTTACTGCTGACTTTTCCAAGACTTTCAAGTAAACTTTCATGACCTAATATATCATATAATGTCTACATATACGTGGTAAATAAGAAAAACAATGCACATTCAAATGTATTACAGCATATCATAAAACATGCAACAATCATTCATTCAGTCATTCATTCTTTAGGCTTAGTTCCTGATTTACCACAGCGGAATGAACCGCTAACTACTTTAGTCTAAATTTATATCTATGTAAAAAATATTTAGATAATGCTTACACAGCACTAATAATTTGAGACCATGGGATTATCCAAGGACAGAGAAGATGACTAACCAATATTCAAACATACAAATATTTGTTAAACAAACTTCCATGACTCCTCTAAAACTTCATGGGTTTTACTGTTTTTCCAAAACTTTTCAAGGCCTGGAAATTGTCAAATGCCTGCAATATTGTGAGAAATGGATTGTGCTTATGTCTGATTTGTATGTGTATTTGTTAATGTGACTTGAAAGGACACATGTGACCAAGTTCCGATGTTATTTTATGTTTCATTTATTTATTTATTTTAATTTATGCTTCATAAAAAATAAATAAAAATAAAAAGCATCTAAAAATGATTATGAGGACTTGTGAATTGAGTGCACTGGTTGTTTACAGTACCTACCAGCAAGTGAAACATGTCTACATCCAGAATACAAGGGGTATTCTCCACCCGGGGATCAGGAACAAGGGCTGAATGAGGACAGACGATGATTATTATTATTATTAATTCCTCATAATACAGTTGAAGTCAGAATTATTAGCCCCCCTGTATATATTTCCCCCCTCAATATCTGTATAATAGAAATAAAAAAAAAATTCAAGACATTTCCAAACATAATAGTTTTAATAACTCATCTCTAATAACTGATTCCTTTTCTCTTTGCCATGATGACAGCGCATAATGTTTGACTAGAGATTCTTCAGGATACTAGTATTCCGCTTAAAGTGACACTTAAAGGCTTAACTAGGGTAATTAGGCAAGTTATGGTAATTAGGCAAACGATTACATAATGACGGTTTGTTCTGTAACCATTCTGAAACAAATATTACATAAGGCTAATAGTATTGATCTTAAAAATTTTTAAAACAGTTTTTATTCTAGCTGAAATAAAACAAACAGGACTTTCTCCAGAAGAAAAAACATTATAGGAAATACTGTGAAAAAAATTCTTTGCTCTGTTAAACATCATTTGGGAAATATTTAAATGCCAGAGCAGCTATACTGCAGCAGGAAACCGCAATGCTATCTCCTACCTGCTAAGAGCCTGATGAAGTGATTCTGTACAGTGGTATGAGAGGAGACTGTCCAGCAGGCAGAGCCAAACCGCGTCAGAGAACTCAAACAGTCGTCCTGTGCGAACAAAACATTCACAAATAAGAGTCGATCTTTGGATGGAGTAGAACATTTGCTTTGGCAATTACACAAAAAGTTTAGATAATATTTCAAATGTGTTCGGTTACCTGTCTGCATGGTAAACTTCCAAACAAAGGCTTCTCTTCATCCACCAGTAATCTCTCTGTGACAAAACACATGATAATGAAACTTGTTTTACTTAAGCACTTAAAACCCCAACTTCTAGATAGTTTCTTTGAATTTGAAAGTAAAAGTTGATTTTTTCCCCTTGCAATTCAATGTTCAACTCAATTTCTAAAAATTAGACATAACCCATTTTTTATTTATTTATTTAAGTGGCAGAAAACAAGGAACCACCAGTAATCTCTCTGTGACAAGAGATGCTAATTAAACTTAATTGTTTTATTTATTTTTACAAGTTACAACTTCAATAGTTCAAACTCATAATTTACTTGATAGTTAAAAGGGAAAAATAGATGATGTAGAAATGTATGAATGGATACACACATACTGTACTACCTTTACTATATAATTTAGACTCTCACTATCAGTGACGTTGCATTTCACAATTCACATTTAGACTCCAATCTCTCAATTTTGAGAAAGTTGTTGATTTTATATTGCAGCTATAAACTTGGATCTTTACATTTTAAGAGGGGAAAAAACATTTAAAAATCACATTTTCTTCTTGCAATTCAATTCAATTTCTTAAAATTAGAGGTAACCCTTATTTTTACTTATGTATGCGAGTGATTCCTTGGCAGAAAACGGAATCACCGGTAATCTCTCTGTGACAAGAGATGAAAATGTTTACAAGTTACAACTTCAATGGTTCAAATCATAATCAATTTGATAGTTAAGAGGAAAACGATGATGTAGGAGAGAATGAATGGATACACATATACTGTACTACCTATATTATATAATACTAAATCTCAAATTTTTGCCCGGAAATTTTGCAATGTACAAAAATAAAATTGATCTCACGTTGTGTGAATCGTATTAACACACAGCCTCTGAAACTTTCGACCGTCATAAAAAATTCGAAGCGGGTTTGATTTATCTGCTTTTTGCATCGAGAGGTATTTTGACAAGTTGCAAATAAGTTTCTGTTTGGCAGCTATAAGCTTGTTTCTTTGAATTGAATTTCAATTTTCAATGCAATTTCTTAAAACTAGAGGTATGTTTTTGATGTGATTTGAGTAATCCCCCAGCAGAAAACAGGCTTCAACACAAAATAAAGGCTAGAATTAAGTAACATTGCATAAGAAATATAAAAATATCCTGATCATTTTTCAAAACAGAGAATTGTAATTTTTCCAGATTAAATGGTGCTGGCGCTGATCTACTGTACAGTTCGAAGGCTTGTTGTATTATATAAGCAAAAGTTTTCTTGGACTGACCTATAGACTGGATGGTGTAGGCACAGCTGCCCCAGCACATGATTGGCACTCGGGGGTCCTGCTCATTCGGGTGCACTTTCAGACCCACTTTATACGTGGCTGTCCCAAACGTAGTCAGCATCTCCTTTATGGTGCTTGAATATGGATTTCTGATGAGTAAAAACATGCTTTTATTGGTTTTATAAGTTTATCACGTGACACCGCAGCCCCAATGAATTATGTATATATTGTGTTTTGCCTTTTTTTCCTTTTCTTCAAATACTGACAAACAGGCCAATTATATTCTGAAATATTTGATATTCCAATTCTCAAATATATGCAAGTACCATAGACTGTAAAATATATGGACGTAGTGTCCGTGACGTCACCCATAGGTTTCTGAAGAGCGCAAAAGAAGCCACAAGTAGGCGCGGCCAACCATCCCCATTTTGTTGGCGCGTCATCACACCGACGGCGGGATACCAAACAAGGGCAAAGAGGCGGAGAGTGAGCAGAGCTTCAGACACTGCTGGCATTTTGCTTGGACCTGGCTTAGACACACTTTACTTTGGGAGAAATGCTTAATACTTTATCACCTGCGACTCGTTTGTGTTCTGACCACATGTGCTTGGTTGTATACTATATCAATAAAGTGTTTAGACTTTTAAAAATACTGTAGTAATACATTAAGCCAATAAGTATTGTTCTTATGACGTTTTTCAACAGGAGGAAAACGCGAATTACTTCCAAACACTTCAGATATAGTCTGTGTTAGTAAATGTAAGACTATTGATGAAATCCAGCATAACACTGTATGACAACGCTTCAGATGACTGTTCTACAGTCCACAGCTAATCAATCCGTCAGTTTCTGCAGTGCATTACAGCTCTAAAGAACATTATAAATGATCTTAAATAAAACAAATACATTTATAAAGATGGTTTACAAGTATATAACTTTACTCACATGGGAAACGGAGGCCCCGTGAATGGTTTGTGAGCCCAATTAAGTGCATACAGCATCCCATATCATCTGATAATTGTAGGAAATAATCCCAAAAGGCAACTGACTGTGTAAAGCCACATAAAACAAAACAAAATAGGATGAATATGCTGATTTCAGTGGCTAATCGGCCGGAGTCAGCTGAGGTGACGTGATGGTGACCAGCGAGACCTAACTGTCAATCAAGTGGCCACTCCCTTAATTATGCAAACTTAATATAACTTAATATAAAGGAAGCTGGTGAGTTATAAAAAAAAATTCACCCCCCTCACAGTTGTCATGAAGGGTAATATAACCTGTATGAACCAAAACCGTTCTTTGTACCAGGCTGTAAACACTTTTTTTTTCTGCTGTAAAGTTGGCCATTCTAACAGTGAGCTCAGTTAAACTTTGCTCTATTATGGAGCCAGGACTAGCGGAATTTCGATGAATTGCAGTTTAAGTTACTTCCATATTGGCCTCCCGAGGAAGAGCGGAGGTTGCCGCTTGGTAAGAACATGCGTTTTATCTATTAAACAGCTTAATATTAATTATATTATTGGATAAATGACTGGTGATGGGTGCCGTCAAGTTTACTCTTGCTTGAGATCAGAACTGCTGCATTTAAAAAACTTAATTTTCTTCCGAAATACATAAACACAAGTAGCTGTTTAACTGGGGGTGGAAAAGAGCAATGTTTCTCAACCACATTCCTGGAGGACCACCAGCTCTGCACATTTTCCTTGTCTCGTTAACCAAGCACACCTGATTTAGCTCATTAACACAGACTGAAAGCAGACATGCAGTGTTGGTGGTCCTCCAGGAACGTGGTTGAGAAACACTGGAATAGAGTATGTGTACATCTAGTAACCTAAACAGTGTGTAACTTATATGAATAAAGAACATCGTACAGTTATATTTATAAATGATCAGTATTATTGTCTACTCCATAGACAACAGCATGTATTTCACAGATTATTTGGAATGTTATGTTTTGCTAGTATATATATATATATATATATATATATATATATACACATACATACATACATACATACATACATATACATACATATACTATACGCACGCACACACACACACACACACACACACACACACACACACACACACACACACACACACACACACATATATAAAATATACACACACACACATATATATATATGTATTTAACTGTTTCGGTCATGTAATCTCGCATTGCGTTTGGTAAAGACAGACAAATAAGTGTTGTTAGGATACGGTGTAAATGTTATTTGTTGAAAAACACAGATAAATTGTGATTTAGGACAAGCTCGGCGCACTCTATGTCGTCAGATTTGAGTTTTAGCAGGTTCTGATCATTTTAATCACCCTGCTGTGATTGTAGGCATGAAAGGGTTAACAAGTTACTTCTGAAGTGCATTATGGATGGACGACTGTTAGTCTTGTGGTCTTACTTTGGAGTGTGATCTAGTCTGAAGCCATCAGGTGGTGGACAGTCATTGACACCGTCTGTTTCATCAGCAGCTTCAGCACCTGCAGAGATGCATTCAAAACACTAGTCAAACAACCCAAACTAGCCCGCAGACTCGGTCAACATCAAGCCGTTCTAAGAGTGTTTGAGTACTGTTATTACTCACTGCTGGTTTTGGACTTCCTGTGAGCAGAGATCAGGGCTTTCATCTGATGAGAGGTGATGTTTAACCACTGGCTCAGATCAGGCTGTTCAGAGCTGCAACAAACAACGACGACAAATAAAAACTCTAAGTTCTCCGATTTCACATATTTTGACATAAATGTGCTGTTACATTAAGACAATTCTGCTGTTTATTGCCAGCAGTGTAGCAATATACACTCACCGGCCACTTTATTAGGTACATCTGCCCGACTATTTGTTAACGCAAGGTTCTAATCAGCCAATCACATAGCAGCAACTCAATGCATTTAGGCATGTAGACATGGTCAAGACAAGTTCAAACAGGGAAGAAAGGTGATTTAAGTAACTTTGAATGTGGCATGGTTGTTGGTGCCAAAGGGGCTGGTCTGAGTATTTCAGAAACTACTGATCTACATGGATTCACACACAGCCCTCTCTAGGGTTTACAGAGAATGGTCCGACAAAGAGGAAATATCCAGTGAGCGGCAGATCTGTGGGTGCAAATGCCTTGTTGATGCCAGAGGTCAGAGGAGAATGGCCAGACTGGTTCCAGCTGATAGAAAGGCAACAGTAACTCAAATAAGCACTCGTTACAACCGAGCTCTGCAGAAGAGCATCTCTGAACACACAACACGTCCAACCTTGAGGCGGATGGGCTACAACAGCAGAAGACCACACCGGTTGCCACTCAAGAACAGGAAACTGAGGCTACAATTCACACAGGCTCACCAAAATTGGACAAAAGAAGATTGGAAAAGCGTTGCCTGCTCTGATGAGTCTCCATTTCTGCTGCAAAATTTAGATGGTAGGGTCAGACTTTGGCCTCAACAACATGAAAGCATGGATCCATCCTGCCTTTATCAATTGTTCAGGCTGGTGGTGGTGGTGTAATGGTGTGGGGGATATTTTCTTGGCACACTTTGGGCCCATTAGTACCTATTTAGCATTGTGTCAATGTCACAGCCTACCCGAGTATTTTTGCTGACCATGCCCATCCCTTTATAATCTTCTGATGGCTACTTCCAGCAGGATGACGCACCATGTCATAAAGCGTGAATCCTCTCAGACTGGTTTCTTGAACATGACAATAAGTTCACTGTACTCAAATGGCCTCCACAGACACCAGAAAATCAATCCAATAGAGTCACTTAGGGATGTGGTGGAACGGGAGATTCACATCATGACTGTGCAGCTGACAAATCTGCAGCAACTGCGTGGTGCTATCATGTCAATATGGAGCAAAATCTCTGAGGAATATTTCAAGTACCTTGTTGAATCTATGCCACGAAGAATAAAGACAGTTCTGAAGTTAAAAGGGGTCCAACCTGGTAAAAGTAAGGTGTACCTAATAAAGTGGCCGGTGAGTGTAGAACGTACCACGTGCACACAAGTAACTTTTACACGCAAACTTAACTCACTAGGAAATCAGAGAATTTTCCAGGATTGAGAAACGTTGTATTACACTAACTCAAATGAATAGTAAAAAGCATGAGCTGGAGGTCAAAGTGTGTGTTTGTTGCATTACCTGCAGCAGGTCTTAGTGAGTGGCAGCAGAGGAATGACTGTGTTACTCAGACATTCGCAGAGTGGACACAAAAACTCTCCGTTCTCCACGTCATAACTAGTGTGCACACGGAGCCTCTGCTGCCTGCGCTGCTCTTTAGCCTGCACCGCCTCAAAATACCTGCAGGGGGAGACAACATATACAGTTACAAGGCTTAGCAATGACGATATCATAGAGATACTTTAGGACTGCACAGTAACAGGGGAAAATAAACTGAGTCCCGTCATTTTGTTGGGGAATGCATGTGCAAATAAAATAAAAGTAAAAGTGGAATATCATTAAAGTTGTCCTAAAACTAGAACTGCACACATTCTTGTCTTTAATATTATCGTGAGCTCCTCAATGTAAACTAATCTCGCAGTCATCTCTCTTCAACCATAATACATTATAAATATTTAGTCGGGACCTAGTGTTACGTTTAAACTAACGCCCCGTTCACAAGAAGCTTCAGCGTCAATGCTTGACTGAAGGCGTGTCTGAAGTTGGGGCTAACGCGATCGTCACAGCAGCGTCAGCCAATGAAATTCAGTCAGCAATAGGCCACTGTCTAGCTGGTGTATTTGCATACAGTGATCTGATTGGCTGACGCTTCCGTCTGCGCTTGAAATGTCGAGCTTGTCCCAACTTCTGCCGCAAGCAATGCCTCTAAAGCGGCGCCGACGGATCCACAATGCAGTTCAGCAACGCCTGACGTCACCCATTCAAAGCGAATGGGAAGCGTTGACGTTGAAGCCCCGTGTGAATGGGGCATAAGTCCAGTGGTGCAAAACAAAAATATTTATTAGTGTAAGTTGAAACGTAGTGACACTTTAAGTCTCAACTAGGCAAAATTTTAACTTGGACACTGCTGGTGCAAACGGCCCTAGGAGGTTATACTCTTAAATTGTTAAATCTTTATACACTCCACTTCTTTTTTGTGTTCTAGATTATATAAATCCCACAATAGGTGGAAACAATTTAATATTGAATAGGAAAACTACATCTTGGAACTAAGATTCTCATTATTCAGAAATAATTCTCACCTCTGCCAGCAGTGCGAGTGCATGATGTGTCCACAGCTGCCCGTGTGTGTGCCGAACGACAGGTCGGGGTGCATGAACAGGGGGTCATATTTATCTGCAACACAAACACCACTGCACTCAGTAACACAAACTCAAATACGATTAGCCCTGCTGTGAAATTTGTATTGTCTTGAAATATTTCCCAAATTATGTTTAACAGAGCAAGGAAATTTTCACAGTATTTCCTATAGTTTTTTTTCCTCCTGATGATGTTTTTTGCTTTAATTTGGCTGGAATAAAAGCAGTTAAAAAAAAAAAAAAAAAAAAAACATTAAGGTCAATATTATTAGCATTTTAATTGCCTAGTTAATTTAATTAAACTAATTAAGCATTTAAGTTGTGCTTTAAAGGTGCAGAATGCCAGTTTGACACTCAGTGGTTGAACTAGGTATTGCACTTCTGATTTCAACATTTTCACTCTGCACCTCCTCTGACAACGCCAGATTGACAACATCAACATCGTGCCTGACTATTGAGCCAAGACTGATTGAAATCATGTTTTAAATAAAAGCAATTTATTAACATTTTACATGACATTTATTGCCATACTACTGAAAGCAGCAGCAGATAGTTCACCTTAGATCTTGAAAATAAAATAAAACCGCTTGACATTGAGCTTCAGATCTGTGACTCAGTTCAAACAAACACATATAACGTTAAAGAGGTTTAATATGTATTAACTAGAGTAAAAACCTTTCGTAGGAGTGCAGTGAGTGCACGATTCTGTGCTTCTGAATGGCTGCATTTACATTTCTGTCGTGTTGCGTCTGGTGCAACCAAGCAAATTGCTTCTATCACAGCAAATATCATCACTTAGTTTGTTGTTAGGACACAGGGTTACACCTTATCCTGCTCACCTAATGTTTACATTCATACAATGTATATTATTTGCTTATTAATAAACTCAGGTGGAACTCTAAATCTGTGTCTCACTTGAGTCTGTTACTGTCCACCGGAAGCTGCAATTTCGGTCACAGATGCGTACTTCGAGAGCCTTCCTGACTGGCTGAACAAATTTCACTCTTTTCTATTAAGGCAACCCGGATGCTGTAATATAATTGGCTAAAGAGGCATTGGGCAGGTCAAAGGGACCAAAACAAGACAGATATTCCTGTAATGCACATTTTCAAAGCAGAATATCTGACTTCAGCAATGTTTTTCAGATAAACAGGAATGTTCACTAAGCATGTTTCTTAAATATCTGCAAACATATGATGGTATTTTATGCTTTAAGGGTGTCTAAAACTTACATACAGCACCTTTAAGTTGATCACAAGCATACTAGAAAAATATTATGTACGGTCTCCATCGGAAATATAAAAGAAATTAGTTATTAAAACTATTATATGTTTGCAGATGTGTTGAAAAAATTAATTCCATTAAACAGCACTTGGGAAATATTAAAACATTCCACAGGAGGGCTAATAACTATACATGGTGCAGTAAAGGGGACACAGACAAGCATGAAGGACATGCCTGGGTTGTGTGGTGGTCTCTTGCGGTTTTTGGACATGACAGTGGAGCGCTGGACGAATGCAGCGAGGACCATGGCTTTGCCGTCGCTACGGATCTCCTGCTCCTCCTGGCACAGGATACATGTCACCACCTGCCTGCGGTCGCTGCCACCTGCTCGCCAGCGCCGCGGGCCCACACACACCAGAGCACTGTCACACGAGCTGGGGCTGTGGAGGAAACACTTAATAAAGTCTGAGCCATGGCATTTCCACTACATGATCAATTTTGTTTTTGAAGTTTATTTACTTTTTTAAAATCAAAAACAATAAATAAATAAATACATATATATTTTAATTATTATTTTAAACTAAAGAAGGCTTTTCTAAGGCTAAACAAAAATAATGTTTGGGTTTATACTTAGGTTAACTCTTTAAAGAACCCACCCAAATGCATATACATAAATTTATGCATAGACAAATGCAGGCAAATACAGAAATCCAGCAGTTAATCATAAATAAAATAAAACTATGAATACAAATGTTGTAATATTATTAATATTTATTATTTTACTATATATTAGTTGCATTTATTATTATTATTATTATTTTGCTAAATATTACCCATTTATATGCTATTATGATCATATAATAATAATAATAATAATAACGATGCTAATTAACATGAATTGAACATACATAATTATACACAGTTAAATAATATATTAAAACAAGCAATAAACTTGTGTACCTGTGCTCCAGCGTGGAGGATGTGGAGGGGTCCAGGTCCTCCAGGCTCTGCTGGAACAACTCTTTGTTCTCGTTGATGAAGTGTCTCTGCATCTCTGACATCTGAGCCATGATTTTCTCTCTCCTGAGTCGCGCCATCTCCGCTTTCCTCTTCCGCTCCGCCTTTTCCTTATCCCGCACCGTCTACACATGCAAACGCATGCAGTCAGACAACACTGCAACTTTAATAATTTTATTAACCCATGTGCTGCTCTTCCTATGCTCACCTCCTCTTGACTGTGCCCTGAGCTGTCACTGGGGGGCGCACTGGCTGTGCACTCACGCGTGGTTTTGATGTAGGCCACAGTCTGCACACACACACACAAAATAAATCAACACCTTTTCCAAATAAAATCTGACATTTTGTGGTTCAAAAAAAAAAGTGTTTTAGAAATAAAATATTATAAGTAAAATAGCAAACCCACCAGTTAATTATAAAAAAAATAAAACAATAAATAATTATTTTCTATGATTATTTCTAAATGTTTGCTTGCATTTCATTTAAAATGAACTCGTGTTCAACTCAATCACTTTACAATTTTTGCATATATTTGAGTTTTCATTTGATGCTTTACTCTACAATATTTTATTGCTAAAACATTTTTTAACTACTAGATGTGAGATCTTGTTTGAGAAAAGTGTTGATTAATATATAATAAAATGTTAAAGTAGTTAGTAATTAAAAAAATAAAAAGTAATTAGTGCAATGATATTAATAATGACAAATAATAGAAAATATATAATAAGAATTATTATAATTATTATATTATAATTATTATAATCTGGAGCTTTTCTACAAAATGATCTTACAATGTTGGTTCAAAAATGGGTAGACCCAAATGAATATGTTCGGGAAGAATATTAAATAACATTTTCAAAAAAAAAGCAAAAATTAAGAGAAGCAAAAAAATATTTAGTTGAAATGTTGTAGTTTGCAATTTTTTTTGCACAATTTTAACTGTATTATCTTTCCATTTCTACAGATGTTTTGTGACTAAAATATTATTTTAATAAATATACATTTTAATAAAAATATTCATTTTTAAAATGAGGTGTATTTATATATGCTGAGCACGGTGTATGCATACACACACACGCGCACACGCACACACACATATATATATATATATATATATATATATATATATATATATATATATATATATATATATATATATATATATATATATATAAATATATATATATATATTTCCCAAATTATGTTTAACAGAGCAAAGAAATTTTCACAGCATGTCTGATAATATTTTTTCTTAAGGAGAAAATCTTATTTGTTTTATTTAGGATAGCATAAAAGCAGTTAAAACAATTTTAAAAGCAATTTTGAGGTCAGTATTATTAGCCCCTTTAAGCTATTTATTTTTTCGATAGTCTACAGAACAAACTATCATTATACAATAACTTGCCTAATTACCCTAACCTGCTAAGGTAAACTGGAATTGAGGAAAAAAAATTAACAGGGGGGGCTAATAATTCTGACTTCAACTGTGTGTGTATATATATATATATATATATATATATATATATATATATATATATATATATATATATATATATATAAACAAAAAAAAATTCTAAATATATGCATGTACTTGTATATACATAATAAATATAACACACACATAAATTAAGTCAAAACAAACTTTTACATTGGATGTGATTAATCGTGATTTATTGTAGCCCAACACTTCTTTTAACTCCATCCGGAAACCTTAATGTATAAATAAAATGCATGCCTAAATAAAAGCATCAAGCAGTGCACAAATTGGACTGAGGTTTTTTGCTGCCACCTTTTGGACACCTGAGATATTCTCTCACACACGCACGCACAGATGCATTCCAGTAACAGGTGGCTTGGTAATGAGCTTTTGATCAGCTTTACCTTGAGGATCCAGCGGATCATGTCCTTGTGCACCTCCAGATGAGGAGCGTTCTGCAGCGTCTCCAGTAAAGCCAAGATGCTGGCAGTGTTAGCAGGAGCCTCGCCGGGTCCTGCAGTCAACAGATTAGTTCAATATAGCTCACAAAGGTGTGTTTGTGTGTACGTGAGTGTATGACTATATGATGCAAGAGACATACTGGAGATTTTGAGAGTGAAATTGAAGTTGGTATCATTATAGTCTTCTGCGCTGCTGATGAGATGCTGCTGTTCTTCCACCAGCCCCATCCCAATGAGATGCAGCACCTGTGGGACACACACTACTGTGATGTTTCATATCGTTGCTCAGTACTAGAAACTTTATAAAACTATATTAGCAAAAAATAATAATAATAATTTAAGATCACAGTGCAAAAATTAGTAAACAATCACACATAAATGTTTATTTTTTAACATATTAGGCAAGTGGACAAGTATGCAATTTGACTTGCCATACTAAACATAAATAAATTGTTCTATAATTGTAAAACCACAGACTCTGCCGTACCCTCTGAAGCATGGACTCAGACCAGTGTCCTCCACTAGGCTCCATTGCCCACTGCAGAACAGCTCCTAGAATGCCCAGCAGCACGTCACACTGCAGGATGTTCACCAGACTGGCAAACAGCGGACAGAAGCGAGGCAGGACTGGTGGAGGCAGAACTACAACAAACATTGATATGAGTCTGTTAGTCTTAAGGTTATCTACAAGCTAGTGTGGTATACATTCCTGTTTAGAAGATATAAAACTGATATAAACATCCAAAGCTTGTAGTTTGTCACCTTCGCCTAAATGGATCAACGATTTTTTTCAGGTCATTTCATACTTCAGTTTCTCATTACATCATAACTAGGGTCAGACGGAATCTGCGGACATTTTTTGCTCCTCTGCGCAGAATTTTGAATTTCAGAATTTCGTAAGCATGGTATCTGCAGGTATCAGAGTTAAATTTAAGACTTAAGACATTTTTAAAACCATTATGAATGGAATTTTAGACTTATAAAGGGCTGAAGACTAAGAAATTTTTCAAATTACCCAGATGGAAAAGACTTTTATTTACCCTATAATTTTTTTTAGTTATTTAATACATTAAATAATACAATAGTACATGATTATTATTTAATAATAGCAATAATAATAATAATAATAATAATAAAATAAAATACATTACATTTTTTGCAAAATATTTTAACTATTGTATAAATACAAGCAAGGTCTAGTTGTATCCATACACATGTTTTACAACATAAACTTTCTTTAAAATAAAAGAAAAATAAACAAATCTTTTAAAAGTTTTAAAAACTATAATAAACTAAATTTATGCACAACTATCTGTTCAGGTCAGTGTCCTCAGCAGTAAATACATGGAGAACTTTTAAACAAATGTTATTGTACGGAAAATAATTAATCCATTATGATAAAGTTAAAAATGACCTTTTTAAATAAAAAGTTTAACGTTTTATTGAGATGATTGTTGATGATTGTATGGGTTTTGGCCAGATTTGGTAGCAATACATGAAGAAAGGAAAAAAAAAGACCAGTTCTAAAATAAATTTAAGACCTACAACACAATATTTCAGTAAATTCAAGACTTTTTAACGCCTAAAAATTGGATTTTAAGATAAGACATTTTAAGACTTTTTAAGACCCCGCAGAAACCCTGATGAGGTACGTTTTACAGCATCTATAATGTAGATTTTTATTTAGTTTAACAACAAAACATCAGTTAATAGCGCTATTCTGCCTAGCCTGCTTTACTGAGGTCAAGTTGGTTTTATATTCACATTGGTTCATTTTTGAACAATGACAACCTGTGACGCGCTCCCTATATTGTTCACCATGCTACTCTGAATATTCGGTCTGAAATAGCATGCAATTATGGCTTAGTATTAAGTGTAACTCCTGCATGCCGCCGGCCAATCACCAAGCATCCAGTAGTCGCTTTAGAACAACTCATGTGAGACTGAAGAGTTAGCAAGTTTTGCTAACTTCATAACTGAAAACATGCTTGATACAAGACAGTTTTTCATACAGAATTGTAAGATTATGAAGTACTATAAAGTTTTCTAACATTCTGGCGAACGACATGATCTTTTGGGTCTCTGCCAGCTTTAATGTGCACGTTCGCGAGTTCAGAAGGCGTGGCTTTGGACGACAGGTCAGGGATTGTAATTGAAAGATATGAGGCTAATTGGTTAGCATTTATACAGATCACCTACTGCACCTTTAATCAAATACAATGACAAAAAAAACACTTAAGAACTGGCTATTTAAAACGGTAATCATCGCAGTACCTGAATCTTCCCCATTTTGCCTCTTTATTTTTCTTTGAGCTTCTTCAGCCTGAAAACAGAAAAACAAAAAGTTGTTTATTTATTTATGTTAACTTGCATTGCTCACCATAAATGAGTGCACCCCTTACAGATCTCCTTTTTAAATCCATATTATCTATTTGATTCTTTACAATAATATATACTGTGCATCTACATTAGACAAGTCAGTATTAAAGCCAAAAATGGAACTAATCTAACGAAAAAATAAAAACTTAAGATCAAGCTATTTTATAAACTCAAATATCAAGAGAATAAAATCAAGCAAAACATTTTCACTTTCACACACATTTTCATTTATTCATTCATCTAAACCTTTATTTTACCAGGAGAAACTCTTGAGATTTGTAATTTCATTTTGGAGAGTGTTCTGGATAAACAAACAACACATCAAAATAAATCGATGCAAAATACAATTCATTTAATACACCATATAATTATAGCACCAAAACATATCTAGTCTCCAAATTAAATATGCAGTAAGACTATATTATTTTAAATTTGTATCTAATCAAATCATAAGACTATAAAATAGCTTAAATGTAAAACACACTAAAATCATTGTACAAGTGTCTTAGCACTGACAGCTAAAAGATAACGCAACAATATCTACTGACTAGAACTAGTGACTGAACTTTTACCTTAGACTGGTCAGCTCTGGAGTAATGGTGGAAGTAAAGATTGAACATCTTGGCACACTCTGGTCTGAGTTTATAGAGTCCTCTACCCGTCACGCCAGGCTTCCTGTACAGCAGGATCGACAGAGGATTACAAACAGACCAATACACCACTATATTACACAATATTAATATAGCACAATATTAATGCAGACTTTATTTAGGGACACTCACTTAAACAAAGCCACACTATCGATGACCCTCTCCATTCCTGTCTCCTTGTTCTCCTGTGTGCACAAGACAGAAAAGTGATAATTATGAGCACAAACGACCACTAGGTGGTAGCAGCATACAATAAATTAAATAACTAAACAAATACAACTGTTTGTAGTAAGTTATATGTGATATATTTGTAGAAATGTGTAGTATTTAATTTTTTTTTTACAAATTTCCAGGTCAAGCAAATAAAGGCTTTAAAATTAAATTCAAAAAGCACAAATAAAATGAATACGTATACTATTGTCAGTGTGATAAAAACCCAAATGATCATTAAAAAAGGCATTTGTTCTAGTCAGTTATGTACTCAAAAGGAAAACCCTCTTGTAGACAGTTATTAAAAAACTATATATCTGGAATCATCTTTGAGAGTTTTTGGAGAATATATATTGAAAGTGTAATTATTTTGGTCAGTTACACTCTTCACAAAACAATTGAATTACTAGCTGATGGATGCTTGTATAATAGCTGGCTGCATTATTGTATTTCAGGGGTCACCAAACTTGTTTCATGGAGGTCTGGAGGTGCGGTGTCCTGCAGATTTTAGCTCTAACCCTAATCAAACACAGCTGAACAAGCTAGTCAAGGTTTTACTAGGTATATCTGAAACACCCAGGCAGGTGTGATGAGGCAAGTTGGAGCTAAACCCTGCAGGGCACCGGACCTCCAGAAACGAGACTGGTGACCCCTGTTTTATATGATGACATGAGACACCAATACCACAGTTTTGTCATTTGCAAATCTTTAAAGGGTCACGAAACACCAAAACACATTTTTTGAGCTGTTGACAGTCGTATATGTGTCCCACACTGCTAAAAACACTATTAGGACACCTATATTTCACTAAAAAGTGTAAATTGGTTGTTTTTGCGTTATTTCAAGCAAATTCGTACTTCCGGTTTGAAACGAATTTTTGAAGCTGCGTCACGGGCATGACATAATAGCGTGTATTCCAGCGTTTAGACTGGACGCCTGTGCCAGAGTGAGTCTTATTACGTCTTACAGTGTGCTGCATTAATGCATGAGTAAGACTTGGATCAAACCAATCAGTGCGCTCTATTGTGCAACTTCATTAATATTCATTACTGTCAGAGTGTAGATGGCAGAGACGCCACGTTGTGTTGGCAAAACAAGCGTGAAGTGTTGCTTTTATAGTTTGCTGCAGTTAAGTTTCGATTTCATTTTCTCTCTTTGAGAGCTCAGACTCACGTGTGGATTACAGTGTACGCGACGCGCGACAACAATAACTTACGTGTCTAAGGAGGATTATTGTTTACCTGAGAGCTGTTCTCATCTGCAAACGCTGAGATCCAGATTCGCTTTACTTCCCTCTTAATAAAGACGCGGCTCTAGTTGCTGGTGATTGTCCTGTCTCTACAGATTTGGTAAGTGAGCGACCAGTGCTCTTTGTTTATTCAGTTCGTATTTTATTCGTATCAAACAAACTATTGCAACGAGTGTAAACAAGTTAGCACTAACAGTTACAACCAAACTATAACCTCGTGTTGGATTTTGTGACCGGAATAACACGCGGCTTTCTGACGCTACCTGCCGTGTGTATCTAAGTTTCCGGGAAATGCTGAGTTTTTGTTCTCTCATTCGCCGTGCGGTATCAAACATTGCATGAAAAATACACGCTTAGAGCAGATCCTCAAATCAAATATCACGTTTGTCGGGAGGGACATGAATGAATTCCCTGAATGAAAGAGCCAAACTGCAGTTAAAGTCCACCATTTAATAATCTGGCAAATAATTCGACTACAGATGTCCATGTAAACAGTCACATTGTCCGCTGTGGTTGTGTGTTTTGACTCTGAAATTCAGCGCATCCAAATAGACACTCCCACACCAAGCCTCGTTTCTTCCTCCGACACTCCCCCCTAAACAGAGCTGGACACGCCCACTTTTCTGACTTTTTCCAAAGTAGAGGTGTGAAAACACCCTGCTGAAACGAGGGGCTTTCATGGCCCTTTAAATAACTGTAAAAAATTAAGATGATGTATAAACATTTTTTTTTAAATCGCAAGTTGCCAAGTCAAGCAAAGAAAGGATTTAAAATCAAATTCAAAACACACTTAAAATTAATACTGATGCTATTGTCAATGTAAGACAATCATAGACGATCGCAAAAAAAAGTACAATAAATAATAGAAAAACTATGATAAATGCACAATCAAATATTTAAAACAGCAAACACAAGCGGTTTCCCAGTGTTGGGTTGCGGCTGGAAGGGCATCCGATGCGTAAAACATGTGTTGGATAAGTTGTCGGTTCATTCCGCTGTGGCGACCCTGATTAATAAAGGGACTAAGCCGAAAAGCAAATGAATGAATGAAACGCAAGCGCTCAGAGTGACTTACATTCTCAGGCAGTGCTTTGACCAGCTCGCTGTGGGCCATGGGTCGAATGCAGAGCTGGTGAACGATCTCTCGTCTGATCTCATCCGTGATCTCCACCTGACCGACACCTGCTGTGTAGCGCTCACCTGCACCAGGAAAACACCACTAAGCACTCACAGACTCTTCCAGAGTGTTAAAATTCTGTATAGATCATTCAAAAATGAGCCGCCTTCACTAAACCTCAAAAATAAAGCAGATCGATGTCATTTCAATCCTCAAATATAGTTTGCGTGAGGGAAACAAACTCATCAAAAACTCTGTGAATGTCTCAGGTTTCCCTCATCAATGTGCAGTATTTCATCAATGTTTAATCAGTGGGCTATATAAGGTATATTTTCTAAAGCTAAAAATACCTGAATAAGTGTGAAAGTTTAGCAAGACAGTATTCCTAAATGTTAAAGCAGCAGATTCTAATTTTTTTGTGTGTGTTGTAGTGTGATTGCGTGTGTGACAGCCTGGTTTTATAGCTGGTAGATCAAAATGGATCTGTAGGACAACTATTGTACCCTAAATATGTACAAATATCGTAAAATTATGAATGAATTTTTCTATTGTTGGAGTAAAAGGACCTTGTCTCTCTAAGCCTTGCCTGTTCTGCTATGATCGGTTAGACAGCCCAGAATATTGGGATTGGTCTATTTACAGCACACATCCAAACAATAAAATTTCCACAGCAAAATTTCTGCTCTGGAAATTTTTCTCAGAAAAACTACTTTACACAGATCTCTTACAAATCTATGTCGGTCTAACTGGTGATGAATTTATCTGCATTCTGATGTTTAAAAGTTTTCAGACAATATGCAGATTGTAAATAATTTGTAACTCCTTAATAATCTGGAGATAAAAAAAAAACACACAAACTAAAATAATGCACAATAATTTCTCCTGATTCTATGATTACTTTCCAAAAAAGAGGTTTATATTTGTAAATATTTAATTATTGCAGCAAAGCTTTAGGTTAATATTACAACTTAATTTGCATTGTGAATGAAATTATTAATATTTTTTCATAAAAAAAATTATTTTTATCACAGAAATTATGTTTGATAATAAACTGCATTGTTCTAGTTTATTATGCTGTTTGAAATTATGGTATTTATAGCAAAAAGTGCTTTTCCTTTGGCGTGTTTTAACAGTTTCTATAACAATAACACACAGCACATGAATAGTAATGTACAAAAATATTTAATACAGGCAATTAAATGAGTTGAGTCTGTTTATTTATTGTCATATCAGCAAGCCATGGCAAAATCAATAAAGATAAAATAAACAAATAAATAAAAATAAACAAAATAAATAATTTAATTAAATGAATAAATAACAAAGAGATAAATAAACATAAATTAAATAAACAAATACATAAATATTTAAAATTAATAATTAAACAAATAAAATAAAAAAACAAATAAATGGATAAAAATAAATAAACAAAAATATATTAAAATATTAAATTAATAAAAATGAATAAATAAGCAAACAAATAATTTTAAATATAATTAAACAAAAAAAATAATTTATTAATTTAATAAATAAATATATAACAAAGTTTAAGGGATGTGCATTGAGAAAAAAGCACTCACCCACGATCATAATGATCAAGTGCAGCATTTCCTCTATTAGGGTGTTATTTTGCTGAACCACATCCTGAGATACAGACAGAGATGGACATGTCACATACACACACATACTCTGAAAGTCAAATCAAGCAAGTGAAGAGAAAATGAACAGAGGTAAGCAGACCTTATTTGCGTTCTCTCGGCTGTATCTCTTTCTGCAGTCTGCTGAGCTGAAGATATGATAGAGCTCAAAACGACTCAACATGATCATCAGGAAGTGGTTTGGATCCATCATGGAAGCTCCAGCCTAGATGCAAAATCAGCATCAAATATGATCACAAACAACTAATTCCTCGACTAAAATTAGATTTTTTATTGAAAATTTAAAACTTCCCAAATATTTCACTGTATTTCCAATAACATTTGCTTCTTCAGGAAAATACTAGTAAGGAAATACTAGGAAAGATTCCTTGCTGTATTAAAGATCATTTGGGAAAAATTTTAAAGTGAAAAATTAATTTTACAGAAAGGCTAATAACTTTGACTTCGGCTGCATATATAATAATGCACAATAATAACAGCTGATTTTCCAACATGTACATCTAAGTGGTTCTGTCAAAAATGGGTCCGTCAATTTTACAATTTCCTGTTCTTTTTTATTTATTTTTTTTTAGGAGAATGCGGTTTTATTTTGCAGTCTATATTTTGCAGTCATTTTATTTGCACTGTCTGTATTTTGCACTGTCGTTGTATTTGCATTGTATTTTGCACAGTCGTTGTATTTGCACTGTATTTTGTACTGTCTGGAACCAGCAACTAAGCTTTTCACTCATCATGCACCCGTGCAGCTGAGGACGTGACAATAAAAGTGATTTGATTTGATTTGGTTTACTTACCACATAACACTAAATAAAATGAAAACATTCATGGAAAACACTCATATATATTCAAAACATTTTGGATTGTCAGAAATATCCCGACTGGACTGACCTGAAGCATGATGAGGTCTTTATCAAACATCTCCACTCTACACTTCACATTGTGATAATAATATATCTGCAAAGACAGATCAAGAAAAAGATGATTATTTTTATGGAATGGCATTCACTTCACAACATTAAAGAGACAGCACAACATTTAATATCTACTCAGCCTTTACTTGTTTAAAACCTTTATGAGTTTATTTCCTCTGTTGAACCCCAAAGAAGATAGTTTGAAGAAAGCTGAAAACCTGTAACCATTGGCTTCCATTGTACTTGCTTATCCTAGTGTGGAACTCAAATTTTTTTTTACAGGTTTTTAGCTTTCTTCAAACTAACTTCTTTTGTATTCAGCATAAAAAAAGAAACCCATAAATGTTTGGAACCAATTGAGGGTGAGTACACTTTAATTTTTGGGTGAACTACCGCTTTAATATTAATCTAACTGTTAAACAACTGCTACGAGAATTAAAATGTAATGAATGTATAAGCATCTTGCCTGATTAACCAAAGAGAAGCCGTTTCTTCTCCACATCCCAGCATGCACCTGGGCACAGAGTACAAGGCAGCGGAGCGGGTGTTCGATCAGCATGGGTGGACTTAGTTCACTCTGTGGAAGACACAAGATCCTCAGAAATAACGCTAATGAGAATGTTTGTGAAAGGCAAAAAAAGTCTTGAAATACATTCTCAAACTCACCAGAGGAAGCTGCTCGGGGAATCGATAGGCAACCTCAATTTTGCTCAGCAGAGCATGTAAACCTGATGGCAAAACACAGAGGAGTTTGGCTGATATGAACAGTGGAAATGTATGTTTATTTAGTTTTATTTTTTAATAATATTAATATTAGTAATGTTAAAAAATTATTACAATTTTTTTTCTTTATTTTTGCATATTATTAATAGTAATAATAATAATAATAGTAATAAAATAATAATAAAAAATATATATATTTTTTTTTCAAAACAGATTTTATTTTATTACTTTGTCTATTTTTGAACAATTAAAATAATTTTTTTTAAATTATTTATATTTGAAAATATTTTTAAAATATTAAAAAAATAAAATACATTTTATTTTAAAACTGATTTTTATTTTAAACTGTGTTTATGTTTAGATAAAAATGTTAATAATAATAAACACCAACAACAATTATTATTACCAATATTAATACCAATTATTATTATTATTATTATTACCATTTTTATTATCATTCAACATTATTTATTTTTTCACATTTTAAAGCATATCGCAGAATAAACTAATATCGCAATCTCCGATTTTTCCAATATCGTGCAGCCTAATAAGAAATATCTTTCCAAGACAGTAAACATAAATATTGTCATCCAAACTTTTGACCAATGGACCAATGGACATTGAGCAATAAACAGATAAAACGACAGAACAATAGAAGGAACGTTAGATAAAAAGAATGGTAAAGAGAATGATAGAACGATTGATAAAACGATAGATAGGATGACAGACAGACATCCATATAACACTAAAGAAAATTAAACATTCATGGCAAAACCTTTTCAGGGTTATCTAACGTTACAAATGCTTTCCAAATACAGATATTAAGACATCATTAAGGTGAAATTGGATTTATATCGCAGAATAAAGAAATATCGCAATCTTGGATTTTTCCAATATCATGCAGCCCTATAAGAAATATCTTTCCAAGACAGTGAAAAATATATTATCAACCAAACTTTTGACCAATGGTGAGTGTGTGAAGCCTAGGGTTGAGTACCGAAAGCCGGCTCCATACATGTGCACCAGACGAATTAACAGAGAAATTTCTTTGCCACCGGTGCTGTAACAAGAATGTAAGGAGCATCAAGGGGTACATCAACGATACACATAGGTGTGCGTTGTGTCACACTAATTCTAAACATATCGTGTTTATCAAATTTGCTTAAACTAAGCGTTCTAAAGTGTGGCTATACATAACAAGCAAGAATTCTGATGCAGCAATGTGCAGCAGACGCTTTACAAAGGTTGCGTGACTACACGTCAAACTTAACGAAACATTTGAGGGCGCATGGAATAAATTTAAAGGCAGAGGAATGTACTGTCTTTGACTGCTTTGGACATCATCTGGCACTTTCACCGAGTGTGTTTACATGGACACCAATACTCTGATTTTAATATGATTAAGACTAAACTCTAAATAGGAGTCTACCATGTAAACAGAGATTTTTGATTACCTTAAAAGACCGCAAACACTCACGTCACAAATACGGAGGGTTTTTCCTTTTCATTCAGTGTGCGGTATCAAATGTCATTAAAACAACACTCTTCCACCAGTCCTTACTTCATATTCTCATCAAAAACCTCAGTTTGTCATGGGGCATGCAGGAAATGTTGTAAAGGACTGACCTGCTAGAAGCCGGGACACAGGCAGGTGTATGCTCACTTTCTCCTGAGAGACGCAGTAGCGGATGGTGTCGACGGAGTGACCGCACATGCTGAGGGTTATAGGCTGCTCTCCGTCTGTGAAACCGCTGTGGCAGTGAGTCAGTGCACTCAGGCTCTTCTTATACGCTTCAATCAGCACTCTCTCCTGTATACGTCACAAACAACACAGTCCAAGTCAAAATTATTAGCCCCCTTTTCTAATTGTTTCAACACATTTCTAAACATAACAGTTTTAATAACTCATTTCTAATCACTGATCTGTTTTCTCTTTGCCATAATGACAGCACATAATATTTGACTAGATATTCTTCAAGATACTAGTATTCAGCTTAAAGTGACATTTAAAGGCTAGGTTAATTAGGCAAGTCATTGTAAGGAGGGAGTAGTAGTTTGTAGGTATGCATTAACTCACGTCACTGGCACACCACTCCTGCATCATGGAGATGATATGTGTGAGCTTCATCTGTAAGGTAAACGCTGCCTCCCATTCTGGCTCCATCTCTATGTGCTGCCCCACCTGGCGCACAACCGGGTCCATTCCCTATATTCAGGACACACAGGCTTACATCAGTGCCCAATATAAAATATAACACACAACCCTAGGATCAGATTAGTATATAGTCACCTGCATGCATTTAAGCAACTCCAAGAAAGCATCAAAACCTTCCAGATACTTCTCCCTGAGTTGGTCGGTCCACTCTGTTGGACGGCTGATCAAGACATACCTGAATTCAAGACACATTCACCATGATCATATACATTTCATGAATTGTGCATTTTAATTTTGCTTAACCATACTTTGAGATCTTGTCCTTTTGGTCATGACCCAATGCTCACGACCATAGGTGAGAGTAGGAACGTAGATTGACCAGTAAATTGAGAGTGACATTGACATCTTCTAGATATCAATACCTAATATATACATAAAAACAGAAACTCAGCTAGGACATGGCAGAATTGGGAGCATTAGAAATATCTGGATAATAACACTGGATAATATTAAATTCAGCTGAGTGCTGTCAAATGTTTAAAAGATCCTCAGTTTTGATCTCTAGAAGACGTCAATGTCCACTGTGTAACTAATAAGCTGGCGTTGTATGACAGTAAGACAGGTCTGTTTAAAAAAGTGATTATTCAGGGTCTCTGCAGATAACATGATGTCAAATTTAAGACTTTTTAAGAACTTTAAGACCATTAAGCATTAAATTTAAGACCTATATTGCAATAGCAAAAACACGCGAGAGAAAATGTAAAAGCACAAAATTCTCTGGAGAGCAAAAGCATGACAGAGTCCGACGGAGTGAGAGCAGATCATTCGCACGTGAGCAGCCAGTGTTTTGAGAGCTCGCGAGCAGTTTTGTCCATGAACAGAGGAAACCGGCGCGTGAGCAGAGATTCGCTCTCTAGTATTACAGCGCTCCCGACTTATAAAACTGCGCTTACGACATTTGTAAGTGAAATAACGGCATACTCTGCCAGTCGAAATCATGTCATGCGCACTCAAAGTGAACTTTCTCAAACACAGCGATGACGTCACATTCGCCGCTTGCACTGAGTTTAATAACAGAAAGCTGATTGGCTATTGCAAGCTGACCTTTTGTAATACCGCAAATTATAATTGGACTAGTGAAATAAAGAACTACAACACCCCAAAAACCAAGCAACAACAACAAAAAGAATTTAAATGAGCATTAGATGTAGCGTTACATGGACATCGCAAAAATAAGACCTGTGCAAAAATATTTAAGACCTAGAACAGCGAATTTAAGACTTTTTAAAGCCATAAATTTCGATTTTTCAATTTTAGACTTAAGACTTTTTAAGACCCCGCGGGGACCCTGTTATTGGCCAAAACAAGCCCAGACATTCATTTTGATTATTTGACTTGTCTTAAATTAGTGATACCATTGAGTACAGTGCAATGTGCAGTTATTATATACACATCGATTATACTCATGTTGCGTCTAAACATGTGCAAAGCTAAATTTTAAAATAATGAGTTGGAGTTCATATATACTGAAGAAGTAATATGTAAGAATTACTTCTTAGCAACTTTCTATGCCTACCGAGTAATACCAGCCACAGCCATATCACCCTGCAGCCCAAGACCGTTTACTCACTGAAGCTAAGCAGGGCTGAGCCTGGTCAGTACCTGAATTGGAGACCACATGGGAAAACTAGGCTGCTGTTGGAAGTGATGTTAGTGTGTCCAGCAGGGGGTGCTCAGCCTGTGGTCTGGGAGTCCTGATGTCCCAGTATAGTGAAGGGGACACCATACTGTTAGTAAGCACCATCTTTCAGATGAGACGTTAAACCGAGGTCCTGACTCTGTGTGGTCTTTAAAAATCCCATGGTACTTCTTGTAAGGAGTAGGGGTGTAACCCCAGTGCCCTAGCTAAATTCCCTCCATCTGCCCTTACCCATCATGGCCTCCCAATCATCCCCATCCACCAAAGTGGCTCTATCACTGTCTCTCCACTCCATCAATAGTTGGTGTGTGGTGAGCGCACTGGCGTCTTTGTCAGGTCGCTGCCATTGCATCATCCAAGTGGATGCTGCACACTGGTGGTGGTGTGGAGAGACCCCCGACTGATTGTGAAGCACTTTGGGTGTATGGCCACACACGATAAATGCGCTATATAAATTCACCTTGCATTACATTACATAGTGTTGGCAGTAGAACCACATGTTTGATCAGGGTCATCCGCACCCAATTATTATCCTTTACTGTACTACACTATTGACCTTATTTAGTGATGCGGAAGTTTTTGCGATTGTTTTAGAACTTTTGATTAAATTGCTTATGGAAATAAAAAATGACTATGAATAATAAACGACAGTAAACGAACTGTTTAACTATTTGTCCTACAAAACGAAAGTTAATGACTAAACAAAAAAAAGACGAAGAATATAAGTGAATGAGATCAGAAGTCTCGAGCCAAAAAGATTCCTGCTCTTACATGAAGAATAAAGTCAATACCTTTTTATCTTATTTTTTTATTTTTATCTTGCCTTTTTCCTTATGATACAAGTTAACAATGATGTGTCTGTTGCACTTTTCTCTTTGAACATTAGTATGTAATTGAGCTTATCTCTGAAAACAATAGAACATTGATCACAAAAAAAAGAATAAAGTTAATACAATACCGTTCAGTGGAAACAGGCAAAAATGTTTGGGTAATTGACTTTGGAGCAAGCAGGTCGTAATAACCGCACACACTTGCGCATTATCTTACTTGAGGTCTCCGATAAGGCTCTGGACTCGGCGGAATTTGAAGGCCTGTTGTGCGGTGTAGCGTTCAAACTGGAAGCGGCCCTGCAGGTCTCGGTGTCTGAGGTGATCCACGAACGTGCGGATGATGGTGGTCATCAGATTCTCATCTGTGATCAGCATCCGCGCCTGAAAAATAACACACACAACTGCCACTGCTGGTGTTTTTTTTTTTTTTTTTTTCAGAATATCCAATCCCATTTAGTGAGACAAGAGGAGATGAAAGTGACCAGAAGAAAAAAAGTAATGTGAGAGGAAATGATATGAAGAGCTCAAAAAAAAAAAAAAGTGGCCGTACTTTACATTTGGTGGCCTTAGAAATAAATACAATGTACTCGCTGTGTTCATAAAGTATTGCAGAACACTTTCAGGTGCTTTTGAGATGGGATACAAGCATGATTGGGCACAGGTTTTGTCGAATGGGTAGATTTAGAGGTGGGTTAAGGCAGTGGTCTCCAACCTTTTAAAAAAATCGTATAGAATTTTAATTGTTGTCGTTCCACTACTTTAATGCCTTCTTCAAACCTCTTCTGAGGTTTTTTTTTTTCAGTTTATTCACGACAACTTGCTTTTGTATGTTATTATTACTGTTATTATTTATATGCATATTTATATTTGTTTTATTAAAAACAAGCTTAGATTTGTCCACCTGTGGTTTTGGACCATATGGGGCATAAGAACAGGACGTGTGTTTGGGTAGAACTCAGGTTTTGACCATACTTCATTATTATTGTTCATTTATTAATTTGCTAAAAATTAGAACTGAATTTAGAAATAGAAATAGTTTTGAAACAAATCTTTGTGCTTAACCAACCAAATTAAATATGTAGGATAATGGATGTTTACAGTGGAGTGAGTTTCCACAGTTTCCTTATTCACGAAAGAGAGAAAGTAAAGAGGATGAATGGAGGAGGCTCGTTCTTTATCCTCGCGCTGCAGATGCTCTATTTAACCGTTTTCTCGCTAGTGAAGCGTTCAGTTTTTCCACTTACACAGTCCGCCATTTAAATAGCGAATGCACCATGGCGTGACACAACTCTTAAAGGGAATGGGAGATGAGATTCTGATTGGTTTATTTTCAAAACACACCAATAACTCTTTAAGAGAATAAGCACAACACTGTTAGACCATGTGCCACAGCGCAAACTATATTCTTTAAATCCTTAAAATAGCAAAAGTATATTCAGTCACGCACATAATGCTTTTGTGCCATGCGCTAGATCGTTAAAAAAGAGCCCTGTGTCACTAATAAAGGCTATTTTCATGGCTAGAACATTTCCTTGATAAAAATATTTCAATAATAAAACAACAAATGACTGAATACATATATTAGATACAGGCTATATGCAGGAAGCCTAAAGATCATTTCAATACCATTTTAGGGCTTTTTAAAGACATTTTAAGTAAATTTTAAGACCTCATCGCAACTTCAAGTTCAAATCATCAGTATTAAACCTTTACCTTAATAAACAGTTTTTAATACACAAATCAATGGAGCACAACCATGCAACAGAACTGAGATAAGCTCGGAAGAAATAAGGCATGAAAGAATAAAGTTACGCGACAGGCTTCACCCACGGTTTAAACTCGTCTTTCTCCAACCAGGAGTATGCAAACATTTCCGAATTTTGGCATCTGCTTCTTTCTATGGTTCGCTATATGTGAGGAGCGTCACATCACCTTCCTGCATTGTTGCAAATTACGTGACATCACCCGGATGACGGAGCTTGGCCAAACACACTCCAGCCTAAACCAATCGCGTGGATCAAGCACGCTTTTGTTAACAGTAAGAGGAAAATAAATATATTTATGCTTTTTTGGAGTCAAACACTTTGGACAGCGCTTGAACAAAAATTAAGACCTCGTAAAAACGCAATCAAGACTCTTTAATAGCTTTTAAAAGACCTTAATTTTCTTATAATAGAGAGATCAACTTTTAATACTTTTTAAGACCCCGCGGACACCCTGAGATAAGACTTTAAGTTTGAAAAGAGAAGAAGATTAGAAAAGAATGGATAGATGGAAATGAAAGTAGCTACCAATAAAACCCAAATCTCCATCATTACGGCAGGCCCATCTCTCATTGAGTGTACTTACCAGAGAAGGCACGGTGAACATTTGCACAGAAAGATCAGTGACGGAGAACTCCCTGTCGTGGTCGTCCTTCACATAGTCGCTCTGCAAGCGCTCATAGTTCTACAGGAAGCGTGAAGGAGGCGAGGAGAGGCAAAAGAGAGAGAGAAAGAGGAGAGGAGTGTGGGATTGAATGTACTCACCACAGTAGGCGCGGTGAAGAGCTGCACTGACAGAGAGGTCACTGACACTACACGCTCGTGATCGTCCTCCATAAAATCTGTCTGAAGGCGCTGGTAACTCTACGGGAAGGGGGGAAGGGGCACATTCACCTTCCAGGTCAGAGGTCAAAGGCCATCTGAAGTTACGTCTCCCCCCACCCGAATTTAAAATCTAAACCTGTGGTGCTCAAGGTATAAAGTTAAACCTGTGGCACTGGACAGGGTTTTGTGGAGCCAGGGGGGTTTATATCTGAAGCTCCACTTGACTCATTGGTTTACTAACAGAATTATTTAAAGGTGCAGAATGTAAGTTTGACATCTAGTGGTTGAATAGGGTATTGCACTCCCAGTTCAAAACACACGCAAGCGCAGGTTGCCAGATTGATGAACAGGAGTGTGCCTATCGAGCCTAAATGCCGATTTAAACACCTCATGTGCTTCATTCAATGTTAAATGCTAATAATGTGAGTTTGAATGCCATTTTACATGAGATTTATTGCCATACTACTGAAAGCAGCAGCAGATAGTTCACCTCAGATCTGGAAAATAAAATAAACAGTTTGATATTGAACTTTAGATCTGTGACTCAGTGCAAACCAACATACATTAGTGATTCAATATCTACATTTAATAAAGTTAAAGAGGTTTATTATGTATTAATTAGATTATAAACCTTACCATTTCGTTAAATTGCAGTGAGTGCACAATTCTGTGCTTCTGAATGGGTGTTTATAAATTTCTGTTGTTTCGTCTGGTGCAAACAGTTAAATTGTCACAAATCTTGTCACATAGTGTAATATGTAACCAGGTCAGCTAATGTTTACATTTGTAATGTTAATATTATTTGCTAGTTAATAACCACCTCATGTGGAACTCTGAGTCTCATTTCGGAGTCTTGCTACTGTCCACCGGAGGTCGCATTTCGGTCACGGACGCAAGCTTTGAGAGCCTGAATGAATCGAATACTCTGTTTTCCACCAATGCAACCCGGGGTGCTGAAATATAATTGGGTAAACTGGCATTAGGCCGGTTAAATGACCAAAACAAAGATACATTTTCAAAGCAGAATAACTGACTTTAGCATTGTTTTTCAGATAAACAAGAATGTTCACTTTTTTTTCACGTTTCTTAAACATCTGCAAATATATTACAGTATTTTTGTGCTTTAGAGGAGTCAAAAACTTACATACAGCACCTTTAAGCTAATGTTTAAATCTCTGCCAGCAAAGTCACACCTGAGAATGAGCCCTATGATTTCCACAACAAAGAAAATGCGGATGGAAGGGTCGCAGAAATTTTCGAATTGAATTTAACAGATAATGCAAAATGTCACCGAATCTGGAAAATTTTACAGGAGAAAAAAAACATCAGTGTGCCCAGATATCTAGGAAAATCTTGAGAGGCAGGTGCTGGATCAAGCCAAACACAATTGAAAAAGTAAAAAAATGATAAAGACTTTATCTAAATTTAAAATTGGCACTGAGCCATCTTGTTCTATTAAATTTAAGAGGTCAATAAAAATCAACAGCAAGTCTTACACCAAATCAAATCGTAATATGGATTAGAATATTGAAATACTGCTTTTGAAATATGTTTTTATGTTGTATATGTCTTTAAGTGCAGTAACATGTTTAAGAACGTGATAAATGAAGTTACAACAATAATGTTTTCTTCCAAAATCTGTTTAATGAATACTGATTATGAATTTAGCTAAGGGAATAATTCATCTGAAAAATGGAAAATCAGATGGATATATATTTATTAATTATTACATGGCTTTCTGGAATACTTGATTCTGATTGGTTAGTTGCAACATTCAAAAAGTATATTATTACCAGGTAACGGACTGAAATTAATAAAACAGGCTTTTGTGGGAACTTCCAATGTTCACATCCATATTTATATGCCTGTCATGTCGCTGTTTGACTGTTTGGCGAATAATTTGCAGGTTAGAGTATGCTCCACTCAGCTTTTTTCATTTCTATCAGCTTTGCCTTTAATTAAAGAATTGATTAACTATTAAAGCTCAGAACAATGTTTTGTGTCTATTTTTTTACATTTGGTGGCCAGTAGCTATGTAATAAGTGAGCTAAAGTACATTCAGGCGGTTGTTATCCCAGAATAAAGAACTTCAGGCTGATACAAATAGCCTGTTGGGCTTTATAATGCAAAAACAACTGACTAGATGTACTTTACCCCTTAGATACACAATATCTTGGCTCTTTAGAACGGCAGTGAATAGTGGCTAAATTTATTTTTAAAGCACAGCCAACCATCATAGAAATAATCAAGACTCCAGTATTCTGAAGCAAAACCTTGCAACAGGTTTTTTTTTTATATAAATAATGGTAAATGTAAGAATTTATACTCTACTGTCACTATTTTGTGACTTCACAATTCTATCCAAACAATCATGACACCAGAGCCTTTTTTTATAACATCAAACTATTAAATAATATCAAACTTCTATGATGGATAGATGTGCTTTCAGAAGAGTCAAAAATATGGGTACAGTTCACTGCTATTCCAAATATATGATGCACATATAATATAGCTCAAATCTATATCTAAATATTTATTTTTTAAATTTTTTTTAATTGCATGTGTTAAATATCAATTATTTTGATATAGTTTTGATAACTAAACTTTAATTACAAAGAACCACAAAAAAAATTAAAGCAATAATTTATTTATCGCATATTACAAATAAAGTGGCTCTCATAGGGCTCTGGACTTAAGTGCAGGCTGAGAGACAGATTCCAGCTGCAACAGCACGACTGATTAAGTCAGAGGACTGCAGCGGGCAGTGAACAGAGGAGAGCAGGAGTCTCTCTATAGCACACACTCTCTCTGAAATAATAACACTCAATGAACCGAGACTGTATGCTTAAACTCCCTGACCCTCACTGATCAGCTGAATCAAACCAAGTGTGAAGTGAAAGTGAACTAGGGGTAACCACAGACAACACAAATCGCAATAGAATTATCCTTTCTGGGCTAAAGTTTCACGGTGCTATAAAGAGCGATTACCCAACATAAAGACGTGTTTGACGAAAGCAGAGTCCCAATGCAATGTTTCAACGATATTATGCTTGCTTCATGAATTCAACTAATTGCAACTTATTAATTTAACGAAAAATAATGCATGCGACTGAATTTTAGAGAATGCTAACTATGGTGGATAAATGCAATTTTTACCACATCTTAAATTGAAATGTATAATAATTCACTGTCAATCTACATATTAGACTGACTGTGCAGCTCTAATTTCTTACCCTCGCAAACTGGATAGCAAAAAGTTTCTTGTACTTCGGATCCATGAGTAGACTGCTCATAAAGAGCTGATGGTAAACATTTCTCGCTCCTGTTGGAAACACAAAACCAGATGTCTCAATCATATTTCACCCCCAAAACAAAATAAACAAGTAAGAAATGAGCTATGCTCCACATTAGGGTGTCATTGTTTTAATGTACTTCTATTCATATGTTCTCCATTACTGCACCCAGGTTATAGGACGCTCTCCCTTATTCCGTAAGAAATACTTCCACACTTTTTAAGATGGCATTTTTAGATTCTGGATCATTCTAATGCATTTATAATTTCATAGTTTTCTCTGTTGAATCCTTGTATTTTATTGCACGTTTTATCCTCTCTGTTGATGTAGAGCTTTGAGTTTTAGAAAAGCAAATAATAAATAAAAAGTATTACTATTATTTATTATTATTATTACTATTATATAATTATTGCTCAGGTGTTTTTATTTCCAGCAAAAAAATAAAAATCTCTTCATAAGATAAATAAAAAAAATTATAATTCAGCTATAATGCAGAAGACAGTATTTATTCATCTTTGTTAGTGCTTATAAAATATATAAAATAAAAATAATACAAAATACAGATAATCAACGCTAGCTCAGGCCTATGCAACAAATCTACTTTTAATTTTAAATAATGTATTAGTAAAGTGTATACCGTTTTATAAATATTTATATTTTTATATAAAAAAAATTCAACATTTTTGTACAAATATACCTATATACCATATTTTTGTGTAAATATATATGTAAAAGGTTACCAAAATTAGATTTAAATTTAATTTAATTATTAAATTTCTATGATTTTTTGCATGAAAATGTATTTTATTATCTAATTTATTATTAAAAATTGCAAGAATTAGATGCTTTGTTTCCAGTGAAGACTTAAAGCAGGGGTGGCCAAACTCGGTCCTGGAGGGCTGATGTCCTAAAAATTTAGTTCCAACCCCAATCAGACACACCTGGGCTAACTAATCAAGCTATTACTAGGCTTTCTAGAAATATCCGCGCAGGTGTGTTGAGCCAAGTTGGAGCTAAAATCTGCAGGACGCCGGCCCTCCAGGACCGAGTTGTCACCCCTGACTTAGAGAAACTTGTTCATGCTTTTATCAGCAGCAGGGTGGATTACTGAAACAGACTACTCACTGGCCTTCCCAAAAAGACAGTCAGAGCAGCTCATCCAGAAAGCTGCGGCCAGGATTCTGACCAGAACCAGAAAACCAGAGCACATCACACCTGTCCTCAGGTCTTCACACTGGCTCACAGTTACATTTAGAATAGATTTTAAAGTATTATTACTTGTCTATAAATCAGTAAATGGCCTAGGACCTCAATACATTACAGATAAGCTCACTGAATACAAACCCAACAGATCACTCAGATCATTAGGATCATATAAACTAGAAATTACAAGAGTTCAGTCAAAGCAGGGTGAATCGGCTTTCAGCAACTAACAGCGCCACCTACTGCTGGAATCAGCTTCCAGAAATGATCAGATGTGCTCCAACATTAGGCACATACACATCAAGACTGAAAACACATCTGTTTAGCTGTGCCTTTACTGAATGAGCACTGTGCTACGTCCGGTAAATCTATTATGTCACTATTATGTCTTTCTTTTCTTTTTCATTCTTTTATAACCTGTTCGAGCACATTTTAATCTGTTTTTAATCATTTTAATATTCTGTTTTTAATTTCTTACACTTGTCTCTTTAATTCCTGTTTATGTAAAGCACTTTGAATTTCCACTGTGTATGAAATGTGCTATATAAATAAACCTGCCTTATTGTTTTCTAATCCTTCAGTGCAACTAAATTCTTATACATTTTTTTTAGTAATGAGTATAAAAATGACAGTAATGAGACTCCAGAAGTATTTCAAATCATTTAAATCAAAACACAAATAAATGAATTGTCCTAAAACATACTTAATCTTGCCATAATCTTCCCTAATTAGTTTTTCTTCTAATGCTGCGTTTACTGTGCTGTGTGTTACTGCAGTGCGTCAGGAGAGCTGATGTCAGCACACTCATTCACCTTTCCACATCTTGGAGTCACAGAGCATGAGTTTGTCCACTAGAGAGGAGTTTTCTCCCTCCGGTCCTCTCTGCAGACCCACCTGACACAAGATCCTCCTCAGAGCATCTGCTGGACGACAGGAAGACAATAAAGCAGATGCAAAAGCTGACAGAGCTTGCCTGTTAATGTGCTATGTGGAGAGAAATAATTCATTAAAATTGTGAATATAGGTCTATATAATCACCCTGCAAGTTTAAAGAGAATTTGAATTTTAATAGTGCACAAGTATGCAATTTGGCACACACCTTATAACACAGTTTAAACAAAGTGTGACAAAGATGCAGAGACAGACCTGAGTATCTGATGGTTTGGCCAAGCCAGTTCAGAGCTTTGAGTGCAAAACACTGATGAGCCACTACAGAAGAGTGCATGACCTGAACCCGCAGAGGTTTCGTCTGCCGACTCGTGTTTCTCTGTAACACATGTACACAAAAATCACAGCATTTACAAGTAGTTATTAACGATGTCTACATTTCTGCTATATATTGCGATATTGAGACAATGGACACTTCACTACTTTCCTGAGATAAATGTAATATTATGTGACATTTGTTGAGCAGGTCTCATTGCCTGGTGCCGAAAAAACTACACAAAATTGGACATGACTCCTAAAAAAACTTCCAAGATGAATGAATAAATAAATAAATAAAAACTGGCACAACCCAGGCAAGTGGTTTTGTAGATGTTGATTGCAGAGTATTTACCACAATAACAGATTTGGCCTGCTCGCAAAACTGGAAGTCCCCAAAGCGAACAGACTTCCTGCCCTGAATACGGAGAACACAAGCAATCAATACACAAAAGCAAGAGCGGCCTTTAGCCTGAATCAGGCACAGTGAATGAACGGCAGGTGAAGCACACTCTTACATCTCTGTCCACGGTGGTGGCGAAACTGACGGCCTCTTTCTGGGTGCAGTTCACAGCTTTCTGTAGTGTATAGATGACCTGCTCGTACGTGTGGACCTCATCGTTGAACAGCATGCAGTAGTACATATCTCCACGTGCCCTTGACAAAAAAAAATAAACATGCTGTAAACTCTCAATCTGGCCTTTCTGGATGAGGGAAACTCTAGTTAACCCTTGTGCATTGTTCAAATTGACTACTCTTTCGTTATGTTCGGTGTAGTTTTTGCCCCACTGACTTCAATTATAATGACATTTGTTGATTGCGAAGACATGATGGCTTATAATCATGCATTCTTGATTGTTGCTGGTTTCCCTGTAGAAAAGAGTTCAAATGTGCCATATTTACTGTGGATCATCAGTTGGCAGATTTAACGCTTTAGATGGGCTTATGCAAAAAAGTTTCTGGCTTTTAACTGGAGTTTTGTGTACAAACTGCACTATAATCTGCTGTTGAGTAAAACAGCAGATTATAGTGCATGTATATAAATACACCTACTATGTTTACTAAGGTCTCTCTCCATATAAAATACAGAAACTGAGCGTTTTATTCTATTTTATTCATTCTACCTAGCCAACAGGAAAAACCAGCAACAATCAAAAAAGCATGACTATACACTCACCAGCCACTTAATTAGGTACACCTTACTAGTACTGGGTTGGACCCCCTTTTGCCTTAAGAACCACCACATCCCAAAAGTGCTCTATTGGATTGAGATCTGGTGACTGTGGAGGCCATTCAAGTACGGTGAACTTATTGCCATGTTCAAAAAACCCCTCTGAGATGATTTACCCTTTATGACAAGGGATGAACATGGTCAGCAACAATACTCAGGTGGGTTGTGGCGTTGACACGATTGGAACTAATGGGTCCAAAGCGTGCCAAAAAGTATCTCTTGACCTCTATATGCTCTTCTGCAGAGCTCGGTTGTAACGAGTGATTATTTGAGTTACTGTTGCCTTTCTATCAGCTGGAACCAGTCTGGCCATTCTCCTCTGATCTCTGGCATCAGCAAGGCATTTGCTCACACTGAACTGCCGCTCACAGAATATTTTCTCTTTTTCAGACCATTCTCTGTAAACCCTAGAGATGGTTGTGCGTGAAAATCCCAGTAGATCAGCAGTTTCTGAAATGCTCAGACCAGCCCGTCTGGCACCAACAACCATGCCACATTCAAAGTCACTTAAATCACCTTTCTTCCCCATTCGGATGCTCACTTTGAACTGCAGCACATTGTCTTGACCATCTCTACATGCCTAAATGCATTGAGTTGCTGCCATGTGATTGGCTGATTAGAAATTTGTGTCAACGAAAAGTTGGACAGGTGTACCTAATAAAGTGGCCGGTGAGTGTATAGTGTCATTGCTTTGCAATCAAAAAATGTCATTATAATGAAAGTCAATGGGGGCAAAAACAGCCCCGAACATAATTAAACAGATATAAAATTGCCCAAAGTGTATTGTTGAGTTTTTAAACATTTTCAATGCATTTTCCCAAAATATGTCTCAAAATTAGATGTCACCAAAAATCATTCCATTTGCTGAAACACAGAGCAAGTTGTGGTCAAATTAAGACTCAAAATCCCCCCAGAGTGAATGAAAGCATAACCATAAACACATGGGTTAATAGAGAGGTATTCACATGAGATATGACTTACGGTGGCTCGAGGCCTTCAGGCAGCTCGTCCTCTTTGTCCCAGGTGAGCATGTCCACTGCATATTTGAGGATGATGGAGAAAACATTATACGTGCGAGCGATCATCTCAGCAGACAGATTCGCTAAAGGATCCTGCCAAACAAGAACGGCTTTTATTGTTCACTAAAGCATTGATTATTAGACATTTAAATAAAGACGGGTCTAATATAAATGTAGAGACAACTGCAGATGTCCAAACTTTATCCAAGAATGTTTATTATGCAGGAAAGAAGAGCTAGAGACCTTAATTGTTATTACTGATTTGTCCTCTTAAATGTGCCATATATTGAATAGGTTCACTAATACAAATTGCTCTCTGATATCTATATAGTAGGTATGTGGCTTGGGTACATTTAAATAAATTTTCAGAAACGATTTTATATGCTAATTTTCTACTCAATAAGGTCCATAATTGACCATATTTGGATCGATTGTGAAAATTAATGTGATCCGCTCTGACTGCAGCTCTCACAGCTCGCGCACATAGCATGATGCAGGCTGAAATTGGGGCAATATAATATTTAATTTGTCAAAAAACTATTTTATGCATAGTAAACAAACTGTATGCCTCATTTTCAAAATAAAAGTCCCACATTTATAATGGTAAGCTAAAAATAAATGTAAAAAAAATACCTAAGGTAAAAAAGTTGATCGCCCATATTGCCCATGCCATACCCATGAAATCGGTCACTGGCCACCGAGGTTTTACACTAGTAGAATTTGCATGACAATGATGTGGGCGTGCCTTGTGAGTTATGTAACAGTCTGCTTTGTGTTTTGATAGGCAATTGGGTTTTTACAGTCATTCTCATTTGCATGAGAATGATGTGGGCGTGCCCTGTGAGTCAATTTACATGAGAATGATGAGGGCATTTTCCCAGTACTGGGTTGCAGCTGGAAGGGCATCCGCTGTGTAAAACATATGCTGGATAAGATGGGGGTTCATTCTACTGTGGCAATCCCTTATAAATGAAGGGACTAAGCAGAGGGGAAAATGAATAAATTAATTAATGATGTGGGCCTGACCGGATAGTCACGTAATAGTATGCTTTGTGTTCTGATTGGTCACTGAGGTTTCACACTAGTGGAATTTACATGAGAATGAGGAAACAATGGTGTCTGATGCTCACAATATGGCCATTTCCAAATACTGATCTCTTATTATCAAGTTATGCCTAAGTATACCCAAGCTTTCTTTATAGGGCACCTTTAAATAGATGGGTAACGCTGCTTTATTCTCAAATCATTCATGAACAAATTTTGGGTGAAAACACAGCCTGTGTCAAAGAGGAGGGGGTATCTTACCTTCTGGGAGGAGTCACTGATATTAGGCTCGTGTTTTTGACAGTAAGGACCCTTCTTCCAGGCCTCTGTGTCTCCACAGTCGCAGAAGCCTCCTCCTCCTGAGGTTGTCATCTATAGAGAGCAGAAAGAGCCACTTATACACACAGACAGCAGCACATGATGGCTCAGAGTGGATCTCAGTTCTACTATAGCTGTGTTTTCTAAATAATACACCTGTCACAGTCATGAAGTCGTGAGTCAACCTGCAACACACGACTGTCTGCTGCGGTGTTCCTCAAAACAAACACGCTCTCTCAAACACAGAGAGATGCAGGAGTGGGATGCCAGATTATATTTTAGTGAATAAAGCCAAGAAATGTCCACCTTTTACAGATGTTTCTACAGATCTTTACATTAAATACAATAATAATAATAATAATAATATTAATAATAATAATGATATCAGCATGTGAAATATAAATACACATTAAACATACAACTTGGGTTTACTTTATTTTTATTATTGACATTTTAGAAAATCATGCCGAATAATGAGTATCACATATGATCAGACTAGGGTTGCAATGGGAGCTGAAAGTTCTGCAAAATTTCCATGGGAACTTTATCTTGGGAAATTTGGAAATATTCCAAGTTGGAAACTTGAAGCATAATTTATTCAAAATATACATTTTTTTTTTAATAATACAAGGCTTTACTGTCAGTTTTATCAATTTAACATCCCTGCTAAATAAAAGTGTTAATGTATTTTTTTAAAATGACTGCCAACTGTTTCCAAATATAAATCAGCATATTTTACATATTGATTCCTGAAGATTTATAGATTATTAATTATTGATTTCTGAAGAATCAGGATTCTGAAGACTGGAGTGATGGCAGATGACAATTCACTTTTGAATAATAGAATTACAAAATACTTTAAAAGTATATTAAAATTGAAAACCAATATTTAAATTTGTAATATTTCCCAATAATACTGTTTAAATCTGTTTCAGATGCAGTTTTGATAAGAATAAGAGATTGTATTGGGAGGTATTGGGTGTCCTGCTGCTCCTGGCGGCACAGTTAAAGGACCAAAATATAGTTTAAAAGGGCTAATAATATTGACCTTAAATGGTATAAAAAAATAAATAAAAATGCTTTTATTCTAGCTGAAATAAAACAAATAAGACTTTCTCTAGAAGAAAAAACATTATATGAAATTCTGTGAAAATGTCCTCTCTATTAAACATCATTTAGGAAATATTTAAATAAGAAAACAAAATTCACAGAAGGGCAAATAATTTTGACTGTATATAATAGTAAAATTTTATTGGTAACTTATATATTACATTCTATGTTATATTATCAGTTATTTAACAGAGACAAGTATAACTTTGCTACATTTTCCAGCAATTTTTAATTAAATTTTTTTCTTTTTGTTAAAGACATCAGATTCAAAAAGGCAGTAGTTTTACAGACCGACCACCGACTTAACACACTTGGTATTTGCCACTTTCTCTGCATCCATCACACAAACATGCTGGAACATACCAGAGTGAGACGTTCAAGAGGCTGTGTTCGTGTGTTTGCTCTTACCCTGTAGCGATGCTCTTTGTGGACGCTGCCTAAGAAGCACTGCATACACAGCACACAGGTCGGATCGGCTGCACACTCCCTGATGAGGACAAATAATATCATGTGTTAAATACTTATACAGAGGGATAATAGCTGTAAAGCTGTACAAATTCATAGTTTGGCAGAAAAGCATGGATCCTAAAAGAAAACATTGCGACCAATACCATTTGTCATCTCAAATGTCAGAGTGAGCAAAACAAAATACTTGTCATCACAGATTAAATTACAATTAATTCTCTAGCTGTTGGTCTTGATTAAAATACGCAACACTGCAGGCACCTCATAAAAAAGGTTTTTTGCCAGGTTTTGTTGTTTGTGCATCAGTTGATTTTCAAATAATCTATTAAGTTATAAAAGCCTGCATGCCATTATGCATCCTAATATATATATATATATATATATATATATATATATATATATATATATATATATATATATATATATATATATATATATGCTGTCTGAAATTTTCTCCTAAAATGAGCATTTTTATCAGGCTCCTGTGTGAAGGTTGAGTAATTTCACTTTTATGGCAAAGAATAAGTTCTTTTCATGGTCATAATATATATATATATATATATATATATATATATATATATATATATATATATATACACATACACACACATTCTTATCAAGCCTGCATCTGAAACAGATTTAAACAGTATTATTGGGAAAAATTACAAATTGAAATAATGCTTTTCAATTTTAATATACTTCAAAGTATTTTGTAGTTCTATTAGGCAAAAGTGAATTTTCATCTGCCATCACTCCAGTCTTCAGAATCCTGATTTTTCAAAAATCAATATATAATAAATCAATAAATCTTCAGAAATCAACATATAAAATATGCTAATTTATAATTGGAAACAGTTGGCAGTAATTTTTTTAAAAATACATTAACACTTTTATTCAGCAGGGATGTTATATTGATAAAATTGACTTGCATTATTTAAAAATATGTATCCTTTAAATAAAGTTTCCAACTTGGAATATTTCCAAATTTCCCAGGATAAAGTTCCCATGGAAATTTTCAAAAAATGTTCAGCTCCCTTTGCAACCCTAGTCTGATTAAATGTGATACTCATATTTCAGCATAATTTTCTAAAACGGCAATAATGATAATAAAGTAAACCCGAGTTGTATGTTCAATGTGTATTTATATTTCACATGATGATATTATTATTATTATTATTTATTAGTATTATTATTAAAAAAAATCTGTAGAGGGAGGACATTTCTTGGCTTTATTTACTAAAATATGGTCTGGCATCCCACTCCTGCATCTATATATATATATTGATAGACATTACGGTTAATATTGTTTATTAAATTGAAGATGACTAATACTCACATTAATATAAAAAAAGAACAATGCTACATGATTAAATTATTAGTTTCAACATCTCTCTGTCCCTTGCTTTAAACATTCTGCAACTAAACTGCTACAATTCACTCTTTATTTATTTTAAGTTTAGACATTTTTAATAAAAAATTAAAAAACAAGCAAAAAAAATTGTTTATAAAAACTTTTGCATAAATTCTTTTTGAATTAGTCGATCTTCCTTACAATTATGAATTTCTATTTCGAAACCTTTTTAGGCACAAAGTGCTGTAAAAATGAAGACAAATAAACAACGATAAATGTTTTAAATAACAAAAACTATGAACAGTAAATGCAGTACCAGTATTATTTATTCTTAATTCATGTATGGTAGTAAAACACAATTACTAACATTAACAAATGAAGCCTTATCAGGGCTCGAAATTGCGACCATTTTGGTCGCATATGCGCCCGAAAATTAATCTATGCGACCTCATAATATATCTGGGAGCATTAGTGCGACTGCAGATAATGGTTGTAGTGCGACCTGTTTTGATTTTTTTCTAAACACGTGCTGAATCGCTCTTCCCTGCCGCTATATTGGTTCATATTAGCTGTCATTCACTCAAGGTATTCTGCTGTCAGATCACAGGGAAGGAGCTTTTATGACCACGGGAAATGCAAACGGCAGAAGAGTGAAAACTTAAAGCACACAGGTTTGCAAACCCCACCTAAAGTTGAGGCGCAGATGAAAGCGATCATGACACGTCACGTGGTGAATAATGATCCGCCAGCTGAGATCAATCGAGTACGCGCTTAAGGTGCTCGAATCTCCATGCGTTGCATTCACTGCGTGTTCAGCGCAAATGTCCGCTAAAAGTCAAATCTAATACTGTACATCATCGCCAAAGAAGCTCACCTTTACTAATTTTACACTGAAACTGCGTTTCATAACAAACAGCGGAATTGCGCCGATGGTTAGCGCAAAAATCCTGCTCTGCCTGCTCATAAAATAGGTCGGCTGACTCGCCTGCTTTTCCACTAACACAGAAAAATGAAGATCATCTCAGACTGAACATTTAAATTGACACAAACTGAAACCAAAACTTTTAAAGAGTGATAGAAGTGAGACTTTACTTTCTTTCCTTTGTCCATTCTTTTTTGAGGTGTATATTATTTTAATTTTTTATTTATTTACTGATGACTGCTTTGCAGCTTTCATCATTGAATTGAATGATTTATTATAATCTTTTGTTTGTTTTGTAGCAGAAATATTATGTATTAAATTGACATGCATATAAAAACAGCAGTACAAAATAAATATTTCTTACTGCAATGCTTCATTTTTGTTTGATGCAAACTATACAATTATTTTTCATAAAGTAACAGACTTTTTATAGCAGATAACCTACATTCATGCACATTCAAGGCAGCATCATAATGAGAAATGGAATTCATTACTATTATTGTAATTTTTTATCATCATTAATATTCTATGGCCTAATTATTAGACATTCATTTTGGAATTATTGCACACAAATATCAATGTCTTCGCAGCATTAGTTAGATAGTTGTTTCTGGTTTTTGTCAGTCTTATTAATGTTGTTTTAAAATACAATAAATCCCTTAAAAAGCAATTTGCAGCGGTGCTCGATCATTTTTGGTGGGTGCTCCTAAATTTTTTCTGGTGCTCCTAAATTTATTTTGGTGCTCCTAAATATTTGAAGTTGGGAGCACCGGTGCTACCAAATAAAAAAGTTAATTTCGAGCCCTGCTTATTGTAAAGTGTTACCAAAAACAGCAACATGTCTTAATGACTGACATATGCTATACATTTTGTCCAATCTTTAAAAAAAAGAAAAAAAGAAGAAAGAGACAAGGCTTAAGGCTAGTACTAGACTAAATTGCATATTTGAACTGTTCTAAACTATAAATAACTAATCTTAAAATACATCAATGCCATAGATTTATCTCACTGGTAGTGTTTTTCTAAATAATTGCTATAAATACTTACATAAGACCTAGTCATCATTATAGATATGTCCTTTTTTATGAAACCGGCTTTATTTTTATTATTTTATTAATCAGCCAAATCAGTTGTGAAATCAACACTAGTTCACAATTATTATTATTATTATTGTTATTATTATTAAAATCAGCCAGTCCCTATAATTGTCCATCGGGAGCATAGCAAAAAATCAGCTCCGAGACTCCATGGTCTGCACAGGATGAAACCTAGGTAGACAGCAAAGCAGATCACTAGCGTTTGGATCAGATCCAGGAACACATTACATGACAGCATTGTCCACTAAACACCTGAGGATGCAAGATATATTTCACACACCATTTACAAGAGCCAGAGCACATGCTGATCTCATAATACCTGCATGATAAAAGATTGGGCACATGTGTGAGCCCTTTTATTTGTTTCACAGATAAAGAGAAAAAACACACACACACCAGAGTAGAACAGTACCGAAAAGCCAGTCACCTCCGGTCTCTTAGCCGGCTTACAGTGATCTTGCTTAAAGAACTTAACTGCAACCTGACCTAATTCAGGCAGGACTTCCAGGTCTGTGGGAACGCAGTGACCCACACTATCCCAGGTCAGATGACTACAAACTCGCATGCATGAGGAGAAAAAAAAACGGCTTTAACGTATACCTTCTGCTGCAGATCTACTAGTACATCTGTCTAGCCAGCAGACAGAGCAGCTCGAGAAGCCTTTGCACATTTACAGGTTTCCCAAAAGCAACTTAGAGCACAGTGAATGGAAGAGTACAAGAAATCATTTTTTGCAATCCTGGTTGCTTAAATAATAAAAGAACAACTCAATGATGGGGTTATCAAGACTTTCAGAAAAGAATAATAATAGTGTGAGACTGATAACGGCAGCCGGAAGAGAGAACAAAGCCAAATTTACAGTCTTGGCTCCACAGCATCAGAACTTTAAAAGACTTTTGGCATCTGCAGATTTATTTTAGAATCATTCATTCATTCATTTTCTTGTCTGCTTAGTCTCTTTATTAATCCGGGGTCACCACAGCGGAATGAACCGCCAACTTATCCAGCAAGCTTTTACGCAGTGGATGCCCTTCCAGCTGCAATCCATCTCTGGGAAACATCCACACACACTCGTACACAATCATACACTACGGACAATTTAGCCAACCCAATTCACCTGTACCGCATGTCTTTGGACTGTGGGGGAAACCGGAGAACCCGGAGGAAACCCACGCGAACGCAGGGAGAACATGCAAACTCCACACAGAAACGCCAACTGAGCCGAGCGACCAAGCGACCTTCTTGCTGTGAGGCGACAGCACTACCTACTGCACCACTGCTTCGCCCTATTTTAGAATCAGAACGGCTAAATTACATGGTGCTTTTGAAGGCACTAAAACATTATCATTTAAATACGCATATTTTTGGGAAACGAAAACGTCTCTTTTTGACAGCGCTGTCTAAAGCAGATGCATCAGCGTTTTTGTTGCAGCGTGGACTGTAACAATAAAAGCTTTCGAAAAAAAAAAAAAAGGACTAATTCAGCTGATATGGTAAACGCTGTAAAGCAGAGGTTTGGGATGCTGTTCAATTTGACAGCTTTATAAAAAAATAGTCAATTTGTAGATGCTCCATATTGCCTCCTTGCAAAGGACACAATGTTTACTGGAAGCTGATGTTCAGCAAAACATTGTGACATTGGCGACATTTTGCGACAAAGTTTCAATGAGATGGAAAGTAAATAAACGGCAGGCGGATATGCTGCAGGTAAAAGCATCTTACATCTGTGCGAAAGCGTTTTCAGCCATTTTAGTGCGGATGGCGGAATTGAAATCGATAGTGTGGACATGGAGCATTTTTTGACGAAAACGGTTTTCGAAATTTTACCAGATTAGTGTAGACGTAGCTTACATTAAAGCTGATTTATACTTCTGCGTCGGCCTACCGGAGGATGCCTAGCCCTCACCATCGCTAAAGTGCACCTCTCAAAAAATTTAACTACACGTTGCAACGATGCATAGTGCAAGCTCTGTGATTGGTCGGCTTGGTAGCGCTGACAAGTGTGGGCAGGAGCCACGCAAGCCCTATGGAGCGTTTGTTTACAAGTGTGGAGTCCCATGAAGGAGCTTCGGATGGAAAGTTTTGTATTGTGTTTACCTCATGGTTAAAGTTGTTGCACGTCCGATGATTCCGAATGAGAGATTTCAGCTGCTGTCTGGGCTTTCACTGCTTCTCTAAGCCTCCCTTTCTTCATGTGTTTCAATACTTTTGCCTTGCAACATTTCATTTTGTTACACATAACTTCTAAATTAAGTTGTTTTGTTTTCTTTGCATATCTGTAATTATTTGAATGCTTCCAACATCTGATCTCAACAACATCTGAAGTCAATGGCACCTTTAGAAATGATTTCTGAGAAAAATGATGACGTGTTCAATACTGATTTTCCCTGCAAATGACCCCTTCAAACATTGATGCATGTTAATTTCAAGTCCTGTGCGATATTGACACTGTACCTGCAGGAGTATGTTGGCTCTCCCACTTTAAACACATGGCCACAAAGTTGTGACGGCTGGTTGTTCTGTTCGAGTTTGGACAAGCCCACGGACGGCTCTTCCCCACACAGATACCACTCCAGCGGGCCCTGAAGCAGCAGCTGAGCAAGCAGGTCCTCGTTCTGAGGGTTGAGGTTGGGACCCAGGCAGTAGATCTTGGGGACATAGCAGGCCAAGTGCTGGTACACCTCTTTGGGTAGGTTGCTCACCTGTAGCCATTTCTGTGGAAAGATGGGTAAATTAAACGTTTTTAATATGAGAAAAATTGCACTTTACATTAAAGGGGACCTATTATGCCCATTTTTACAAAATGTAATATATGTTTCTGGTGTCCCTAGAGTGTGTATGTGAAGTTTCAGCTCAAAATGCCACACAAATAATGTTTTATAACTCTTTGAAACGAACCATTTTAGGCTTTGATCCTAATTGTGCTGTTTTGGTGATTGTTGCTTTTAATTCAAATAAGATTATGCTCTTTTCAAAAGAGGGCGGAGCTACAAATGCCTGTGCATCAGCATAATGGCAGATTCAGAAGCAAGACTAACGTCCTTTGCTAATGAGGGATGGTCACTAGTGGGTGGGGCTTTCCCATTCTGATGACACGTACAAAGGGAGAATGTCAATCAAAGTGTTTCTGCAGACTGCTTTGATCAAGTGTGAATATAAAATATTTAATTAATAGATTTTTTCCATTATAAGCTGGAACATTTAACATTACTGAAAAAGTTAACTCCCTGATCGTCAATGTATAATTTGCACCCTGATTGCAATAATACCACAGAAAAACAAAATATCACATTTTCAGATTTTTCCAATATTGTGCCACCCGAATATATATATATATATATATATATATATATATATATATATATATATATATATATATATATATATATATATATATATATATATATATATTCCAATTCCATGCAAATGTCAACCTTGCCATGAAAAGAATTAAGTTTTCACCAAAATATGGAAGTTTTTTGTGTAGGTTTGCATTTTACAGTACTTGTAGAAATACTTCAAAATGACTGTCAATGTTTTCAAACTATTATGTTTGAATTACTAAAGCCACACAAATGGAATTTACACATCCATCACTTCCATAACGAAGAGGTGTCACATCCATAACGACACTTTTTCCTCATAAATACAAAACTGTAAAATAAAATAAAATAAAATCAGTCATGTTTGTTTTATAGAGAGCCAACTCTTCTCCTTTTGATTAGCAATATTTCTTTTGGGTTGTGCAGTTTAATTCACAGAACTTCTACAAAATATGTACAAAGTATACTGTAAACTTGCAAGCTTTTTTGGTCACATCCATAACGCTTTACTTTCCTTATTTAAAGTATAAAGTTTACAGATTGATTTTTTTTTTATCCCATAACTTTGTGGTTAGTTGTCCTGGAAAATATCAACAGATATTTCAAAATAATGTTAAATTATACTTTCTATGTGAATTTATGTTTTGAATTTTTACTGCAAATGTCACATCCTTAATGCTGGAATATATTATATGAATGAATATATATGAGCTATGAATTATAATATATATATATATATATATATATATATATATATATATATATATATATATATATATATATATGTTTTAATAAAGTGACATAAATTGACTGTGCATTTCATATGCTATACAAAAGTAATCCGATGCAAATACAGACTCTGACTTAGAAACTATTGTTTTTTTTGCAATTGTTTTGAAGGAAATACTGTAAGAACCTAGCTAGTCTCCATTGTCTACAGTTAATGTGTTTGTTGTGCCAGAAACACATGCTGTAAAGGAAACACAGAGATTACGTATACAGCACAAGCAGAATTTGGCAGTCTCAATGACTGTCTACATCGACCTACTAACCTGGATTTAGGACTTGAGAGAATACAGTTAAACAAACCAGATACAGACAATTGACCAAGTGCTTTTGAGATTGTTCAAAAGAGATTTTAATCTCATCAATATAGAACTCCTTGTGATGTACGTTCACGTTTTGTACGCACATGGTGATAAAAAAGAAGTGCAAAATAACCAGGACATGTACTGTTATCGTTCAGTTCATCACACAACACAACCGCAGTGAATTGGGGTATTGTGGTTCAGACAACCGCCACCTGAAATACTTTGTCAAAACAAACCTACTTTTTTATATGATACACGTGGCATGGAAATGTTGTGGGTAAATCAATTTACAAATGAAAAGAAAAACAAGCATAGCTGGAATATCAAACTAATGTTTAGATTGCAAACCCACAACGTTCTCCAGCACCTGCTGAAGGAAACCAGAAAAACAGCTCATATTACCATTATCACAAAAATGCTAAAAATATATATTATTTTAACTATTTATTTGTATAAACCAATTCAAAGCGACTGTCAAACTGTGTTAATAACAGCATAAACATAATGACGTATAGATGATGAACAAAGCAGCCAATGTTGTTTTTCCAACTCTTGACAGATCCTTTTAAAAATATCGCTGACACCAAAACCACACGCTAAACCCGAAAAATCACTAAATAAAAAATGTATATGCTAAATCCATATTTATAAACTGATGATGTGTGCAAACGGCGTGTCAGATGTGCGTTTTTTTAGGCTGAGGTGTGAAAATCTCACAGGCTAGCGTTAGCTGTTAGCGCGCTAGCAGGAACAACTGAGCAAAACAAGATGAGGAGCGAGAAAAAAAACTGACAATTCATCGCCAACGTGTTGATTTTTGAAACCAAACACAAACAGATCGCCAGTAGAGAAATTTTGCGTAGTGTTCATAAAACTGTCGCCTACCGCAGCGGTGTCCTTAGCGGAGAAATTGAGGAATTCGCTACACAGAGCGGACGGTGCATCACGATCGGTCTCGGCCGCCGCCATCTTTACTTCAGTGGCCACCAGCAAACCAGCAGGAGCAACAGCAGTGAAGGAAGCGGAAATCAGCCGCTCGCCCTTCTTCCGTCAAGGAGCTGGCAAAACTTTTCAGCTGACTAATGGAAAAGTGTCGCTGTTGTTGCCACGGTGACGGTGCACAAAAACAGCCGCTCCCTCCTCACGTGTGGGTTACAAGTACATCTGCAAACTGTGAATTGATTAAAAGTTGTCTTTCCAAACCTTGTAGCTCTTGTGTTGTCATTTTACTAGTAAACACCACTGAGGTGAAGTTTTATATTCGCACATATAGTCAATGACAACTTGTGATATCCTCACTATACTGCTTACCATGGTACATTGAATAGCAATCACATATATGACTTCAAAACAACCCCATTTGACTGTGGACTTTGATAGTTACTGGCATTGAGGTAAATTTGGTTTTATATTTGGCTCATTCTAACTTTCTCCTTAATAAAAGCATTTCAGAAAAGTCTTATTTACTTATTCTAAATAGGGAAATCATATTAGTAGCCGTGACTATCAAAGTATAACATTGTTCACAGTCAGTTAAACAGAGCTTGATTTGAAGTCATGCTTCAGACCGAATATTCAAAGTACTGTGGTAGCTAAACAATATAGAGACCATGTCACAAGTTGTTACTGAATGTGTGAATATAAACCAACTTCATGTCATTGGCTGCAGTGTGCTAATATGATTTGCCCATTTAGAATTACCAAAGTTGTCTAAAATTACATTATTATGGAGAAGGTCTGAGTGAGTGAATATAAAACAGGCTTTACCTCAACGTAAACACCCACTGGAACGGTTTTTGGAAGGATTTTGGGAATGTGAAGACTGGAGTAATGTAACCCTGGACCACAAAACCAATAGGCTACTTGTCCATTTTTTGGAAATGTTTGTTTACCATATAAGCTGAAAGCTGAATAAATAAGATTTCTATTGATATGTGGAAAAATGGTGTTCATGACTTGAAAGCTGTTCTAAAATCTTACGGAAAAGAAATAGGCTTTTTGGAAGGATTGTGTGACTGCAAAGACCGAAGATGAAAATTGTAACCCTGGACCACAAAACCAATCATAAGTGTATTTTTTATTTATTTATTTGAGTTTACTACATAATCTGAAAGCTGACCCTGCTGAAAAATCCAGCTTAAACCAGTCTAGGCTGGTTGGCTGGTTTTTTCAGCAGGGGAATAAATAAGATTTCTATTGATATGTGATGTTATGACAATATTTGACAGGGAAACAACTATTTTAAAACCGGTAATCTGAGGGTTAACATATTGGCAAACGTTTGCAAAACTAGCATTACCTCAATGTAAACACCCCTCAAAAATGGTGTTTATGACTTGAAAGCTGTTCTAAAATCTTTGAAAAAGATATATCATGTTGACATTTATAATAAAATAAATGTTTATTGAGCATGAAACCCGATTGGGAGGAGTTATGGAAGGATTGTGTGACTGAGAAGACTAGAGTAATGATGAAAATTGTGATCCTGGTCCACAAAACCAGTTAGTGTCCTTTTTTTTTTTTTTTTTTTTTTGGAAATTTGAGTACATAATCTGGAAGCTGAATAAATAGCATTTATTTATATATTGTTGTGATAGGACACTATTTGACAGAGAAACAACTATGTAAAAACCTGTAATCTGAGGGTTAAAAAAATCTTAACAAAATAAATAATAATGATAATATGATAAAAAAACAATAATAATAATAGTCTGTGAAAGTATGAATGTGCGAACCAACCAATAAGGTAGTTTGTTGAGTTCAAAATTAGGTCCTATTATAATTAAACATGTTAATAATTAGGAAAAATACACAGCAGAAAACAATTAAGGTAACTTGAAGCAATGCATAAATTAATTAGAAAACAAATAATATAATAGTTGTAGGGCCTATGTCACACAATCATGTGTGAATTGATGCTCCAATGTATATTCCAAGCCTTGCTTGCTATATTAATCCAGCTATCACAGGGGTGTCCAAACTCGGTCCTGGAGGGCCAGTGTCCTGCAAAGTTTAATTCCAATCCCAAACAGACACACCTAGGCTAGCTAATTAAGCTCTTACTAGGCTTTCTCGAAGCATCCATGCAGGTTTGTTGAGGCAAGTTGGAGTAAAAATATGCAGGACACCGGCCCTCCATGACTGAGTTTGGACACCCCTGAGCTATCAGGACCACATCTCCAGGATGTGCATTATTTCTCTAAAATAATGCTATATATATATATATATATATATATATATATATTTATCAATTCAGTGTAATCCCACTTTGATTTAAAACTGCCTTTGTCCAAGATACACTTGCTCATAATTTTTCAGTTATCCTTGCAGACAAGTTTCTTGTATACAATACAAATGATTACAATAGCAAAAATAACACTTGGAAATACTACAGCAAAATAAAGAAATAACTAACCTAAAACCAATTTTAGCAGGAAAATACTAATGTTCTAATACATTTGGCCACCACTGTTAAATAAATTATTAATAATATTACAATATTTGTATATCACAAAATCATGTATGATTTGCAGCACAAAAAGTCTATTCCAAACGATGCATTCTTGCTGGATTTCTATAGCTTACTAATCATTTTCAGAAGTTTGGACGTCCCCTTTAGGTTATGCTCTCACTGAGAGTTTCTTGTCATCATCATGATCATCAGTAACTGCAGAAACAACAAAGGAAAAAATTCAGACTGAGATTAAGAAGACTATCATTTACATTAACGTCTAGCTCAACCAAAATAGACAGAAAGGAAACTTGAAATGAACAGCTATGCAGGAGAGTTCACTGAAAAAAAAAATTACTTTAGTTTTTTTTTTTTTTTTGGCTTGTTTCTAGTCCAAATATATACAAAAAAATCTTAAATCAAGAAGCTTTTTCTTAAAAAAGAAAAGAATAAAAATCTTTCAGGAATAATGTGAATGAATGTGAATAAAATGAAATGAGTTTTTCCCTAAAACAAGAAAAATTATCAGAAAATAAATGAAGACATTTTAGATGAAATCTGAGAGCTCCCTCATCCTCCATTAACAGTAACGGTCCTAAGAGGTTCAAAGTTCAAAATAGAAACCCATGTGACTTCAGTGGTTCAACTGTAATCATACGAAGCTCCAAAAACAATTTTGTGAGCCAAAAAATGACAAGAAAGAGAATGGGCGAACAAAGGCGAACATATTTACAGTTTTGTGGTGTACAAAAGTGTTCTTGGAGCTTCATACGTATGATTACAGCTTAACCACTGAAGTCACATGGACTGTTTTTACAATGTTTTTGTTCTGAAGATGAATGAAGGTCTCGGGGTTTGAAAAGACTTGAGGGTGAGTAATTAATAACAGAGTTTCATTTTTGGGATGAACTAACCCTGTCGTGAAGTCATGAAGCCTCTTACCTGACGTTAGCTTGAGCAGTAAACTGTGGAGCTCCTTGACTTCAGCCTTCAGCTCGCTCAGGTCTTGACTGTACTTCTGCTGGTCTTTCTCAAGTCTGGAAAGAGTTTTAAGATGTGCTTCTTTCTCTGGATGACTGGCATTTCTCTTTCTGTTAAATAAAAAACACAAACAAACAAACAAGCATTAGGCATGGCTTTCAACATAAACAGTAGCCCTTAATTAACAGGTTATGTATTTTGTGATTCATAGTTTATTTTTCTTTTCAGTTTTTCAATTTTTTCAATTTATTTACATATATTTCTTGGTGCTGATGTGTTTCCTGGTTCGTTTGACAAGTGTGAGTGCTCTGAATTGGGCCCAAGCACTGTTCAGTTGGCCGGTTCTGGCCCAGCTGGAAGAGGTGCGGTTGCCAGAGCGCGGTTCGGTTTGGCTTTGGCACGGTACACTTGTAGTGTAGTGTAAGTGCAAAACTCGCCTGAGTGCAAAACTGAAGACGCAACGTCACTTTTAAGGGACTGTTTGATATGGATTTATTAATCACTCTTACTTTTCAATGAACACAAACTGTTGCACGTCAGCTGCATCTTCAGCAAACCTCCTAATATCTGCAGCACGAGGACTTTATGATAATTTATGAGCATCAAAAGTAGTGGATCTGTTCGGCAAAATATCTGACTGTGCGCCACTGCATCCCTACGGAACCCCGGAAGGGACGTAGTGGAGGAGAAAAAAATTGGCTGGGTGAAAAAAAAAAAAAAATGGGTGAAAGAAAAAAATGGGGGGGAGAAAAATATATATTTCTAAGTTTTTGCGTTCTCTCGCAAAGTTTTGCGTTCCCTCGCAAAGATGTTTTGCGTTCCCTCGCAAAGTTTTGCGTTATCTCGCAAAGATGTTTTGCGTTCCCTCGCAAAACTGTTTCTCCACAAACACTTCCTGTTCACTTCACTCACGTAAACCCTCCCGTTTTTGCTGAAATTCTCCCGTATTTTACCATTCTACCCCACTTTCTTTACATTACTGTGCGCTGATCGTCGCCTTTCACTTTGCAACCTCTGAACCAGTGAATGCATGTATAAGCGCTGACTGACAGACGCGCTTCGTACAATAAACCGATCCCAGATGAGATTAGCGTCTGTACGCGCCATTTAAAGGGACACTTCTGTTATCAAACAAGTGAGCAGCAATAAATCTCATGTTTTGTTTAGTTTGATAACAGAGGTGTCTCTGTAAGAATGCACAGATCTATAATGAAAGCAGTCCATTACTTTAGAAACTGTTTGTGCTCATTTAAGAGAAAATAAGCTGTTTAAAATAAAACATGCAGGACGGAGATGTTTCACATTATTAGTGTATTTGTCAGTTAAACATACACCCACTCCTCTGTAAATGGCGTGTACAGACGCTGATCTGGGATTAGTTTATTGTATGGAGCGCGTCTGTCAGTCAGCGCTTATACATGCATTCACTGGTTCAGAGGTAGCATATGAAAGGCGACGATCGACGCACAGTAATACAAAGAAAGTGGGGTAGAATGGTAAAATACGGGAGAATTTCAGCAAAAACGGGAGGGTTTACGTGAGTGAAGTGAACAGGAAGTATTTGTGGAGAAACAGTTTTGCGAGGGAATGCAAAACATCTTTGCGAGGGAACGCAAAACTTTGCGAGAGAACGCAAAAACTTAGAAATATATATTTTCCTCCCACCCATTTTTTTCTTTCACCCATTATTTTTTTTTCACCCAGCCAATTTTTTTCTCCTCCACTACGTCCCTTCCGGGGTTCCGTAGCATCCCAAATGACTAAAAATAATACAAAACAATACAACGAAAGCAATGTCCACTGTGCTGAGCGAGAGCGCTTCTCTTCCTGTTAAACTGAACAGTTGCATCATTGATGATGTAAACGTGCACCGGCTCGGAAGGTCAAATGCAGTGTGAGTGCAGGCCGAGGGGGGACAAGCGCACTTTGGCGCTCTACTATGTTATAGATCATAAAAATTAAAGCCAAAAAAACAAAACAAAGATTATTATAAACCAACCTTGTGACATCTCTGGGGCCAGCAAATGCAAACTGAGGTGAGATCATCTCTCTTTGGATGTCCAGATGTCTATCTAAAGTATCCTGCATTAGACAATGCACAGATTCAGTTAACAGTTGTTGATTAAAACTAGATTAGAGTATTAGTTAATGCAGGCACCTTGATCTGTTCTGTAAGCTTCTTCATCTCGGCGTGTTTTTCTGGGTTAATGGTGACATCGTCATCGTAGAACTCTCCAAGCGGGGCGCAGTTGCGGTGGATGTGTTCTTTATCATAACAGCGCCTCAGGCAAGGCATGGATTCTTCTATTTGGAGGATGATGGCTGCTTGCTGCATAACCGCATTGGCGAGTGCATTGTCATAGACCCTGCAAATCAAACCGTTATGGGAATATTTGACCGAACAATCAGAATTGCAGATCATTTCCAGACAATGACAGTTCACATGTACTCAGGTCTGTTGCCCTTCATCCCCCCACCCCCCCAAAAAAGGAGAAAGGGCATGATAAATATTAAAGGTGTAAATTAGACATGATGACAATTACCAAAGGTGTTTTTAAAGATCAAATATAGATCAGTGCCTATAAGACGGTGTGATTAAACACATCATAAATCAATAGTAAATACAACATTTCCAATAAGGTTTTACCGTGAAAACTGAATTTGTGTTAAACAGAAGGAGAAAACTCAAAAAGGTTCGAAATTTTGCCAGAACTTTTAGTTTTGGTTGAACTAAATCTTTAATGTATTGACTAAAATTATGAATAATCTTGTAGGGATGTAATGGTATCAGAATTTCACAGTACGGTTATACCTCGGTATGAATGGCACGGTACGGTATTTATTGAATAATTTACAGGAAAAACAAAACTAATAAAAAGACTCGAAAAAAGTGGCAAAAGTGTTTATTTACCTTAGCACTGAACATATCAATGACATACAAATCAGCCATCTATCTGTAAGTTTCCAAACAGGAACTTAAATTTTTCAATTTTAATAACAAAAAACTATTAAACCATATAAAAAAAATAAAGTTTCAATTTAGTATTGTTGAAAACTCATCACATTCAACATTTAATCACTCACTCACTCAGATAGAGATGGGTTTTTTTAAGGAAAATGATCATATAACTATAATCTGGTAAAAGCTGGGATCTCTGGGCATGTCCCCTGCAACAGAAATAAACCCTCTCATTTGGGACTGAGGTTTCTGGGACAGAGAGATATGATTTAGCCAAGGTTGACAGCAGTGGGTAACGCTGTGCATTGTCTTTCCACCACTTGAGAGGACAAGCCATGAGTGAGATAGAGGTCTCATTGTGGTACAAGCCAATGTCTGCATCAATCTAACAAGTGTGCTGTGTTCTGCAGTCCCCATGACTGTTTTAGTCGTATTCCCCGACTTATATTTCACCACAGTCTGGCAGTGCCTGCATACTGTTTTTTTCTTTGTCTGTCACCTTTTCTCCTTTTTCGTATCTTTTTAGAAAGAAACCGAAATGCTTCCACACATCCGATTTAAAACCCGCTTTAGGTTCGATCATTTCCTCTTTTTCTTCCCCGCTACTAGCAGCACACTCCATTTCTGCATTTCTGGATCTGTAGTGACAACAGAACGCAAAGGATGATGGCCACGCCTGGGCTGATGGGAATTGTAGTTCCCGCTACCTCCCGTACGCTTCATTCGGCTAAGCAAACTTTTCTCAGAAATATAGTTTTATTGAGTCATCCGCCTATGGTAATATTGAAAAAAATTACTATTGCGGTATGACGGTATTTACAATATTGTTACATCCCTATAATCTTGTAAACATTACCTCTGGAAGGTGTCAGAGAGCAATGCGATCAGTAGGTTAACACAGAGGATAGCGGACAGGGCCAGAAAGGTTCCACAGAGCAGGTAGGCCATCACCGTGTCCACCTCCAGCATTTCATCAAACTCATAATCGTCCACCAGGGTGATTCGGTACAGGCTATAGAGCAGCCGGGGAACTGTCTCCATGCTCGGGACATCTTCCAGACCTGAGATTATATGAGACAGGTCTCATGCGTCATGTCTTAGGGATAGCTCACCAAAAAATAAATAAAACAATTATGTTATCATTTACTTGATTTAAACCTTTATGAATGTTTTTGTCTGTTGAACATGACAGAAGATAGTTTGAAAAATGCTGAAAACCTGTAACCATTGACTTTCATACACTTAACGATTTTTGTAAACTACACAGTATTTTGCTGTAATATCAACTGCATTTGACATTTCTGCAGTGTTACTGTAATTTAAAGTTACATTGTGAAAATGATTGTATATTTTACAGTAACGATATACAGCTGAAGTCAGAATTATTAGCCCCCCTTCGAATTGTTTTCTTATTTTTTAAAATATTTTCCCATTTTTTAATTTAATAAATGCAGCATAGCAGGTGAAGCTTATTTTAAAACATTTTAAAAATCTTAATGAACCCACACTTTTAAACGGTAGTATGTGTATATATATACACGTGTGTGTGTGTGTAAAGAGAGAGAAAAAAATAGAATAATATAAAATATATATTTATATATAAAAATTATAATAGAAAATGTAATAAATAAATAAAAATCAGCAAAAAGAATAATTATATATATATATTTATATATTTTCCAAATGAAGTTGAACAGAGCAAGGAAGTTTTCACAGTATGTCTGATAATATTTTTTCTTCTGGAGAAAGTCTGATTTGTTTTATTTCGGCTGGAACAAAAGCAGTTTTTAATTTTTTAAACACCATTTTACGGACAAAATTGTTAACCCCCTTTAAGCTATAGTTTTTTTCGATAGTCTACAGAACAAACCATCATTATACAATAACTTGCCTAATTACCCTAACCTGCCTAGTTAACCTAATTAACCTAGTTAAGCTTTTAAATGTCACTTTAAGCTGTATAGAAGTGTCTAGAAAATTATCTAGTCAAATATTATTTACTGTCATCATGGCAAAGTTAAAATAAATCAGTTATTAGAGATGAGTTATTAAAGTATTATGTTTAGAAATGTGTTGAAAAAATCTGCTCTCGGTTAAACCGAAATTCGGGAAAAAATAAACAAGCGGTCTAATAATAACTCAGGGGGGCTAATAGTTCTCACTTCAACTGTATACAAAATTGTAAATACATACGCAGCAAGATAAACAGTGTTGTAAATGTAAATACAAGATTGTGGGTGCAATTTATTTACAGTAAGTTACTGGTGAACTGCTGCCAGTAGGTTACTGTAGATTTTACAGCAAATAGTTAACAGTGTAGTATTTGTTTTTCCTACTATGGAAGTCAGTGGATACAGGCTGTGTTCAATGTAGGGCGTTCATAAGACTGTCATTAAACCTTTATAATCATGAAATGACACATTATCAATGTGAATGAGATTTTATTCATGTTTATGACAACTATTACTAAGTGTCATCTGCTCAGTTATGTGATTTTAAATGCAAAGAGGACATTGCTTGTCATGCCAACTTGACATTTTACCAAGAATCCCAGGTTCATTCTGAAAGCGCACCCCCTATACATTTCTGGAGAGCATCAAATACGTCCTAGGACCGTTATTTTTTATTTTTATTGTAAATCCACTAGAGGCCGCTGTGTACGCTTTTCAAATCCCAAATTCTCCCTTGCGAGTGCTATTCATGCCTGCTGTTCTCATATAAATCCACTAGAGGCTGCTGTCGACTGACTGATTGACTGACTGACTGACTGACCAAATGACTGACCCACCCTCCTCCTTCCCTCAACCCAACCAACAGTTTTAAAAAGCAATCTAGAAAAATAGAAGCCACATTTTTTTACCACATTTTCAGTTTTCACCACTTTCTCACTGTTATTTACATGCTTATTTAATGTTTATGCAAAGTGTCTGTGATGGTACCTCCAAAAATGATCCAGAAAGCGCAGGCAAATGGAACGTAGATCTCTATATAGAGAAAGAGGAAACGCAGCACATCTCCTGCAATCTTCCCCAGCATCACAATGAAGGGACCCATCGCCCTGCAGAAGCACATCAGACATTTACTACAATCATGTGTCATGTTGTAAACCAAACAAAGTGTGTATATTTATACACTGTAAACATTTTTTGCTTCTTTAAAGTTTTAATCTGAACTTATATCAATCAAACTGACCTAAATCAAGTAAAACTTGGTATAACTTAAAAATATATATATATATATATATAAATATATATATATATATATATATGAAACCTGATTAACTTAATACATTTAAAGTAACATGAAACATTTGTTGTCTTGACTTTTTGTCATATCATTTATTTTAACAGTGTTACTGTATTGCCTTTTTTTTTGGTATGAGATTCCTACTGGAGCTGGTTGGTTTGGTCCATGTCTATTACTTAAAGGGATAGTTCACCCAATAATGAACATTCTTCAATTGACTATTGACTCATCCTTGACACAAGATAAGATATTTCGAAGAATGTTGGAAACAAGTAACCATTGACTTCAATGGTAAGAAACACAACAATGGATGTCAGTGGTTACAGGTTTCCGACATCCTTCAGTTTATCTTCCATTGTGTTCAGCAAAACCAAAAAACAAATCAAAAAATCTAACTGGTTTGAAACAAATCAAGGGTGAGTAAATGATGACAGAATTTTCATCTTTTGGGTTTGAGCTGTCCCTTTAATTATTATAATTATATTTAATACCTAAAGAAACAATATATAAAATGCAGCCAATTGCAGATCCCATGATGGCATTCCAACAACTGTAAAAATAAACTAGAGCCCATAAATAACCTCCTTAGCGTCCTTGTGTTTCTACTCTAACACTGGCCATATGTTCCTATTGCCATCCATTTAGAAAGAAGAAGCCACCTGTGGTGGAAACCTGAGAGGCAGAAGCATTGTTATTTGCCCACTGACCAGATGATTAACAGCAGGTCCTTAAAGGTTTATCGGTTATTGCAAAAAAAAAGAAATAATCAGCTACGTAGTGAAAAATCAATGAAGTTTTTACTTCTTACTTAACTATTGTGCTCTGCAATCAAGGTTTCTGACCTTTTCCTCAAGTGCCATGCTTGATGGACTCCTTAAAAAACAGTTCATTTAACCAGTCACTCAGATGAAATCCACTAAGATCAAACGTTTAATCTCTTATAGTAAACCACATGAGCTTCACAAGCGCAACCACATGTTAAAATCACACGTGAAATGTCAAACACATGATGCCAGCAGTGTTGCTCTGAAACTGTGGCTTTATAAAGCTACTCTTGAGGAAAAACTAGCAATTACTTGTTTATAATAAGCCGAAATAACATAAGTCATGATTTCCTGTTTTTGACAATTGATTTGTGTTAAATTTAATCCACTTAATTATTTTGTGTTGGAACAACATAAATATTAATTGTTGGCATGACTAACTAGGAAGAGGATTGATCTCTAAAACCTCCGGCCACCTTGGTACACAAAAAGGCAACCCAGGCTCACGTCAGGATTACGTACCCCTGTATAGATTTCTGGACAGCAAAATACATCCCAGGAACTACGGTTCTTTCACAAATGTACCAGAGGCCACTGTGTAGGCTTTTTCAGATCTCAAATTTCTCTCGCAAGTGCCATTGGCGCCTGCGGTTCTCATGTAAATCCACTAGAGGCCGCTTTTGGCTCACTGACTGACCAATCAACCGACCCACCCACCCACCCACTTCCCTAAACTCAGCCAATAGCATTTAAAAAAAAGCACCAATTGACGCATCTTCCCCCTTCCCTAAACCCAACTGCAAATTTAGTTACAAAAAAAGAAAAGTCCTCGCCTGATTTTTACCACATTTTCAGACTTTATCACATCCTCACCCTGTTATTTACATGTTTATTTATTTATTTTTTTTTGCTTCTGTTTTTGTTTTACCTGCTTTCTGGAACAGTTCTTCACTGGACTCGAACTCTATTGTCGCACTCAACTCTGCGTCTTAAGTAAGCTGACGTACACGTCGAGCCACCGAACAAACTGCTAACAGCAGAAAAGCCGTCCACACTGAGGTAAACAGTCAGCTGGTAAGCGCTAAAAGAAACAGTGTCATACCGCCCCGTATCGTTCAATTTAAAGATAAAATACAGCCATGCGTACTCCTGGCTACATAATTTTCGATCTCCAGAAATGTATACAGGACTACATTTCCAGAATAAGCCTATGTTGGAAACAGGTGCATTACCTAAAAGCTCGAACATGCTTCATCAGCCTTAACCACAGGAAAATAATGGACACCGCGAAGAGTCGAAGACTGTTTAGGCGAAGCAAATCAGACACCAGGAATATGTCAGCCAAGTGGATGCCCAGAACCGCCAGCAACAGCAAATACACTAGCCAATCAAAGATATTCCTGTGTGGGACACACCAACATGCTTAGACATGTCACATTTTCATTTGCACACACTCTCTGACATTCTGTATTAGCTTCATTTGTGTACAATACCAGAGGTCTTGAGCGTAGGTTCCTTTCATATTTCGGATATACTTAATTTGGCCTTCTAAGTAATTGCGTTCCTGTGTAATAAACCAGAACACATTAGTAATGTTCACCAATGTTGTGTTTTATTCTTATTTTTTATGTGAAATGTGTGAAAATTGGATGGAAATTGTTTATTGTAGACCAGGGCTGTCAAACTCAGTTCCTGGAGAACCGCAGCCCTGCACAGTTTAGTTCCAACCCTGCTCCTAGCCTAACGTTACATACATTTATTAAAGCACTTTACTTTGATTTTATAATTTAAAATAATCCAAAATAAAGTTTTTAGAATTTTTAAATACAAATGTTTAAATATAGGATTTATTCATAAGGTTTCAGGATTCAGATTGTATAATCCTAGTACCCTCCATTACTCTTTCTTAAATATATGATCTAGTGTGAATGGGTTGAGTGGGTTACCTCAGGCCACATGGGGTGAGAGCAGCTCAGGTCCTCGTTGATTTTCTGCACAGTCCAGCGCTGCCAATGCTTTAGTTTTCTTCGAGATCGCACAATCTCCATCACTTCCCTGTACACCTCAGTCACTGTCAACACAAGTGCCAAAACAACCAGCAGCACACGCCACCAGTCCTGCCAAAAGAAATGCAAAAATTAGCCAAAACATTACGACCACCTCGTAACTTTTGTCTACAGTAGGTCTGCCATGTGAGTTAAAAACAGCTCTAATATGTTAATATGATGACAGCTCTGAAATATGTCAAAATAATGTCACCATAAATCTTTCCATTTGCAGAAACACAGAGAATGTTGTGGTCAGATTAAGCCTAAAATCACAGCAGAGTGGGTAAAAACATCCCCAACAGCACATAAGGGTTTTTAAGAGTTCACACTTAGCTGATGATCAATAAAGCGTAATTTTCATGCTGTCCTGGGAGAGAGCCCTGAGCTTATAATATCCTCGAGCCCGGGGCTCCCTCCTGTTAAAAGGGCGAGAGAGGAGTTCGAGCTCAGGTATGTCTCGAGAACTCCTTTGCTTGTCGCCGTTTGAGAAGTGTAAACTAAGGTTGTCTTACGTGATTATTTCAACCAAGGCTCATTCTGGAAACGTAGCCCCATGGACGTTTCTGGAGATCGCGAAACACATCTCGGGAGGTAAGTATTTGTGCAGTTTTTGTTTTCGCGAATCCGCGAGAGGCAGCTGTGCATGCTTTTCCACGTCTCGAACACCTCTCGGGAGCGCGCGCCGTTTGCCGCCGGAGGCCATTGTCAAGCTACCATCTGTCAGACTGACCGACTGACTGAATGACTGAACGATCGACTGGGCAGCTGGCCAATCCCAGCCACCCTCCTCCGCCTCCTTCCCTAAACCCAAGCGACAATTTACAAAAGCCGTCCAGAAAAAAACAAAACCAAAAGCTCTCATCCGATTTTGACCGAGCTTTTCGGATTTCTCCGCAATCTCACCCCGTCACAAACTTGTTCGTTTTTTTATTTTTTGAATATTGTTTTTCATCCTACCTGATTTCTGGAACCCCTCTTCCCCGGATTCGAACCCGGTCATCGTCGCCGCGGCCGGCTCCTCTTCCTCTGGGCCTCCGCTTCGCCGACATAACACTGCTATCTAAGCAGACAATCTAGTTCAGCAGGAAAGCCCTCCACATGGAGGCTGGCGAGCGCGAAGAAGACAAGCGGCGTCACACCACCCCGTAGCATTCGCTCGAAAAAAATGAAATGGGGCCATACGTCTATCCGGCCACGTAAATCGCACTCTCTAGAAACGTCCGCGGGGCTATGTTTTCAGAATGAACCTGGTTTGGATAATTTGGTTTAGTCAATTGGCTAAGGTGTATGTTTTTATGTTTTTGGACGGTGGGAGGAAATCGGGGAACCCGGAGGAAACCCACGCAAACACGGGGAGAACATGCAAACTTTGCCAACCGGCCCGATAGGAGGTTGAACCAGCGGCATTCTTGCTGTGAGGCAACAGTGCTAGCCACTGGGCCGCCGTGTTGCCCTATCGGAAAAAGGGTAGGAAGTAGGGGTGGAAGATGGAGAAACTTCAAGACGAAGATAACTGGAATGAAAAGCTCTGGATATTTTTAATGCATCCGTAGTCTTCTAATAGGGCAGATTACAGAGCTAATGAGTTGCCAGCCGTGTTGATCATAATCATGTGATCCTCTCTAATTTATAAATAAACCGCACAAAGCATGGACTCCACAAGATCTGTGTTTTGTGGTAACTGGCACCAAGAAATTAGCAGCAGATCCTCCAAAAGCTGAATATGATGGTTAAGCACATGACATGTACATGTTTCTGGAGGGCCATAGTCCTACAGAGATTTAAATCTGCAAGATACTGACCCTCCAGGAGCAGGATTGGGCATCCGTGCCACAGACGGATTGAGATCTGAGAAGTTTGAAGGAATCTTAAGCTCTTTCTTTCCTATTTATTTAAGTGTATTCATTTATCCAAAGCAACCTACAAACCCACAAGGTTGTAGTTTTGATTCTAGTACCATAAAGACTTGACTGAGGTGCTATTTAGCAAGGCATGGACCCCAAATTGTTCACCTGTTTTTTATAATTTCAGGGCTAATAGTTTTGATAGTTTTGAAGATTGAGCATACAAGTATTCTAAATGTAATCTAAAAGTAGCCGTGTTTCATTACCATAGATTGTACTCTTGTAATTTGTAAATCATCACTGATAACAATTCATAAGTAATCCACCCAGCTCATGTATCAAAACACTGATATATAGTTATAGGTATAGTTAATTATAGCCTTACTCCAGGAAGATCGTAGCGATCTCCATCTGGACGCACAGACACAGATATGGCTACTGTTGTCCAAGAGACGATAAACAGAAAGTTTAGAAGCAGGAGTATCCATGCACCCATTCTGTAGAAACACATTATATCTGATATTAATCCCTGTTGATGTTTCTCCAGGCATTAGCAGCATTGGATTTTAATCTCGGTTTACCTGCCATACAGGTTCCACTTGACAGTGATGAGTTTGAGCACTACAGGGTGCATGATGAGATCCAGTTTGCCCAGATTGACGATAAACTCCAGCTGTAGACAGAGACAGCAATCATAATCTACACTGAAACTATAAGTGAAACTACTGTGTCTTTTACTTAAAGTAGATTTGGTAACACTTTATAATAACTACACACTATAAATAATTTTTTAAGCATTAGCAAATAGTGAATTCATTATCTGTTAAGCATTAACCCTACATTAATAAGCATCAGTAAGCAGTTTAACACTGCAGTTACAAACGCTGTATTCTTGACTTACAAATATATTTAAAATGTGCTTAATAATTGTATTTTCATACTTTGTTAATGATTTATTTTTCATTACTAAATTAAGTATCACATTATTTACAAACCAGTTGTATTTAAGAGTAGTTGAGGGTTTTTAGGATCATTCAGAATGAGTTAGTAAATGATTAATAAACTATTGAAATCAATGTTTATATGTCTTATTATTCAGGCATATACTAATAGTTAAGTAATATGTTGTAGGTATTTATTAGAGTACCACTTTACTTTGATTTTATAGTCATTTCTTTTCCAAAATAAATATTTAAGTTGAACTAAAGTAATTCAATTAATTCATTGTCTCTATAAAACTATTTTTTTTTTACCTTTAAGTGAATGTATTTTTTTCTTTGGCCCAATATATGTTATGATAAGTTTAAAATGTTTGAATGAGTCAAAAGTACAATTCAAGGAAAATTCATAAATTTAGCAGATAAAATTTAACACATTACAGTTTTTTTTTTTAAGGTTTATTTTTGACCTTTTTTAGATGGGACAGTAATCAGACAGGAAGCAAAGTAGGAGAGAGTGAGGGGGGGGGGGGGGGGGGGTCAGGAAATGTCAATCCAGGATTCAAACTCGGGATGCCCTGAAGTGCTTCTGCACCACACAGTATGTCAGCACACTAACCACTAGGCTATTGCGCTAACCATTACAGTAATTCTTTAGGCAAAATGATACTTTAATGTAAGGGTAAACATGTTTTTTCCAAGAGTTTTTTTAGACCATAACTTGAATTTTTACCTTTAAGAATAAAAATCAACATAAATAAACGACAAAAATAATGAATGGTCTTTATAGTAAACAATATTTTTACTTTGTGTGAATGTACTTTTTTCTTGACCCCCAATAATTACGTTTCAGTTAGGTTAAACTAAATTTTAAAGTTCAAATCTGAGCTAAATTATACTTAAATAAACATTTCTTTCTTATTTTTACAAGTATTTTTCCAGAAAGTTGGTTCAAAGTATCTTTTATTTTTTCAGTGTAACACAACAACACTTGTATGGAGTTATTGTAGATGTGTACCGGCGATGATGGATCAGACCCTTTTGGGCTGGTCTTGTCAGCGGTTTGTGGCTCCATGAGATGAAGGTAGTAGAACTGTTGACGAGCCATTCTGTCCTTCACATGGAACTGATTCATTGCCAGATCAGCCTGATGACACAAGATTTTATGGTCACACTTTACAATAAGGTTCATTAGTTAATGTTAATTAATGCATTTACTACCATGAACAAACAATACATTTACTACTGTATTTGTTCATGTTAGTTAACATTAATGAAAATACAGTTGTTCGTTGTTAGTTCATGTTAACTCATGGTGCATTAACTAATGTTAACCAGCATGGACTTGAATGTTAATAATGCATTAGTAAATGTTCAACTATGATTAATAAATGCTGTACAAGTGTTGTTCATGATTAGTTCATGATTAGTTCATGTTAGCTAATGAGTCTTATTGTAAAGTGTTACCGATTTTATTTTAAATTATTTCAGCCATACTAAGTTCACTTTATAAGAATGATGATATTAGTGTTATCTACCAGTCATAAAATAGCCGGTTCGTTGAGTGGTGTGATATAAATAAGCTTAAAATAAATACTAAGGATACAGAAGAGATGGTATTTGACCCAAAGTGTATAGATGACCATCGTAAAGTGGTTATACATGACCATCCTATCACTCAGTCAGAAACCTATAAGTACTCGGGCATTTACACCGACAGTTCTTCCACACGAAAAACACACAGAGTGGGTTTGTTCTCGTTTACACCAGAGATTGTATTTTTTACGGAGGTTGTTGGTAATGATGTTGTTTTATAAAGCAGTTCTTGAAAGCATTGTTACATATGGTATCAAAGTGTGGTTTGGCAACCTATCTGTTCAGTGTAAATCTAAATTGATGGATCTCTTAAAGACAGGATGTAAAATTGTTGGGCACGATGAATATTTTAATCCTCACGTTTTGTATGAGAGTTGTGTCCTTAATTTGGTGGAAAGGATTCTGAATGTGCACTTTAAAGTCACATCAGCATCAGCTAAGTGCTAAATTCTGAATAATCATAAGAATAAGTGAGTACGAATCTCACCACGGGAGTCATTTTGGTGATCATGGCAGTGATGCAGAGATGTCCATCAGAGTCCTGCACTCCAGCGTCTGCTCCAAACTCCAGCAGCAAACGTGCCGTCTCGCTTCGATCTGTGCACAATAATAATAATAATAATAATAATAATAATAATTTCTTACATTTATATAGCGCTTTTCTGGGCACTCAAAGCGCTTTGATTTGTGTCCTGATATGTCACAAAAACACACACACACACACACACACACACACACACACACACACACACACACACACACACAGACACACACACACAGACACACACACACACACACACACACACACACACACACACACACACACACACACACACACACACACACACAGAACTCCCATCATTCCCTTAGAAGGATTCCTCTACATCAGGGGTGGCCAATCCTGTTCCTGGAGATCTACCTTCCTGCAGATTTCAGTTGCAACCCTTATCAAACACACCTGTCTGTAATTATCAAGTTGATTTCAGGTCCTAATTAATTGGTTCAGGTGGGTTTGATCAGGGTAGGAGCTAAACTGTACAGGAAGGTAGATCTCCAGGAACAGGATTGAGCACCCCTGCTCTACAGCATCATCAGACGTGTTTACATTAGCACCAGAGGACATGCGCAGAATCTTCTTCAGCGATTTATAAAAGCCTCACCGAAGTTGGCAGCCAGCTGTAGAGGCGTTCTGTCTTTATAATCACGAACAGTGATGTCGGCCCCGTTCTGCAGTAACATCCTCACCGAGGCCACAGCGTCGTTTTTAGCAGCGAAGTGCAGTGGAGTCTGCTTGTCTTTGTATGTGCGAGCTTCAATATCAGCTGTCAGAACAATGAAAGAAGATCATAATATAGGGTATATGCCGATCTAGTGCTGTTCCCATGCTGATACACTTCCGGTGACCTGTTATTGTGAACTTTTTTCCATTTTATACGGTTCCTTATACAGCATCGATGTTGTAATGTCATTAAAATACATTCAGTTAAATAAACGTTAGCATTTATTTAGTTGCTCAAGCGTAAAACGACCCAAAAATCGGCAGGCTAACGCAGAAGCTCCATTGAATATAGTGGGGTAAAATAAATGCTTATATTATAAAGATATGGCGGGGGGAATGTAATGTAATGCAGTGCTTCTTGTACAATCTGAGACCCACTTTAAATCGGATATCACTCAGCTAGTGGAGATCGCTGATTTTTAAAGAAAACAGACCTTAAACGCGCCGGATTTTGCATTGGCATTCAATTCGCCGGAAGCGCTTAACCCAGGGTACTGTCAAATTAAAAGTCCTATTAGCATGCTTCGGCATATACCCCATTACAGAAACAGCGGAGGTGCTCATGGGAATGTCATGAGGTCAATACAATTAAATTTGACGTAAATAATGTAGCGCAAAGTCAATTCCTGGAGGGCCGCAGCTACAGGTACAGGTAAGGTACCATAAAGGGGCAGTTGCAGTAACTCGCCGGCAACAGACCTGCCAGAAAGTTACCACAAAAATAACATCCATTCATTTTCCAACGTTCATTTGCAGTTGAGTAAATGCCTGTCGTGTTCAGTTCAATACAAAAAAATCACAGCCCTGAACTGAAACGAAGCCAGTTTTGAATGGTCATAAACACACACCTCCTCTTTCTAAGAGGAACTGCAACATCTCCTCATAATCCAGAGCCGCGGCCACGTGTAGAGGAGTCACTCCGAAAGCGTCGGCCCTCTGAAAATCTGCTCCTCGCTCCAGGAAAAAGCGCATCACATCCACGTTCCACGTCCGAGAGATCTACCAATGCACACAAACAATCAAAAAAAATAGTGCTTAAGAGGGCTAATAATTTTGACCTTAAAATGTTTTAAAAAATGAAAAACTGAAAATTAAAAATTAAAAAAAATAAAAAATTAAAAACTAAGACTTTTTTCAGAAGAAAAAATATTATAGGAAATACTTTGAAAAATTCCTGAATCTGTTAAACATCATTTAGGAAGTAATAATTCACAGGAAGTTCAAAGTAGGTAGTGCCGTCGCCTCACAGCAAGAAGGTCGCTGGGTCGCTGATTCGAACCTCGGCTCAGTTGGCGTTTCTTTGTGGAGTTTGCACATTCTCCCTGTGTTTGCGTGGGTTTCCTCCGTGTGCTCTGGTTTCCCCCACAGTCCAAAGACATGCGGTACAGGTGAATTGGGTAGGCTAAATTGTCCGTAGTGTGTGAATGTGTGTGTGTATGTGTGTGTGGATGTTTCCCAGAGATGGGTTGCAGCTGGAAGGGCATCCGCTGCGTAAAAACGAGCTGGATAAGTTGGCGGTTCATTCCGCTGTGGCGACCCCAGATTAATAAAGGGACTAAGCCGACAAGAAAATGAATGAATGAATTCACAGGAGGGGTGACATTGTGGCTCAGTGGTTAGCACTGTCGCCTCGCAGCATGAAGGTTGCTGGTTCGAGTCCAGGCTGGGCCAGTTGGCATATCTGTGTGGAGTTTGCATGTTCTCCCCGTGTCTAAACACATGCGCTACAGGGGAACTGGGTAAACTAAATTGCCCATAGTTTATGAGTGCATGTGTGTGTGAATGTGAGAGTGTATAGGTGTTTCCCAGTACTAGGTTACAGCATACGCTGTGTAAAACATATGCTGAAATAGTTGGCGGTTTTGACTTCAACTCTATTTATTTATAATACTTTAGTTAATTTAACTGTTGCCTCACAGCAAGAAGGTCACAGGTTCGAGTCCTGGCTGGGATCAATTCTGTGTGGGTTTCCTCCGGGTGCTCCGGTTTGCCTGACAATTCAAACACAAGCGCTATAGGGGAATTGGATGAAGTAAATTGGCCGTGGTGTATGAATGCGAGAGTGCATGGGTGTTTCCTAATACTGGGTTACATATGGAAGGGCATCCGTTGCATAAAATATATGCTGGAATAGTTGGGGGTTCATACCGCTGTGGAGACCCTTGATAAATATAGGACTAAGCCGAAGGATTATGAATGAATCAATGTTTTACATAAGAAGTGTTACCAAAAAAAGTAGCTGTAACAATTTATACTCAATGTTTTAAGTTGGTTCAACGTATTTTCTTTCAGTGTATACTCTTAAAATTTGAATAAAAGCATCAGCTGAATACCTTCATCCTAGAACGACGATTTATAGCATGTGTGTGTTACAAAAGAAGTCAAACATTAACCTCATGCAGGGCCGTTTGTCCATATTTATCTGCAGTGTTTGGGTCGGCTCCATGTGTGAGCGCTTCATTCAGAAGCTGCAGGTCCACCTGAAAGCAGAAAGATCAATATCGGACGTGTGACACTGACAAAGTTCAGCACAGCGGATCCACATCATCATCATTTCATCTCTTACCTCATCGCTGTCTTTATTACTGGCTGCCAGAACCCGAAAGTGATCCAGAAGCCTTTTATTCATCTCCATTTTCCCATTCCTCTGTCCATCTACAGCATCTTCATCTGTCGCCAGACCCTTATACTTGCCGATATATTCCTCTGAAAAGACACCACAGTAAACATTGTAAAATATGTTCGTTCATTAAAAGTTTATGCAATTTTATTTTCAGGTTTAATTCAGCTTTATTTCTCAAGCGCTTTTAATGTAGATTGTGTCAGGGAAGCCTAGCATAGAAGTTCAAGTAAATGTAAACTGTGTCAGTCCAGTTTTCAGAGTTGAAGTACAGTTTAGTTCAGTTCAGTGTGGTTCAAATTTTTTTTTTATTAGAATATGCAAAAAGGTACATAAATTGGGATCATACAAATACAAAAAAAACATCAACAAAAAACCATAACAAAACAAAAACAAAAAAACAAAACAAAAACAATATAGTCAGGTACTGTTAGGTGTGTGTCTGTGTGTGTCTGTGTGTGTGTGTCCATGTAAAGGTAACTTGGTGGAAAGATCAAATTACATACATTAGGAACAATATCAGCCAATCAATGAAGCAAGTATCGCAGATACAAGTAAAACAGATAAAAAAGAAACCAGAGTTAGGGAGTAACAACAATGCTGAGTAATGTATGATAGTAATAATGACAGTAAACAGAAAGAAAGGACAACAGTAATATTAAATGACAATGATAATAAATCACAAGTGCTACACCAACAACTACTACAGAAAGTTACTTATATTACAAATACTATTGCTGCTACTACAGTCACAACCACAACTATTACTACTATAATGTCTACTAATACTGACACTACTACAACAATGACTACCACTACTGATACTACTACGGCGTCTGCTACAACTAATACAACAACGTCTACTACTACTACTACAACTACTACTACTACTACTACCGCAATCACTGCTACAACAACATCTACATCAACGACATCTACTACTGGTACTACTACACCAAAAACGATTATTACTGCTACGACATTTTTTACTACTTCTGCTACCACTATACCAACGACATCAACTACTACAGGAACTAATACTTTAATAAATCACAATTACAACCAATACTACTACAACGACTACTACTACTACTGCTACAACGACACCTTTTTTACTTCTGCTACCACTATACCAACTTCATCAACTACTACAGGAACTAATACTTCAATAATCACAATTACGATCGATACTACTACAATGACTACTACTACTACACCAACAACGACTACTACTACTACTGCTACAAAGACACCTTTACTACTTCAGTAGTAAAGTAGTGTGGTTCAATTTTCACTCCTGAAAGTCCAAACACTGAAGAGCAAATCCATCGATGCGCAGCTCCACACGTCCCAAACCAAGCAAGCCAGTGGTGACGGCAGTCAGGAGCAAACTTCACCAATTAACGAAAGTGAAGGAAAAAACCTAGAGAGAAACCAGGCTCAGTTGGGCATGACCAATTCTTGTGCAGAGCTGCAGTCTAGGCGCCAGAGGCTGCACTGAAAACCCTAATAAGCTGGCTGAACGAAATAAATTAAAACTCGTTGCCTCAATTTGATTAAGTAATGGAGTCTCCTAAAACTTGCATATTTAAGTTTACTTAACTTGCCGGTTTGGTACATTATCCTCTAATTGTTCAGTCTATCAAACTCACCACTGTTGACTGAGTGTAAACACAGATACATAGACACTGGAGCGTTTTAAAGTCGTGAACATCAGCTGGTCTGTCTGTTAGTTGACATAAGAGCGATCCGCTGATGAATACACTGATCTTTGCTGTTTTAAAATGCTCCAGTGTCCATATATCTGTGTTTACACTCAGTAAACAGCGGTGAGTTTGGTGAACTGATGACCTTCACAGCCAATCACAGTCATTTCTGTTGAGCATGTGAACACAATGGCAAATCAGCGGTGTTTAAGAACGTGCTTAACATCGCTCAACAAATGTTAGCGTGAAATGGACGTGTATATATATATATTTATATATATATATATATTTATCAAATAAAAAATGGACGTGTATTTATGTATGTATATATATATATATATATATATATATATATATATATATATATATATATATATATATATATATATATATATATACATACACAACAGTTCTGTCTGGTTCTCAATTCTGATTGGCTGATAGCCGTGCGATATTCTGCAATATCAGAACTCCTACAGCCTCTTTACCCTTTGTGTTTTACTCCACCCACATACAGCCAGCAAAAAGCAGACACTACAGATCTAAAGTTTAAAAGATGCACCCTCAACTGTTTAACTGTCAGCTTATGATTCGAATCCAATGAGGAAGAAAGTAGTTCCACATACAAAAGGGTTATGGAGACTCTCCTTGTTTGATTTTGTTTTTATATACACAATTATGCCATCAAACTGTTGTATAAACGCAATATCACACTCGTAGCAGTGCGATATGGCTGTATATCGGCACTGGTGGGGGCACTAAGCACTGCTGTGGGGGGCACTGCTTAGTGCCCCCACCAGTGCCGATATACAGTCATATAGCACTGCTACGATTGTGATATTGCTCATATATATATGTGTGTGTGTGTATGTGTGTGTGTCTGCGTCTGTAATAATATACCATGAAAAAAATGTTTAATAGAAAAATAAGTAGCCATTTATTCCTACTATGTAGAATAATTCGGTGTTATTAATGTTTTCTATTAGAAAAAAAAATAATTACCTTGAACTAAAAGGTTGTACATATTAGAATTTTACAGTCAAGACATTGAAAACGACCTATTTTTTAAGGATTAATTATGATTTTGAGCTTACTACACCTGTTTATGCATTTTCATGGTACGTTTTCAGAATGAGCCTGTGTTGGAAACATTTGAAAAATAATGCAAAGTTCTAATCATTTTGCGTTTTATTTTGTAAAGATCACCTAAATATATATTTTTTCATCATTGTAAATGATCACAAATCCTTTGTTCACAGGCATGGCATTTTAAAGAGCAGATACCATGCATATGCTGTAAATACCTGTGGGTTTCTTCCTCACAGTCTTGCGGGCAGCATGTTTCCAGCGGCCTCTTGCATAGGAGGCCAGAAGAGCAACTGAGCGGCCCACATCCTTTACTGAAGCCACAGACACTGGAGAAACAACCACCGACTGCGCACACACACACACACACATATATTTGTTTTTGTGAAAAGTGGGGACATTACATAGGTTTTCATTCATTTTATACAGTCCAAACCGTATATTGTATTGCCCTCACCCCACCCCACCCCTAAATCCAACCATCACAGGAGACTGTGTGCAGCTTTACTCTTTGTTTAAACTCATTCTGTAGGATTTATAAGCATTTTGAGAAACGAGGACGTCACCAATGTCCTCATATTTCACCTCCTTTTTGTTATACCTGTGTCATACCCATGTCATTATACAGATTTGTGTCCTGATATGTCACAAAAACACGCACACACATGCACACATATGCACACACACACACACGCACGCACACACACAAGCACACACACACGCACACACACACGCACACACACACACACACACACACACACACACACACACACACACGCACACACACCCGCACACACACACACACACACGCACACACACACACACACACACACACGCACACACACACACACACACACACGCACACACACACACACACACACACACACACACACACACACACGCACACACACGCGCACACATAGGGTTTAAAGTGACCCTATTATGGTTCTGACCCTCAGATTGTGTTCTTATCTAACTGCTTCTATCCGTCGTTTAAATGTTAATTTCAAGAGTTCACACTTCGCTCATGATTTATACATAGCTTGTTTGGCATGCTATCCCTGGAGAGAGCCCTAAGCTCAAGGGATCCTCGAGCACAGGGCGCCCCCCTTTTGCAGAGCAAGGAAAGATTGAGCTCAGGTCGATCTCAAACTCCCCTGCTGCTGAGGCCAAGGTGAACTTCCTGAGAGTAAGACATTAGAAAAAAGATTTAGGCCTATTTCATCTATAATATAGAGCATATTTGGATGGTGGGAGGAAACTTTCCTGGGGGAAACCCACGCGGACACGGAGAGAACATGCAAACTCCACACAGAAATACCAAATGGCCCATCCAGGACACAACACCATTGGTGAGGCAACAGTGCTAGTCACTGGGATGCCGTGCTGCCCATTCTGGATAAAGGTTGGAAGAAGGGGAGGAGGGGGGTTTCTTCCTGATGAAGTTGTAGAAAGGAAATGAGCCCTGCTGAAAAATCCAGCTTAAACCAGCCTAGGCTGGTTTAAGCTGGATTTTTCAGTAGGGAGGACATAGGTGACTCGGGATCCTTAGATTGGAGAATCATGATTAGCTAACGGAGGCCAGCTGGGTTAATCATAAGCACATGTTCCTCTCAAAATTAGTTTAAAATTAAACTTCAGTAAAATATTTCGTATTAGAATGTTGTATTTGATTTTGTTCAGGGTTACTTTCAAAAAATGTGCTTAATTGACCAATCCCTAATATTTAATTGACTAGTCCGACATTAGTTCTGAAATGTGTGGTTGTTAAGCTAGCTGTCAGTAATGTAACTCTTACAACATGTGTTGTTTGCAATGGTGTAAAGTACTTAAGTAATGGACTTCGTTACTGTACTTAAGTATTTTTTTGGCTACATTTTTGATTGAATGTATGTACTCTTTACTCCACTACATTTGAACCGACGCTTATTGTTACTTGTTACATTGTGATTGTGCGCGACAAGCTGCGTCTTTATCTTTCAAGGCTAAGTTGTTGGGCGAACGAGGCGATGTCGCCATCTGCAGGGTGCTGAAGGTAGGTAGGTACCAGGTGTTTAATTAGCAACATGGCTGCAGCAAATGATGAAGCCGAAGTCGGCACTTCAAGCAGTGTCAGCACTATAACCATTCATGGCCTTATACCTGAAAGAAATGTTTTCATTTGCTGAGGTGCAGAATGGCTCTTACAGGATGCAGTGTCTGTTTTCCACGAAAATAAATGCTTTTAAGAATTCATTGTCAAATTTGAGAAAACACATTGAAGTAAGGGTCTATTTTATGTTAATTTAATGTGAATTTAGTTAATTTAATAGTTACTGATATGGCAAAAACCACTGCAATATGACATGACTATTCGTGATGTATTTTTCATTGAATTAATATGTAGTTTACTAAGTTGAAAAATAACACTGCTCCTCTTTGTTTAATTTTAATACAGAGAAAACCTCCTAATAAATTGAAAAACTACTCAAAATAAAAATATTGTGAATCACATGAATCACACATGAATCACATGAAAGTCAGCTCTGATTTTTTTTTACTACATTTTACAATTTTTTTATTTTTTTGAAAATTTTTGTGCCTTTTTTGAATTTTTGAGTTTGAGACCTTTTTGTTCAGTTTTTTAAATCCATTTTGTTCTGCCATTTTGAAACATTGAGGTGGTTTAATGTAATTTCTATATTAGGAAATAAAACCTTGCTTGGTGTTCTTTGAGCCTACATTCAGTATGAGTAAAATACTTAAAATCTTTTAAAATTGGATACTTTAATACTTTTACTCAAGTTTTATTGGAATTGGTGACCTGTAACTTGGAATGGAGTATTTTTTACAGTAAGGTACCTGTACTTTTAATCAAGTATGGTCTTCAGGTACTCTTTACATCTCTGGTTGTTTGGTAGTTTCAAAGTGAAAGAAGTAAGTGGATCAGTTAAACCTTGTTTACTTTACCCCTTTGACACAAAAACAAAAAAAAAACAATCCTATTTTCACTTTCCCTCATCCTAAATACAGTCTGATTCCATTCTGAATTAGTGTGTAAATTTCACTGATATAAAATTTTAGTGGCGGTTCATTCCGCTGTGGCGACCCCAGATTAATAAAGGGACTAAGCCGACAAAAAAATGAATGAATGAATGAATGGATAAAATTTTAGCTTGCTTAGATAGGAGCAAATGTAAAAAAGTCTTACTTTACCCCACTCTTCCCTAACTTTACTTAATTTTTATAAATATGCACATTTCATTTACTTAATAACCAGAAGGCAAGGAGTTTACTCACTTTTTCAACTAATCATTGTACAGTGCAGTTATTAGTTAGCGGTTCCCTCACCTGCCTAGCTCCATCAGTCAGTTGGAGCTCAAGGTTTTCAGGCTCATCAGCTCCAAATCTCTTCATGCTTCTGATTTATTCAGCTGAAGATCTCCTTGAGATGCTAAATAAAATGAACCCGCAGCTCAATTCATACACTGAGCTCAAATGAAAGCAGCACAACAACAACAAAAAAAACAGCAGCTTCACATCAGCGTGTGCTGAATATCGAGCGAAACACTCCTTCTGTTTGTCTTTCAGTTATTTGTTTCTCAGTCAGCCGTTCTGAGTCGTAAAGCACATGTGTGTTAGACATTCAGCTACACCCTCACAGTAATAAACCGAGATGAGCTAACAGTTATCTCATAATGTGGAATCAGAGGTCGCAGAGCAACAATGCAGGATTATGTTTACAGGGTCAGTTTATAGCGCTAGTCAGTGTTCTGTTTTATCAGATTATCACCATCTAATCACCATATTAAAAAAATAAACGCTGATGAAGGCTCTACTTTACGAAACTACATTAGAATTCAGAGTTGTTAGCATTTTGCTAAGCTAATAATGCTAAGCTACTGTTACAAAAAACATAACTTTCTATATTGAGTTTTTGGAGGTCCTTGAAGACTAGTCAGGTCATAATAATGATAATAATCATAAATATAATTCAGGCCTTTAATATTGAAGAAGACAATAGTGACCCTGCTGACCCTAAGCTGGTTGGCTGGTTTTAGCTGATCGACCAGTCTCGTTTCAGAGGGGTTTTGGCCATTTCCAGGCTGGTTTCCAGCCATTTCCAGCCTGGTCTTAGCTGGTCAGGCAGGAAAATGGTCAGTAATATGTTTTATTATTATTATATACAAAAGAATAAATAAATAGTATACAATAGCAACAAATACATTAGCAAACAGTTCAGCTTATTAAAATTAGCTAAAGAAATCGAATCAAGTTATCAAATCTGATTAGTTGTTTCTTCACTGTATAACTTACACATTCTGATTAAAGAGCAATGAATGAATCTCTTATTCATTTAGATTTTTTTCGTTTGATTACGTTAAATAACAGGTGACACTGTAAAAATGCACATGTCTAACGTTATAATTAAAGCATTTGATTGCTTTCCTAACTTTTTATGCTCATTTAGGACAAAATTAGTTGTGTTTGAAAAAAGAAAACACCAAGATCAACATCTTTAGATGTTATTATTATTAATTATGTGTATGTTTCTGTTCAAACACGCACCCAAAACCCAGACTTTTGCTCCACTTCAAATCGCGTGTACAGAATCCGTTTGAGAAACAGCGCCTATTTATCACTATAAAGAGCGTCAGCTGACAGTCACGCACTGCTATATAGGGAATCCCGCCGTTTTTATAATTATTTCAAAGTGTTTTCATGCCTAAACAGAGCGAAAGCACAGAACAGACTCACATTTAAGAGTAAGGGTGACCCCTGGTGGTTCGGCGGTATGGGTTGCGTAAAGGGATGATCGTCTCTTTAATGTTTATTTACCACCCTTCAGAGAAAGACTAAAAAATACGGAAGAAATAAGGGAAAAGACCTTTACGGGATGATACCGGGATAGAACTGTAAAATACGGGAAGGGCTGACAGATATGAGACTATTGGAATTTGATGACAAAAAAAAACATGAGTCAAGACTTCATTAAAACACTATAGAGATTTATTTAGTCTTACCTAATACACTGTAAAAAAGTGAAAACCTAAACAAACAACTTCAGCTTGTTACAACTATATGAATTAGAATTAGAATCTGTTTCCAACTTAATTTATCACGGTTTTCAGTAATAAATAAGTTCACCCCCCAAAAATGTGTGCTGTTTGTTCCAACTATTTGTTTAAAATGAGCTGTAACAATTTTTGAGTTTTTTAGGGGACAACTTAATTGTTTTATGTTCAATCTGCTTGCATTTGTAAAAACGATTTAAGTTAACTTAATTTATTGGTTTGAGTTGGGACAACATAAAGGAATTGTGTGAAACTCAGCATTTTTTACAGTGTTTATTCCTTTAGGTGTAAGAAGTTGAAATCATTTATTTAAGTTGATCTAGTGAGGCTTTTTTTCAGTGTATAATAAATGGCTTTGATTGTCAGCAGCATTTCTTTGATACAGGGCCGTGCACAGGGAGGTGGTTAGAGCCACTTGCCCTCTGTCCTCAATGGCTGAGGTGCCCCTCTCAGCAGGCGCTGAACCCCCCGGTCTTCATTTTGCCTTCACCCACCGGGTCGAGCACCTGCCCCTGTGAGGGTCTGTGCACGGGCCTGCTTTGATATGTACTTCACAACAGTGATAATGACAACATCGACTCGTTCTGAAAACGTAGCCCTATACGCATTTTTGGAGATTGCGCATTATGTAGCCAGAGCTCTGTATGGCTGCATTTCATCGTTAAAATGAACGTTACGGGGTGGTATGATGTTATTTTCAAGCTTACCTGCTGACCGCTTACATCTGTACACTCTCAGAAATAAAGGTACGTGAGCTGTCATGGGGTGGTGCCGTTTAAAAAGGTACACATTTGTACTTAAAGGGTCAGTATTGGTACCTCAAAAGTATATATTAGTATCTAGAAAATTTAAGAGGAACACTTTTGTACTTTTTAGGTACTAATATGTACGCTTGAGGTATTAATATGGACCTTTTAGGTACAAATTTGTACCTTTTGAAAAGGTACCACCCCAGTGACAGCTCGCGTACTATTATTTCTGAGAGTGTATATACGGCTTTTTTGCTGTTACTAGTTTTTCCAGTGGCTTGCCAATTACGCTGGAGGATTTAAGATGCAGAGTGGAGTTGACCGCAATGACTGGATTCGAGGAACGCCAAAGAAGGATTTCAGAAAGCAGGTAAGACAAAAACAAAAGCCAAAAAATAAAATAAACACGTAAATAACAGGGTGAGAATGTGGTAAGATCTAAAAACGTGGTACAAATCAGGCAGCCGCGGGGGCTTTCCTTTTTCTGGATTGCTTTTGAAAACACTATCGGTTGGGTTTAGGGAAGGTGGTCGGTGGGAGATCACATTGGACAACTGCCTCTGGTGGTTTTACGTGACAAGAGCAAGCGCAAACGGCGTTCAAGAGGAATTTGAGAGCTGAAAAAGCATACACAGCAGCCTCTGGCGAATTCTCAAAAACAAAAACTGCTGAAAAACGTAGCTCCTGGGACGTATTTGGAGCTCTCCAGTAATGTATATAGGGGTACGTAATCAGAACGAGCCTGGGTTGGATAATGACTTGATCTGAAAGTCTTTTGCAAGCTTTCCATTTGCTTTATTTCCTGAGTTTCTGCCAGAGCAAATCCGGCTCATTCGAACCAATGGTTTCCCATACAGTCCCTGTTCCACTCCACGCGACACAGCCAGCACCACTCGAACTTACACTGCGGACGCGGACACACCATGTGCATACAGCCACCTAAACAACAAGACAACACAAACACAAGATCATAATACACACCGTGACTTGATTACGACTGCCTCATGGCGCAAAGAGTTTTCAAGGTTAAAGATAAAAACAGATAACCAGACGATAACTGATGAGACTGTAAGATAAACAATGGTGCAATCAAGCAATATCATACTCTATGATAAACATAAGGCATTATTAAAGGTCCAGTGAAGTGCTTAGATATAATTCAACATTATCTCCATTGAAACATAAAGACAGGATGGGACATACTTTGGGAATCTACAAATACTTAAAAATGTATTCAATGAAGATGCTCAGTTACGGTCCAGCGGAGAGCATCAGGTACTAGTAGCATTAGTGTGGCAGTAGTATTGTGAACCCGCAGGGGCTGGAGAAAGAGTCCACCAGTACCGTTTTTCTCCACAGGAACTTGGCATTTGGGGCAGGGGTGAGTGGTTTTGGTGATGGTCTCCTGTGAGGCCTGTTCCCATCGAGCACGAAGAGCCGCTTCTTCATCTACAACATAACCCTGAAACACACACACACATGCATACTTTAACTGTTAAAAATTATTAGTAATTAGATATTAGTTAATTAGTTAAAGTTATTAGGTTTTCTCCGGGTGCTCCGGTTTCCTCCACAAGCCCAAAGACATGAGTTATAGGCAACCCAGGCTTATTCTGGAAACGTAGCCCCACGGACGTTTCTGGAGACTGTGAAAAACATTTCGGGAGGTACGTATTTGTGCAGTTTTTGCTTTCGCGAATCTGTGCGAGGCCACTGTGCGCACTTTTTCGCGTCTCAAACGTCTCTTCGCGAGCCGTTCGCGTCCGCGCTTTTCTTGCGTGAAAAGCCGCCGCAGGTCGCTGTCGAACGACCGACTGTCCGACTGGCTGAATGACTGAACGATTGACTGGGTGGCCAGCCAATCGACCGACCCGGCCACCCTCCTCTTCCTTCTTCCCTAAACCCAAGCGACGATTTACAAAAGCCGTGCAGACAAAGAAAAGCCCTCGTCCGAATTTGATAGCGTTTTTTGGATTTCACCAAATTCTCGCCCCGTTACGAACTCGTTCGCTTTATTTTTTGGATTTTGTTTTTTGTCTTACTTGATTTCTAGAACTGTTTTTCCCCGGATTCGAACCCGTCGTCGAATGCGGCCGGCTCCTCCTCCTCCTCCAGGCCCCCGCTCTGCCGACGTAACACGACGAGCTAACCGGACAAACTGGTTGCATCGGAAAAGGCCTCCACATGGAGGAGTTGAGCTTTCAGCCCCGTAGAGTTCACTTGAAAATACGAAATGCAGCCATTATTACCTCCGGCCATGAATATCGCGGTCTCTAGAAACGTTCATGGGGCTACGTTTTCAGAATGAGCTTGGGTTGGCTATAGGTGGATTAGGCAAGCTAAATAGTCCATAATGCATGTGTGAATGAGTGTGTATGGATGTTTCCCAGTGATAAATTGGAGCTGGAAGGACATCTGCTGAGTAAAACATATGCTGGATAAGTTGGTGGTTCATTCCACTGTGGCGAGCCCGTATTAATAAAGAGACTAAGCCGAAAAGAAAATGAATAAATGAATGAATGAATAGTTGCTTTGGTGGTTTATAAGGACCATTCCATTGGCGAAATTTATTTTACACTCAAGAAAATCTGTATTATATGGCTTTACCCAAACCTTACCCCTAATCCCCACCCTCACAGGAACCCTGTGGTAAAGTTTGAATGTGAAAAGACTAAGTTAAGTATAATTATTAACAGTTTTGAGTTACGAGGGTACAGGGTATGAACCGCCTCAGCATTGTCATACCCATGACATTGTACAAATTTGTGTCCTCGTTAAGCAGCAAAACCAGTAACTCTACAACCCTAAATCTGAAAATGTTAGACAGTATGGAAAACACAAATTAAAAAAAGTAGTGATTTCCAAATTGACTTTGACTTGTATTTCATTGCAGACAATATGAACACAAAATATTTCTTGTTTCGCCTGGTCAACTTCAATTCATTTATAAATATACATCATTTCCTGTCATTCAGACCTCATTCAGAAAAGTAATCAGGTAATTTGGTTAAATAAATGTCAGAATTCTGCCACTCCGGTCTTGTTAATTCTGGTTTTGGTGGCAAAGTCCAGACACAGTCCTGTCTTTTCTAGTATGTTGTGCTCGCCTCGAGTTTTCTCGGGTTGAGCACTCATTTTCTGTCATTGTGTCTCTGTATGAGCGCCAACCTGGCTATGCTCGGGCTGTTTGCACTCCAGCTTGAGATGGGAATGCGAGGTTTGGGAGAGCTTGGGTTACATTGAAATTAGTTTATGCCTTTTTGTTAATGTTTTCCCCCTTGAGGTAACTTGATTTTCTGTTTATTTTATTTTATTACTAATAAAACCCCATCATTTTCCCTGCTTTTGAGTCCTCGCTTCTTTTCCCCACCCACACCCGTGACAATAATGATGTGATTTGATGTAATCTGAGAAAGTTTTTTTGTCTTAATGACATGCAGAGATGAGTTGTTTACCACAAAACTAGCAATGTGTGTTAACAAAATCAATATGGTTAGTTTTGATTTCATTTGTACTTTAAGGTGTGTGTATCTGACCTGCAGGGCTCCTGCTGATGCTGTGCTGGTCGTGTGTCTGCAGGGACCCTCGTGAAACTCCTCTTTACAGTCTCTGCAAAACACAAACTGACACAAACAGCAAATCACACACAGATTAAAGATTTAATATATATATATATATATATATATATTTGCTTTTCTTTTTTTTTCATAACTTGTTTACTTATTTCTTTTTAGTTTTTTTTTACTTAGTAATTTAAGTATTTACTTATTTATTTCTTTACTTATTTCGTTTTAGTTTTCTTTACTTCGTAATTAAGTTATTTACTTATTTATTTACTTACATATTTATTTATTTACTTACTCATGTACTTATTTCTTTTTAGTTTTCTTTTTCTTTACTTAGTAATTAAATCATTTACTTATTTATTGATTTTTTTATTTACATATATTTACATTAATCATTTATTTCTTTGCTCATTTACTTATTTCTTTTTAGGTTTATTTTTCTTTATTTAGTAATTCATTAATTGATTAATTTATTTACACAGTTATTTACTTATAAATTTTTTACATAGTGATTTACTTACTTATTTTTTACATAGTTATTTACTTATTTATTTCTTTACTTGTTTACTTCTTTACATAGTTATTTGCTTATTAATTTATTTAATTATTTATTTCCATAGTTATTTATTTATATATTTCTTCAATTATTTATTTATTTGCATAGTTATTTACTTATTTATTTATTTACTTGTTTACTTCTTTACATAGTTATTTACTTATTAATTTATTTACTTATTTATTTACATAGTTATTTACTTATTTATTTATATATTTCTTTAATTATTTATTTATTTGCACAGGTATTTACTTATTTATTTATTTACTTATTTATTTATTTAGATAATTTATTTTTCTTTACTTATTTATTTTGTTTACTTTTTGTTTATTTATGTACTTGTTTGTTTATTTATTTACTTATTTATTTACTCACATAGTCATTTAATAAATTTTTCTTAGTAATTAAATTATGTATTCTTTACTCAGTTACTTATTCCTTTTTAGTTTTCTTTTTATTTACTTATTTATTTATTCATTTACTTAACTATTTACTTACTCATTAAATTACTTAGTTACTTACCTACCTACTTACTTAAATGATTGTATTTTTTGTTATTTAAAACTTCCCTTTCAAGTCTTTGGTTAAACTAAATGTTAAATTGAATGGAAATTACATTTTATATTTTCTGGGAACCAACTACAATGCATTAAGTTTCAATATTTCGGGCCATAAATACATTTTTCTTTAAACAAAATGTTTTGCTTCCTTTCAATAATCACTTCAAATGATAAACAGGCCATTAGGTATTGTAACAATTGTATTAAATACTATATGCACAACAGGGAAATTATATTTAGACATGAAATCAACATAAGGTTAAAAAAAGTTCCCTTGTAGAACTTATGAATTATTTACTTATTTATTTCTTTACTTATTTCTTTACTCGTTTCTTTTTTATTTTATTTTTCTTTACTTCATTTATTTGTTTATTTATTTATTTTTAGTTTTCTTTTTCTTGACTCATTTATTTACTTATTTATTTACTTTTTTGTTTATTTATGTTCTTGTTTATTTATTAATTAATTTATTTACTCATTACTCATCTATTTACTTATTTGCTTACAAATTAAATTGCTTATTTACTACGAAATGACAGGGGAAAATTATATATATTTTTATGGAAAAAATATCTATTTGCTGTAGACCATTCTGATATGGTCATTACACTGTAAAAAGTATCTATAAACTTGCAGTTTTCCAAATTTTGTGATTCATGTTTATATATTTTTTTATTTCCCCCTTGTTATTTATGCTTTTGAATTGCATAATGGGGCCTTAATCTTTCTTCTTTTAACTTTTAACCTTGAAATATTCAAAAAAGTTACTTTTATTAACATTTATAATAGTTTAAAGTGATATATTGTCTGGATTGGTGTTGTATATTACACTACAAAAACTTTATAATCAACTTCCAGTACATGTTCTGTTATTCTGCAGACTTATTTCTCTATACACTATTATTTCTTATACATTATTTTATTTAAAACTATTAAAATGTCATTTAAAGTCACTTTGTTAAACTGTTGAGCTGAATTTTCTGCATCAAAAGTCGACGATGCATAGACAAAAATCCCATAATGCAATTCACAACAGTAAATAAACACTTGGGAATCACAAAATAACAGATATTTTAACAGTGTACAGCCGTCTAAGGTAAACTCGTGTTGATGCAGTATACTGCTCCGCCGCCAGGGGTCAGCATTTCTCCATCTTTGTCGTAGCTTCAGCACATAAACTCCTCACAGTTCTTCTCTTCTGACGCATCGGATCATCGCTTCGCTGTATTTTTATTGCTGCTGATGATGACAGACTCGAAGCAGATGCTGTTTTGTGTTATTAAGTAATATTGAGGAAAAGGAGCTCTTTCTGTCGGCTTTAGTTTGTTTGTTTTTCTTCTCCAGCGGAGGGAGGATATTCTGAGGTAAGTTCTCTCACCGGGAAGTTAAACACACTTTCAGTCATCAACAAGGTGTTTCACTTTCTTTATTTCACTGAAAAACGAATTAGGTGGATTTACATTTTAGTTTAAAGGTCAGTGGTTGCAAACGATTTATAAGGGCTGAATTTAAACAAACATAACATTAGGTAATGATAGCATCACACAGTTTTCCCTGATTTCTCAGCTGCAGATCCATGATGTGAAACTCCAGTTCCACCACATCCCAAAGATGCTTTACTGGATTGAGCTCTGATGACTGTGGAGGCCATTTGAGAACAGTGAACTCATTGTCATGTCCAGTAAATCAGTCTGAGATGATTAATGCTTTATGACATGGTGCGTTATCCTGCTGGAAGAAGCCATCAGAAGATGTGTACACTGTGCTCATAAAGAGATGGACATAAACAACTATACTCAGGTTGGCTGTGGTGTTGACACAATGCTCAATTGGTACTAATGGACCCAAAGTGTGCCAAGAAAATATTCCTCACACCACCACCACCATCCTGAACCACTGATACAAGGCAGGATGGGTCCATGCTTTTGTGATGATGATGTCAATTTCTGACCCTATCCGAAAAGTCACAGCAAAAATCAAGAATCATAGTTGGCAACGTTTCTCCAGTTTTCTATTGTCCAGTTTTGGTGAGCCTGTGTGAATTGTAGCCTCAGTTTCCTGTTCTTAGCTGACAGGAGTGGCACCCGGTGTGGTCTTCTGCTGCTGTAGCCCATCCACCTCAAGGTTGGATGTGTTGTGTGTTCAGAGATGCTCTTCTGCAGACCTCAGTTGTAA